CTATGCCTGCTGCCGGTTCGTGCATCCATCCATGGCTTGCATACGTACGGCTGACAGTGTCCAGGCCCCTCGAGCCGTGCATCCGGTTGTGCACCATCGTCTTCGCCCGAAGTGCGGGTATCAGACAGCACAGCCGGTCCATTTGCGCCTGTCTCGAATGGTATCGTGACGGCATGACCCTCCAAAGGTGCCGATGTCCAGCTCCCGACTCAGCCAGCCGTAATTCGGCCGGCAGGTGCTGGCGAGCAAACTTCTGTCGCGCGTACTGGCCACCCTGTCGGCGACGTGACTGTGCCCACCAACGCCGCTGCGGTCCCGCCAGCTATCGCGCAAGTTGGACATCGCCTCCGGCAGTTTCATCCATCGCTCAACCCGCTGTACACGTACGTGCTTCTTGTCACTCGTGACGTAGATGTCCAGTTCAACTCGTAGCTTTACAGAACTCGGCCATACCCAACATTGACAACTCAGAGTCTCCGCCATCGTCCCCCCAATTCAATGATGGGATGATGCCGTCGCTGTTGGATGTTGTGATCCCCCTACCGGGTGCATTCGACCCGCCGTCGCGCCCTGGAAAGTGTCTTTAATGCAGAGGAGTGTCATGTACGTATTTCTGCCCTCCCCTGTTGCTGATGCCTCTGAACATATCGTTGCAGTGCGCAGACAGCTGGGCCCGCGCCCCCAACCACGACGACCATATCGCGCGACGATGCGGTAGAGGCTGCTCAGGCTGCAAGCACCGCGAAGCCGACATCTGCGCCGAAAGCCGGCTCGGGCGGGCAAGCTCGTGCGTCTCGGGTGACGGCGAAGTCCGTTGGCGTGAAGACCGCATAGTATGTCCTGTCATCGCATCCCTTCAGACCCTGTCCTGACTCTTGACAGCGATCTGTGGTGCGACGCCACTTCGTGGACAGGCAACAAGAAATCCCGGCAAGCTCATTGGAGGAACAATGTGCCCAAAGACGTCAAACAGGTGAATACGTTTTATGTTCGTGATAAGTGTACATCTTGACATTTTTCTTCAGAAATACCTGGACTTGGAGAAAGCTGCGATTTAGGCGAAGCTGGTAGAGACCGGCGAGGGAGTGGGCGGTGATGCGGATGTGGATGCGGATGCGGCGTAGCTAGTACGGGGAGACGGACACTCATTTACGTGCCTTCGTGCACCTTTACGATTATTCTAGTTTGCTATGTACCGGCGTGTGGTGCTGGTTAATAGAATCTTGCTCTATTCTGACGATTCGGAGGGATTTGACGTGTTTCGGACGCCCGGGCGCGCTGCTACGTGCAGAATTATTCGACTNACGGCATTTGGCCGTTCTCGCCTCGTTTAGTTGGATCTCGCCGCCATTCCGCGGTATTCAGACGGTCGATTCTCGTAGGGATTCACAAGCGACGCGGTGACTTGGCGGGACCGAGAGCCGGAAGTCGCAGAGGTACCACGAGCATTGCCTCCGATGGGTGTCTTCTCCGCTGGCGACTCGATAGGACCGGGCGATAGAACGAGCGGCGAACCCGTCAGCGTGAACGCTTGATTCGTCGAGTAAGCCGTATCCTCCACGGGTGCACCCACGAAGTAACCGTGCGGTACACCGATGAGTCCCAGCGGATTCGGAGATAGTTCATCTGGAGGCGTGGGGAGCTGCGTCGCTGTGTAACGAGGCACCATGCCGTTCCGCTTGAGAGACTTGTTCACAGGAGGTGAGGATGATATCTCCGTGAATGTTGACGCAACGGTGTGAAGCGATGAGCTGGAGTCGCTGCTTGCGATGGCTTCTTGAGAAGTACTGGTCATCGATGGGCTAGAAAGGTATTGCCGTGGTGCAGGCGCAGGGTACCCTGGAGCCGTGTTGCTGATGGAGGGCGTAGTAGACTCCGCATACGACGCTCTAGCAGAGTTCGGTCTTGAACTGATACTTGTGGCGATTGAAGACCTGACATTGCTCGTGCTCGAGATGATCGACTGCAGATCCGCTTCAGTACTTGCGCGCAGAAGATACATATAAGAAGCCACTCACATCCTGAGAGAACCTGACACCATGCGTCGGGATGTCAGGTAGCGGCGTCTTCGGCGGACTGCTCAACCTGGCAGCCCTCCCAACGGGCCTTGCATCCCTCGACAACATCGAAAAGATGTCCACCACAGGTGACTTGCGCCTGAGTATCTTGTCTTCATCCGGTTCCACCCCCAGCGTCGGTCTAAGCGACAAAGCCTTCGCTGTCGGCACAGATAACCTCCTCGACGGTGTCGGCCGAAGATGCGCTGTGCTGGTACGGTACTCATCTTGCGAGACGTACTTCTCCCGCGCTTCCAAGTGCGTATCAAGAAAGGTGCTCCACGCTCGTTCAAAGACAGGATCGCTGAATAGACGCGCCCACTCCTCTTGGAAACCGGTCACTTGCTCCATCAACAGCAGGACACCAGGACTAGGACTCCGAGGCATCCATCTTACAGCACTGGTGGCAGCGGTTTGCTTTCTCCGCCTGAACTTCAATGGCATCGTCGTGGAAGGCGCCGAAGCTCTCGATCGCGGCTGTGGAGCTAGAGCGGTGGGCACCGCGCGGACCGCGAGTGTCGGTGTTCTGGCCGCTCGGTATGTTGTGCGTCTCGTGACTGACGCGCCGATAGACGAAGGAGGTGTTGGGTACGACTCGGTGGGCGTATAAACGGAACGAGGAGGACTTGTCCGGGAGCGGTTGCGGGATAATGTGGGTGTGTCGGATGCGCGGACTAGTCCGCGGCGATTGTGTAGGGCATTGATAGACTCATCGGCTGTTACAGCTTCATGCGCCTTTCTATGCGAGGTACTGGTCGTGAGCGGTTTTGAGCGAGCGGTCCTTTCGTCGTTAAGCGTTGAAGACCGCCGACGCGTTGTGCGCAATGCAGAGCTCTGGGTGGGTTGTGTAATGGAAGGCGTCGGCAGACGCGACTGCGCGTGGGTTGAGGACGGGTTCGCCGAGCGGGGTCGTGATGCTAGTACTGTAGTTCGGTTTGCTGCGTTCGTTGTGCCGACCGGTAGGCTCGCGCGGGGTTTAGACAGAGCGGGTGAGCGCAGCATGGGGGTGTCGCGGGAGGGGAGGTAGCCGACCGCCGTAGTGTGACTCTGGCCGGTGAGAGCAAGAGGGATGGCCGTTGTCCGTCGAAGCATGGAGATGTTGCATTCGTATCCTGACACGGAAGTCATAGCTGCGGCGATGCTAGGCAACACCTTGAGAGCTGTCGATACGATATGACTGTGAGTATCCATAGCCCGTGGTACCTGGATTGAAAATGGCCATTGCACGACATGCAGAGAATGGGGCAGAGAACGACGCGAGAATGTGTCGCTGCTGTATGCCCGATGGGTGGAAGAGTTGAACTGCTTATGCGCGTCACCATCGTTGTCGTGTGGCTAGGATGTATAGGCCCATTCTGGTTCCATTGCGGGCACTGTACCCTGCGCTTTCGAGCTGCACAACCGTGACAACGCCATGAGCGGTCTGTGCAAATGCTACGCCACAGGCCAGCTCCCGGGCCGGACGACGGGCCGTGAGGAACGGCAAACCCCGCGTTATTCGCACGAGTCAAGAGCACGCGCCGTAACTTGGTTTGAATCGAAACAACGATGTCCCACTTCGTTGTCTGAATGCACATAGAATTCAGCCTGCAATGTCCATGTACGGATGATGACGGAGTCGGTCCGCGTCCAGTCCGTCCATAAATATTGCCCCAAATGATGGTTGGAGTCCCTGTACGACCAACGACGCACCTCAAGGCCGCCTCCTATTATCATATGTATCTTGCCGCCGGCTTCCCTGTCACTGGCCGCATCAGGGCAGCAAACGTCGCTCTGGACCTCTGCATGCGCGTCCGTCATGCTGACGTGCGTATCTCGCTCGTACAGGGGTCTCAGCAACGACTCGACCCTTTCGGATGCAATGACACTCAAATCGGTATGCCTTGGAGTACTCCTGTCCCCTTCTCTCCTTCACTGACTTAGATTTTACAGCTGGCACGAGCCATTCAAGAATGATGATCGCTCACAATACGTTTATTTGGTTTGGGTCGGTTCTCTAGCATTTGGTCCTACTCAAGTACTGCATCTACGCCAACTCCTGACCTAAGAACCCGCCGTGAAGTAATCTCACCGCGACGGGTGTTTAGCGTCTAAGCCTCCTACGATGAGACCTGAATACAGTCGGGACCCTATCGACATCTATTCTTGCGAACTTACGTCGCCGCGCTTTGAATGATGTCAACAATGTACGTGCTACAGTCCAGACTCGATGACAATGGCTGAATTCTACGTCCGCCAGGCTTCGCTCTCGCACTCGCCGGCTTGCCGAAGTCTGACGTCGTATGGGCCACTGAAACTCTGGGCAGTCCGAGGGCGTTTATATATTCTGATGCTGGAGAGCACGAATTCTCGTTGTCTACCTCCAACGGACGACATACCCTCCGCCTCCCCCGCTTCGTCAAGCTTCTCTCACCATGCGCTGCTCCGCTTACACGACCCTTGTGTGTCTCGCCGTCGCGGTGGCGGCTTCCCCTATGCCGTGAGCCCATACTCCCTCACGCTTGCATCCACAGCCGCTGACCCCCTCACAGCTTTGAACAAGACCAGCCCCTGCAGGCACGCGATGCCTGGACTCCTCCTGTACGCCGCGAAGTCTTCGCTATGCGCGGCGGCAGCTTTAACGCGCGCAACGCCGCGGAGCTCGAGGCTAGGAAGGTCGAGATCGCGAGGAGTGAGGCCGAGCTGCAAGCCAAGCGTGATGCCGCGGCGGAGCTCGCAGGGCGCGAAGACCGAGCGGTGCAGATGCGTGCTGTCCTCGACAACATTGAAGCGCGCGGAGAGGCCTTTGAGGCGGCCAAACGCGAGTACGAGGAGCTCCAACTCCGCGAGCTGCTCCAGCTCGGCTCGCGCGACTCTGCAGGCGGTTCAGTTCACTTCGCCAAGCGCGAGCCGCAGTTCGGCAACTTCGACATCAACAGCCTCCTGAGTGGCTTCGGGAACAGCAGTTCGAGCGGCAACACAGGCTCGAGCACCGGCTTCGGAGGATTGAGCGGACTCTTCAGCGGCCCCTTCACCGCCCTGAATAGTATTCTCAGTGGTCTCGGCATCAACCTCCGCCGTGACGAGCTCGAAATGGTTGTACGCGCTTATAACGACGATCTATCCCACATCTCCAAGCGCCAGTTCGGCAACTTCAACATCAACAGCCTCCTCGGTGGCTTCGGGAACACCAATTCGACCGGCAACACAGCCTCGAGCACCGGCTTCGGAGGATTGGGCGCACTCTTCAACGCCCCTTTCTCGGCTCTGAACAGCATCTTCAGCAGCCTCGGCTTCAACCTCCGTCGCGATGAGCTAGAGATCGTCGCACGTGCTCTCGACAACGACCTGAGTTACGTCTCCAAGCGTCAATTCGGCGGCAACTTCAACTTCAACAGCATCCTGGGCGGTTTTGGCAATGGCACCACGGGCGGCAACAGCGGAACTGGTGGCTTTGGAGGGTTGGGCGGAATCATCGACGCTCCCTTCTCCATCTTGAACAGTATCTTCAGCGGTCTTGGTTTTAATCTTCGCCGCGACCAGCTGGAGATGGTTGTACGCGCCCTCGATGACGACCTCAGCCACGTCTCCAAACGTCAGTTCGGTGGCAACTTCAACTTCGGCAACATCCTGGGCGGTCTTGGCAATGGCACCACGAGCGGCAACACCGGTTCTAGCGGCTTTGGGGGATTGGGTGGAATCATCGACGCTCCCTTCTCTATCTTGAACAGCATCTTCAGCGGTCTCGGCTTCAACCTCCGTCGCGACCAGTTGGAGTTGATTGCGCGCGTCTTCGACGAGTCCGCACAAGTCTCCAAGCGCGACCCGCAGTTCGGCAACTTCGGCAACTTCAACCTCAACAGCCTCCTCAGCAGCTTTGGCAACTTCAACGGCTCCGCTAGCGGCACCACCGGCTCTAACACCGGCTTCAGTGGTCTCGGCGGTCTGAGCACGCTCACCGGCGGCGGCCTTGGAAACTTTGGTGGCGGCGACCTCAGCAACATCCTCGGCAGCCTCGGGTTCAACTTCCGTCGCGAGGAGGCGCAGTTAGGTGCGCGCGCCCTGCCGCTGGGCGTTGGCTCGGCCCCTGTGGAGGCGATGAAGCGGGATCCATTTGGCCTTGACGCATTTGTCCAATCCAAGCGTAACGACTGATGTTGCGGACTATTTGACTGTTTTCTCGGTATCGTATAGAAATGTCTCCTTGCACTTATCTCGTGTACGTTATGCTGTATTGTATCTATCATCCGAATTTATCGATATCTTTGCACTATTTGGAAAATGCATGTCCGCGAATACGCCATCCCAGAACAAGGCTTGAGTTCCACCAAGGCGAAGAACGCCGTACAGTGTCAGCCCAGCAAGCTATGCGCACGCGGGTCGGATGGCGGATCGTGCTGTACGCAAAACGCCGAAGTCTTCCCACAGACGCGAACCGCGCCTCGTGAACGGTCGAGCGACGCTTCCGCGCCAACGTTCACCGACGTTTGAACGGCGGACTTTGACTTGCATACTAGGGCCCACTCAATCTCAACTAATTCTATCACTACCCACGCGTGTGATTTGACTTCCTGATTAACCATTGTGACCTCGTCTCGGGCCTACTGCGACGCCATAGGTAGAGCTCGTATGCGTTAACGCTCGCTATTGTCATGATACTCCAAAGAAATCTATGCACTAGGTTTTGCACTATGGTGATAGCGCAGAGTCTACCGCTAAACGGGCGCAGTGCTCAATTCAGTGCCGTACCACACCAGAGCAAAGCAGCCTACGCGTTTCGGGTGAGTAGGCCGCTGTCTCTCCGTTCTCCTTATTCTTCGGCAGGCTCAACGGAACGCATAGGTCCAGACTCTCAGATATCTTGCCCCTACGCTCACAGATAATACATCGGTGTACATAGACGACTCAGTGGCAACCCTACGGATGCGACATCTTGGCCGGTACACCCGAGAACTCCTGTATCGCTCCGATGTTCGGTGTTCACCCTAAACTCCTCAGGAGCGTTATCGCGGGAGGTTTCTTGTCGACAAAGTTTCGCGAGGGCTTCAGCGCAGGCAGGCTTGGCGCGTACGACGATACGATCAGCACGATATCCTCGAGCAGCTTTTCCTGTGGGTGGCTCGATATAGAAGCACCGGAGAAGCGTGCTGACCGTTCAAGGCATCTCTCTTCCTAGGGTGAAACTTGTGATACGGCCAACGCTCCCCAAAGATACCCTCTCCTTACCAGCTCCCTTTCTCTTACTCCCCTGTGTCAAGAAATGTATGTGCTGCCCCTTAACTCTGGCAACAATGGCTAAAATCTATTTTCGTTCAGGCCCTATCTTCGCATTCGCCGTTCTCCCGACATCAGACACTCTGCACGTCTCTGAAACTCGGTACGCTCTCCTTTGGTGACAGGCAAGGCTACATAAGCAAGTACCGATACCGGTCCTACAATCGTTGTCCACCTCCCATCGGCAGACAGACCAACCTCTTCCATCCTCTCCAGCCATCTTCCCTCCTTCAAGATGCGCTCCTCCAGCCTCTCGACTCTCGTCTACCTCGCCGTAGCGGTTCTCGCTTCGCCTACCCCGTGAGTCCAGACTTTATTCGATTACCTCTCGTTCTCTAACTCCTTTTCTTAGCGCTGACCAAGTCTCTCTCAACGCCCGTGACGTCTGGACTCCTCCCGCCCGCCGGGACGCCTTTGTCAAGCGCGCTCCAGAGCCTGAGGTCGAACATCGTGACCTCGACCAGCGCTCCCCCTTCACCATCGAGTTCTCTGCGCGCGCTCCCGCTGAGGGCACCGTCACCTTCTCCAAGAAGGCCTCCGGAGACGGCCTCAATGCCCGCTACCCGTTCTTTGTCAAGTACGACGGTAACCTTGAGGCGAGCGACATCGAGGAGCTCGAGGCGAGGAAGGCCGACCTCGAGAGGTGTGAGGCTGAGCTCGCCGCTCGTGAGGCTGAGGAGAACACTAAGCGCGACGCTGCGGAGCAGGCCGCCAAGCGTGAGGCCGAGGAGGTTGCCAAGCGCGAGGCGGCGGCCATCGCCGAGCGCGAGGAGCGAGCGATCAAGAAGCGTCAGGCTCTCGATGACATCGAGGCTCGCGAGGCTGCTCTCGAGGCCGCTAAGCGCGACTTCGAGGAGCTTCATATGGGTGGAACTGAGGCGCTCGACATGCACGACTTCGTGGATGGATCAGTCCACTTCGCCAAGCGTGAGCCTCAGTTCAACCTCGCCAGCCTCCTCAGCAGCTTTGGAAACGGCACTTCCAATGGCAACACGGGTTCGACCACCGGTGCCGGTGGTCTCGGTCGCTTCGGTGGCGGGGCTGCCGGTGCCCGCCTCGCTGCTGTGAGCCAACTCCTCAGAGGCTTCGGTTTCAACTTTCGTCGCGATGAGGGGTTGACCATGCGGGACCTTGAGGAGGAATCATCTCCCTTCACGAAGCGTCAGTTCAACCTTGCCAGCCTCCTCAGCAGCTTCGGGAACGGCACCGCCAATGGCAACACGGGCTCGACTACCGCCGCCGGCGGTCTCGGTCGCTTCGGCGGGGGGGCCGCCAGTGCCCGCCTCGCTGCTGTGAGCCAACTCCTCAGCAGTCTCGGTTTCAACTTCCGTCGCGATGAGGAGGAGTTGATCATGCGTGACCTTGAGGAGGAATCGTCTTCCTTCACGAAGCGTCAGTTCAACCTTGCCAGCCTCCTCAGCAGCTTCGGAAACGGCACTGCCAATGGCAACACGGGCTCGACCACCGGTGCCGGTGGCCTCGGTCGCTTCGGTGGCGGGGCCGCCGGTGCCCGACTCGCTGCTGTGAGCCAACTCCTCAGCAACCTCGGTTTCAACTTCCGTCGTGACGAGGAGGAGTTGATCATGCGCGATCTCGATGATGAGCTGTCGTCCTTCGCGAAGCGCGACCCGCAGTTCAACCTCGCCAGCCTCCTCAGCAGCTTCGGAAATGGAACTACCAACGGCAACACTGGCTCAACCACCTCTAACGCCGGCGGTCTCGGTCGTTTGAACGCGCTCACTAGTGGCCGTCTCGGCCAACTCGGTGGCGGCAACCTGAACAGCATCCTCAGCGGCCTCGGGTTCAACCTCCGTCGCGACGCGCCTGAGGTCGTCGGACCCGCTCCTATGCCCCTTCCCTTCAGCTTCAAGCAGGACTCGTCCGCACCGGCCAAAGTTACGAAGCGCGATCCGTTCGGTCTTGATGCTTTCGTCCAGTCAAGGCGCAGCAACTGATTGCACCATGTCCCTCTTGATCGTTCCGATGGGTAGCTTGTGCATAGAATGACTGCTTTGTTGTCGCATGTTTTGTATAGACCATCTAGTTTCGTATAGTCCTACCGTCCTTTCACTTCTTCAATTCCGCCATTCATGTCTTTCACGACCTAGAACTAGATCGCATGATTTTGAAATCTCTTTTCACGCTTGTCGAAAGTGCCCTCGCGAGGGAAAGGACTGCACAACAGCTTGTTATCGGTTGGTTGAGCGCGGAACTTTCGTATGTCGTGCTCCAGTTTCACTACGCTCATGATCTTCTCTCGCGGCGGCAGATATGTTCTGCCTGGCATGTTTCTGGTCGTGTTCTTGTGGTGGCGGGACGAGTGTGTGTGCGGCCGTCGCGGGATCTCTCGCTACACGGCAGGTGCCGAACCTTTCCCATCCGCTTGAGTTCGTGTTGAAATGGGTCAAAGTTAGCTCGTCAAGAGGCTCATGCTTACTCTTCATTCGCATAATCTATATACGCTTGCGGCATCCGAGCCACCTGTCCGCCCCAAATGAGGTACCTTTAGTGTTGCGGTTGAGCCGAGCCGGCTATGAGCCAGCTCGGCTCGGATCAACTGAGCTGGCTCAGCCACGTGCGGAGCTGAGCTGAGCTAGCTCGGAGCCGGCGTGAGCCGGAGCCGGTATGATGCAGTGCGTCGCGGTTCAAAAGCTCGCGTCGCGCGTCGTAGATACCCTCCTTCTATTTCCTTCCCTATCAGCTGGCGTGTAGCTGGTATTCTCAGAGGAGGGGTCGGGTGTGACAGGTCGGCGTATGCGTATATCTAGCAGGTCCGTGTCGCGCTACCCCATGTAGGCAGTGGATGTAGACTGACTACCTCTAGAGTATCCATTCATACAAGTCCGACACGGCAACGGAGCTCACCAGCCCGCCGCCATTATTGGAAATCAGTATCCTCGTTGAGTACATACCCGATACTGCGCCTTTGTAATGCAATGTACTGTACTCGTATAAAATCTATCTCGCTGGAATCCCGTACCATTCACATTCTTCGAACTCAACCATGAGCTTGCATGGAAACTCCTCCCGCTCTGACCAGGTCGAACCGTCTGTCGAGTCGACAATAGGCTCGTCTGTACCTACTCCATATCCGCCGTATAGCTACGGCTCAGTGTATCCACGCCACCACCTTTCGTACCAAGCTCCAGAATATCACTACAATCCAGCCTACTATCAGTCTACACCATACACTCACAACCAACATTCATCCTGGGACCACGATGATGAAGACCAGTTTATCATGACGACAACTGTGGTATCACCATCTGGACGTAAACGGCGGCGCGCGGACGACGACAACCGTTATCCTGCGATGTATCCTCACGCTTCGTCGTACCCCACACACCCGTTATACCCGCCACCTCTGCCCAGTCTGCTTGCGACTCAGCAGCAGCAAGTCGTACCAGAATCGGCTCCTGTCGCGCCACCCGCGAAACAACGCAAACGACGTCGCAAAGAGCCTGCCACCACAGCTCTCGCCGATGCGGCACCGTGTGGCACTGGACCCGCCGCAGCTGGTGCACCCGACATTGTCCAGGGCGCATTCCGCGACAGCTCGAATGCAGCGCCGCGTCATCGTCCGCTGACGATTTCGCCGCGGGAGATCATAGCGATGCGTGAGCGCGGTCGCTCAGAGGACTCGCACCGGTCTTCTGTTCCGGTGTTCACATTCATGCGCCCACTCGATTCTGACGCTGAGCCGGAAGGAGGGTTTGTTGCTCCGGACGACGAGCCCGTTTTGACGGGGAGACCGGCTTCGAAATACCTGGGATGTCGCCTGTGCAAGTAAGTTCCCCTCTAGGGATTCGAAGTCAAGCAATGGCTCATTCATGATAGGCACTGGAAGGTGTACACAAATCGGAAGGACGGCATCATATCCACTCTGAAGCGGCATCTTGAGAACAACCATCAAACAGAGTGGCACGGATACCTGCGCTCTTGTGACGTGCGGCAAGCGCGAACCTGCGGAAAGCAACCCGCGTCTCCCTCGGACACCGACGGGCAGGACTTCGCCTTCGACTACGACGTCTTCCTGGAGCTATTTACTCGCTGGATTGTCTCAGATGATCAAGTGAGTGTTCGCTATGTGTATTGCGACACAAGTGACTCAACCCATGTTCAATAGTCTGTTAATGCGGTCGAAAACGATGCGTTTCGCGTCATGATGGCATATTTGGGCAATGCTTCTGGTGTCGATGACGCCAAGATCCCTCGCAGAGACAAGATGACCGGACTCATATGGAACTCATACAAATGCGAGTACGATGACTTGCTTGATACCTTACAGGTATGTTCATCTTCTTTCGATAGATGTACAGCAAGTTTACGCCACACTGTAGAAATCACCCGGTCGTCTCTCCTTCACAACAGATCTTTGGTCCGATCCCAATCTCCGCTCGTTCATGGCGATAACCGTTCACTGGGCGACACGCAACCGCAAGACTCATCGCCTCGAGCTAGCTTCCCGGTTGCTCGCTTTCCGACATCTTTCTGGCGAACATACCGGCGAGAGACTGGCCGCGGTCTTCTTCGGTGTTCTCAAAGAAGCTGGAATCGCACACAAGGCAAGCAGTGGACGTCTTGGTCTATATCTGTAGCTTACCGTTATCTTATTATTCTATGCAGGTCGGCCATATATCGATGGACAATGCATCCAACTGCCAGACGATGATGGTACACCTTGAAGGCTTGTTCAAGCAGATCGGCATCCCTTTTAGCGCTGAAGGCAACCGCGTGCGGTGAGTGATGTTGCCGTCTTATCCGCTCTCGGGATCGGCATCTGATCAAACTATCTTAGATGCTTCCCTCACGTCATGAACATCGCCGTGCAAACAGTCCTCGAGCATCTCAAGAGCCATGCTTTAGAGCCGATGCGCGAGTTTCTTGCTGATCTGAGGACCGACGGGACCCGCACTGGCGCGCGTACACGCGGTGAATGGCAGCCTCGCATTGATGCCCTCTGTAATGATGTTGTCGGACGTGTGCGCTGCCTCGTCGCATGGTGCCGCCAGTCTGGTGATCGTCGGGGCGAACTCCGCAGACTGATTGTTGAGGGTAATCAGTCGAAGTCGTGGGACAAGATCCTTGTCGATGATTCTGTTAGCCGCGTGAATGCAAAAGAGAACGAGCTTCCGCTTCTACAGCTTCTGCGCGATTGTGAGACTCGTTGGTCTTCGACGTTCTTCATGATATCACGATTTCTCACATTACATCAGGTGTGTCCATAGCCCTGTCGTATTGTCCATGATACTGATTACACATCAGGCTATCGAGCGCCTCCTATCGCATCCCAGCCAATCCAAACATATCCACAACCTTCTGTCGACTGAAGAAGTTGAAGCAGTCCAAGACATCTATCAACTCCTCGAAATCCCGCATGATGCACAGCAAATCCTCTCGTCCCATCATACACCAGGTCTTGCGCTTGCAGTGCCTACATACGAAGCCGTGATCGAGAAGTGGACAGAGTTGAAAGATACTCTTCCCCATCTTGCACACTTCATCGACATTGGCATCGAGAAACTGGATGAATATCGCGCCTATGCGCGACGAACACGTGCATACGGTCTCGCGATGGGTATGCCTGTAACCTTGTTGTGATAGTATATGTGCTAATCACCGTTTCTAGCGCTTCATCCCGGCATGAAGCTTGAAGGTGTGGCGAAATATTGGGGCACCGCCGATGCAGACATTGTTCGTGACTGGCTGGTTGATGCGGTACGTGTTTGCTGGGCAGCACTTGCGGCATATATGGCTCATAGATTGGTGTATAGATGATCGAATACAAGTTGAAGGGCGGCAAAGTTCGGTCGACCTCTACCCCTGCATCTCATGCCGGCCAGCATCAGATGGATGCTTTCGTCGGGCTGACTCTCGGGCGCCGTAGTGCCAAACAGGCATGTCGAGCTGATCAAGATTTACAAGCAAGTCAATCGGCATCGCAGGAGTCGGAAAGCGATGAATCAGATCGGCGTCTACGCGAAGCGCGTACCGCGGCACTCCAGGAGCTTCGTCGGTACGAAGGTGACGGGGTGCTGCCCTTAGCACATCATTCATGCATAGACGTCATAGGGCATTGGGGGGTACGTCTCAGGCGCTGTGGAAGCTCCTTTCATTGTACTCACGGACTCCACAGGAACTTGAATCGTCTTACCCACTCATTTACCGAGTGGCGCTCGACATCCTTCCCACACAGGCCACATCGGTGCCATCCGAGCGTGTATTTTCCTCGTCGAAAGAGACCTGTACCTTGCGACGCAGTCAGCTGTCGACAGGTCTATTGGAGGTATTGCAGGTCCTCAAGTTTCACTGGCGCTCAGAGCCGCTCTCCTTCACGTCCGAGTGGATCGCTAATGCCGAGGATTATCGTGTCGAAGGAAGAGTGACTGAATATGCTGCATGGGAGTTGATTGCGGCGGGAAAAATCGAAGAGCTTGCGGACTTGTACCGAAACTGGATAGATTAAAGAGCCCGGTATCTATACTTACTGTACTTAATCAAAGGCTTAACTGGAACTGCAGCCGCCGTCGCGCTGCGCAGAGGAGGAAGTCGCGTGATCGTTCCACTGGCAGTTGCCGAGCTCAGGCGGAGCTACCGAGCTGGCTCGAGCTGGCTCAAAAAAACGCGAGCTGATCTGAGCTAGCTCGGCTCGACTCGGCTCGGCTCAACCGCAACACTAGGTACCTTCGCTAAGCTTCATCCCGACTAGGGTCTTCCTTCACGCCTTCATGGGATCCCATGACCCTTGAGCGCATTCTTCGGGCTGAACCATTCAAACGGAGACGAATATAAGGATGTACATGGTCACCAGTAGCCGCATTAGCAGGGTCCTGAGCCACGGTACACCCAACCTGCATTCGCAATGTCTACTACAACCACTACCACAACGCCGTCTCAGTTCCAAGACCCGATCCTCGTCGGGACCCGCATCCGCGCGCAAACGGCCCACACCATCCCAGCGGACCTCCCTCTCGAGCTCGACTTCTCTGAGAACTCGAGTTACACAATCACGGACCATGTCCGTGAGCTGCACGCCAAGCTCACGACTCCGCGCTCTCCGCGTCTCGCGTTCGTGATCGACCGTCTCGTCACGCATCTCCACGCGTTTGCGCGCGAGGTCCAGCTCACGCATGCGGAGTGGGCCGATGCCGTTGCGCTCGTTGAGCGTGCGGGGAAGGAGAGTATTGGGGGGAAGAACGAGGTAGTGCTGCTCAGCGACTGCCTGGGACTCAGTGTACTCGTCGATGAGATGGAGCATCCACGTCCTGTTGGCGCCACTGAGGGCTGTGAGGAGGGCCCGTTCTATACGAAGGACTTCCCAGAGGTCCCATCTGGCACGTCGATCGCGCACGCAGACACCGCGGGACAGCCGTTGTTCTTCGAAGCCACCGTCAAGAACTTGAAGGGTGAGGGCGTTCCGGATGCGAAGGTCGAGGTATGGCAGTCGGATGGTAATGGAACGTATGATGTGGGTGATGCCATTGCATGAGCGACCTGCGATCCCAAATGCTGATATGGCCTAGGTCATGTACGATGAACCGCCAGCTGATGGAGCAGACGACCGCGCGCGTATCATAGCCGAGCCGTCAGGCCATCTCTCGTATCGCGGAGTCCTGCCCGTGGCATACCCCATCCCAGACGATGGACCGTGTGGCACAATGCTTGCAGCTCTGGGTCGCCACCCGCACCGCGCTTCGCATCTTCACTTCCACATCACCGCGCCGGGATACGATTCGTTGACGACTGCGCTCTACCCTTCGCATAGCCCATTCCTCGGGACGGATCCAGTCTTCGCGACGCGCAAATCGCTGATCTGCAAACTCGAGCAGGTCACCGATCCTGCGAAGTGGGCCGAGTGGGGATTCGACAAGGAGGACGTTGCCAAGCGCGGCGGTAGGGTGTGGGTCTGGCGTTACGGTTTCGTTCTCGCGACAGTGGACGAGGTCAAGCAGGAGAGGGAGAGACGCCGTGCTGCAGCTTCGAAGCTGTGAATCACGGGAGCTGAACGTCGTTCATGTCGCTGTACAGATTCTGAGTTTGTTCTTCTTGTCCGAACGGACTCAAGCCAGGTCCACGTTGTAGATTAAGGTGTGGTGGGGCAGTATACGGATTCATCTCATATGCGATGTCGTCGTGCTCGCACAGAGCTGAGAACTGAGTGAGCGCCCGATGATCTTGAATATGTCTGGTTCTGCCCAGCCTCGCATGAAGTTGTCGTTCAGAACATATTCAACATGAGTTGCGGGCCCCGCAACCCCGTATTTGCCCCGCAATCAAAGTACCAATCCGAGGTGGTCATGCGAGGATTCGCAGCATGATGAGACGTATCGCAGAGTCTCTATAGAAAGAAAGCCACAGTTCCGCCGACGTTAGTGCACAGGTGCACCTGGACCCACCCTCGAGACGCGCTATTGCGACCTGAGAAGCTCATGCGCCCAGGGCCTATGGGAACGACTGGAGTTGGTAGCACTTCTATGAGCGTCAAGCACGGATCGCCGAGCGGGAAGAAGAAGAACCGAGCTGGGGATTCTCGGCGAGGTGTCGGCTGGTATCGGGCACTAGCGAATGGTAGACGTAGACGCTCATCGTGGTATGTTGCAAGTTCAACGCGGGCCGAGAGGCCATGAGATCAAAACTCATCTACCCCGCACTGCGTGTGCGTCCTTCCCCTCACGACTTGCCTCCGCCCACCACCATCCACTGCTACAAATGGCCGGTACAAATCCCATTCACGTACGCGTAAGATGCTGACCGCGACTTAGACGATGCCTCCACCGCCGACACCGATCAACGGCAACCAGCACATACACCAGCCCCAAACGGACGCCCATGCCCTCCATGAACGCCAGCATTTACCTGTCGATCCTCATCTGCATGGCCTCCGCATTGCTCTAGGCTCTATACTCTCTCCTGTACGTGTTCAAACGTTTCTTTTCAGAGTCGGCGGCGTCTAACGATCGCATCGGTAGAAGCGCCCCGGTTTGTCTCGGGGCTCCAGCTCGGGGCAGAACTCGGGAACTGCTTCGCCCATGAGCCATCATAGCCACCCGCCCTCAGGTACACATACTCCATCTGGAGAACAGCACATGCATGCATCGCACCTGCACGCAGGCCATCTTCACCCCCACACCTTGCACAGTCACTCCCAAGTCCACACGCACTCTCCTCTCATTCACGCAGTGCGTATCCAGCTGTCATCTAACTACATTGACCATGTATACTCATCCTTCATCTAGTCCGATGACGGCGCCACCTCACCTTCAACCACACCTGGAGGTACACCTCCCTTGAACCTTCCTAACTCTGCAGCTGCGGTTGTCAACGATCCTCGCTTGCCTGCTGCTCAGCGAGCGAACTTTGTCAAGACGCTGCAGGGCAAGAGCGCCTGGGACGCGATGATTCACGGGTCTTTTGTATGAAGGTATTATCCTAGATCACACACGCACTAGCCTCGGTCAGTAAGCATCCTTATAACGTCGTTCACCTCTATTTCTTGTCTCTTCATCCCTTTGTACCATTACACCACACCTTCATCACTTCGTCCTCTCGTACGCGAATTCTTTGTACACATAATACCTGTAACTGTTTATCGTGATTTGTGAGATGACAATCTCCTCGGTGTATATGACGCTCTTCTTACACGCTTACACGACCTTTCGACTTGCTCTTGAATGTCTACGACGTATTGCTATTTCGCTTGCCCACTTTTAATCGGCGTTACTCGCCCAAGCGTTTGAAACCGTGAGCCTTTGTCTGCCTTCATCGTGTAGAGTACATGGACTGACGTCAAGTGGGCTCTTGGTGGCGTCTGTGGGTGCCACCTGCCGGTTGAATGAACGCGGATCCTGCCGCCCGGACCGGAATTTGCGCCTCATCGCTCAACCTCATCTTGCCAGTGATACCGATCAACCACACACACTCTCTTCTTGCTGATGACTAGAGGGTCAGGGATACCATTCCTTACATCGAGAAAGTCCAGCTCGAGCTATTCTTGTCAACGGCCGCCCTAGTCATGTAGTGCTGCTGGTATTGTTCGCCGCTACCGAACAGCGGTTGCGTGCGTACGCGCCCAATCTCCTGCCCAGGTAGCGCCTCGTCAACTACGGCCGCGGCGCTTGAATTGTCTGTATCTATCGGTCTGCCACGAAGGGTTTGAGGTGGGTGTCATGCCGTTCGAGCGAACTCTGTAGGCCGCCGCTGGCTTTCTCGAGCATGTCTGGCCGAGCGTAGGCTCGCCACTCTGGCATGCTAACCGCTGTTAGCGCAAGCGCCCTTCGTACGAGGCAGATATCGGTACGTCTTTGATTTAGACTTTTCCAAACTGCGGTTGCTGACATAGAGGCGCCCACAGTGCCTGACATCATCTGGTTCAACGACTGGCTCCATCGCATCGCCCTCGCGCCTGTGCGGCTCCTGCAGGCTCCGACTCCTCGAGGGCCACCACCAACGTCAGGTTCTGCGCTTTTGCCCATGTTCCCAAGGTTCCGAGGTACCTGTACTCGGAAAGGTACACTCTCCCTTGGAATGGACCTACGCCCTGCGCTCCACCTGGGCACGTCACCTCCTCCTCGCCATGGACATATACACCCTACTCGTCCGGTGTAGATCCCCCATAACTCTTCTCTCTCGACTATACACCACTCTGCGTCTCTCTCACGATTATCACGAAACATGTCATTCCTCTCCAACGCTGGCAACACCGTCACGAACGCCGGATCCTCAGTTGGTAAAGGCGTTGGCGATGCGGGCTCGGCCGTCGGCAAGGGCGTCGGCGATGCTGGCTCAACCGTCGGGAAGGGTGTCGGCGATGCAGGTTTAGCGCTCGGTCGTGGTATCGGAGGCATCGGCTCAAGTCTTTATGATGCAGGGAAAGGCGGCGTTGGTGCCGTTGGCGATGGCGTCCAAGGCGTAGGAAAGGGCGTCTCTGATGGCGGCAATGCTGCTTTCAAGGGCATTTCGGACGGCGGAAACGCTGCCTTCAAGGGTGTTACTGATGCTGGTACGGCTGTTGGTGGCGGTATTGGTGATGCCGGCTCGAAGGGCTACAAGGTTGCGACGGCCGCTGTTGGTTCTGGCTTCGAGAACGGCTTCCAGCTTGCCGCGAACATCTCCAAGACCGGCCTCGACCTTCAGAAGAATGTAGTAGGCAGTGTCGGTGCTATTGGCGGGACTGCTATCGATGGCGTCGTCACAGTGAGCATCCTCTTATCGTGATGAAGCGCGCTAGTATGCTCAATGCAGACTTCATTATTAGGCCGTGACGATGACCACAGGCGCAGTGTTCGATCCTATCTCCAATACGCTCAAGTCTATAGAAGGTCTTGAGGGATTGGGGGAGGGATTAGACAAGATCAACGGTCTTTCTACTGTCGCCCTTCGAGCCGTTGCCGACACTACGAAGAAAGCCATCAAACTCGGCACACGGGTAGGCTCGTCCCGTCGTTGAAGTATACGCGCATGTTGATGCTTCCGTAGCCTCCAACGCTCTTCGATCCTGACGCGGATGGTGTAGTCAACGTCAGTTGCCATCTTCGTCTGCATTGACTCATGCGATAAGCTTACTTTCGATACAGTTCGATGACACGCAGAAAGGCTTTGTACTTCTCGGTCTTCCGGAGAAGCAGGCTCGTATCGCGGCTTACGCGCTGCACACAACTTTCACGTATGCGCCAAGTACTCTTTCCCCATCTCTATCCCTGATGTCGATTCAAGATACTCTACGGCGGACTCGTGGCTCTCGCTCCCTGGCAAGCAGATGTTGGTGCAGATTGACAACATCCATAAGACGCGCTGGGGCCGCAATTGGGGCTCTTACGAGCGCGTTGATTGGGTCAGCGACACAGACGTCGAGACTGTGAGTTCAGCGAAACCGTCTAGTCTTCAGGCAACGGCAGTCTGATTTCAAGCCAGTTCTTCGGTATGCGCGAACGCGAAACGTATGCGGAGTACTGGAAGGACATGTGAGTGCGCGTTCGGCACTGGTGCTGAGTACCTTTCTGACATTGCATACAGCAAATCCTACTATGGAACCGCCCTCCTGATTTTCGAGTGGGGAACGACATGGCCCTTCGCCGTACCAAACCTCGGCAGCCTTGATCTCTCCAGTCCTGTTGTCAGTCAATTGGGCACCATCATGCGGGTATGTATCAATACCTCTAAGATGCAATTTTATCCTTACGATGCTTGTAGACGGTCATTCTGCCTACCATCGCGAAATCGCACCAGCACGCGCGCGAGGTTGCTCAAGAGGAAGGCAAGGAGGTCGAGACGAAGAGCCGGATGCCGTCCCCGCCGCCTCAAGGGAAGGAGTCGGATTCGTCGAAGACAGCGTGAACTGTAATCTACGAATGGTATCTGTACAATCATGTAATATCAGTTCTGTGATCTTGCTGTGATGTAGCTATTAACATGTTTCTCGAACGAGAAAAGTCGTCCATTTACGACTGTGTACGTATGGGCCTAAATCGCATGAAAGGCGGGTTGGCGCAATGGTTAGCGTGCCAGTTTCCGGTCATTCGTGTTTGCTGGTGGTTGTGGGTTCGAGTCCCATACTCGTCGATGCTTTTTTGCCATCACCGACGAAGCTCTGCATGCAATCATCGTTCGATACATGGCGCCTACGGGACTTTCCAAAGATAGGAAACCCTTACTGTACATACTGGGCATGCTTCGAGAGGCCCAGTTGGGCACTGGAGTCGGAAGAATAACTTGAACACTTTTACAACAATAAATTATGACACTGCCAACCATGTACGGTACATAGTAAACGGGAGCCCAGGAAAATGCTACTGTTACATGGATATCAAGATCTGACATCTGCGGATGTGGAAGCATGAGGTTGGAAACGTGCAGGGGTATCGAATGCGCTATAGGATGATGATGGTGGTGATGATCGAAAAAGTACACAATCCGACTAAGAACGGGACTTGATTTGAACGGCATAAGGCACGTTGCTGACGTAGAGAGGAGAGGAGAAACGTTAATCACTGTCCATGAATCGCAGATATTATACATCACGACGCCATGCATCAAAAGAGTCCGATTCAGGGTCGATGGCAGGGATGGCTTCAGTGATCTTGACGAGCGTGGCCACCGTTCCGTCCGCGTCGACGTGGTCAGAATCGTACACAGGCATCCTGAAATATCCCGGATCGTTGTCGGTGACAAGATCAGCGGACGTCCACTGGTGAACGGTGGAGTTGTCTTGAGTGGCACTGTTAACCTGGGTAGCGCCAGCGATGGAATCATTGGCACCAGAAGCGGTCGACTCAACGCGTTCCATGCGCTCCATGCCGGAGAACAGGTCCTCCTGCTCGTCCTCTGCCCAGTCGTCGATGTCCTCCTCGTCTTCGGAGTCGTCGTTCGACTGCTTGATCGCCGACTTGGCCGGCGAGACGGGCGCCGAAGGCACGGTAGGCGCGACGTTCTCCGGCCCCACGTCCGAGCGGCCGCGCTTGGTAGGGCTAGACGGCGTCAAGTCCGTGGAAGCGCGCCGCTTGCGAGAGGTTGAACCAGCGGGATCCGCAGAAGCAGCAGGTGCGGCCAGTGGCTTTTTGATGAGGGGCCCATAGCCTAAGGGAAAGACCGGCGGAGGCAGTGCGACGCCGACATGAGCAGGCTTGTTGAAGGCGGGGGCTGTCGGGCGACTGTTGGTGGGCGGTGGTTGCGCGATGGCGCGGGGTGCACTCTCAACGGCCTTTCCTTTCCCTTTGGCAGCCTGAAGGATATTGAGGAACCAATATCTTCCACATCATGCGAAGAACTTACCATGAACGAGAAGCCGTTCGCGATAGGCGCCACTGGAGGAAGAATTGTGCCCTCGGAAGCGGCCATCCTGGTCGGCGGAACAGACAAAGCACCATGGCCAGTGGGGGGTATCGAAGGAGACTGAGCTTGCGCCGAGCCTGTGCTCTGCGAGGCAGAAGGAGAACCAGTGTCCTGCGTTTCGGATGCCTTCTTGCGACCCTTCCCCTTTTTCCCATGAGTAGATCCCGGACGGGCCACGCTCCGAGCAGGACCCCATTTAGCTAAGGTCCACTGAGGTCCCCACTAAGGCACTGCCTTATAAGAGTTGGGTGGCCCAGTGAGGCAACGGTGCTCGCCGGCTGAGCATCCGTTCCCACGGACCCTCGCAGCGTTGTTTCCTGCGAAGCACGTTACGCGGGGGGGCTTACGTCATTCTCCTGGGCGGCCATGGCCCTGCGTGACAGGACGCGATAAAGCTTCAGGTCGTGCAGTAGCAAGTCCACCTACCTTCGTTCGTCATGTTCGCCCTGCCTAGTAATCCTAGTACCGTAGCAGAATGTTTGGACAGAATGAGATCAAGTACTGCAATCGCCGTTAGCCTGACATGTTCTCGTGACGACGTGCTCACGAAGGTGACTGAAGGTGACCTGAAGCCACGCTGATGCGGTGTACTTGACTCCGAACTCCCTTCTCCTCCGCATCCAATAATATGTTCCCTCGCAAGCCTCGTCAAAATTTCGGGAGTCCGGAAGAGCAGCCTGACATCACGACGTCCCAAATCGGAGCACGCCTGGAGGCATGGCTGCATAGCTGGAAAGGGCCCCCTCTCGAAGACGCCGCCAACCTGCGTGCGCGGCGCCTGCGCTCAGCCGTTGCGCATATTCATAGAGCTCTCGTGAACCAACCCGAGATGTCCTCGCTTCAATTTGCCCAAGCATGGCGGTTTCTTCGAGACCAAGTTGTACGTTCCGCATGGTGTTACATGAGATTGACAGACTCTCAACTTTGTCTTTTAGGCGGAAGCAGTCTCCCAGGAGCTGTTCACTGCCGGACCAGTCATCGGGTGGGCACAGGAGCTCGCTAACGCTGAGCGGGTGGACCTGGAAGTAGCGCATCTAACGCCAGACGCTCCTCCCCAGATGGCGAACGTCCGCCGCTTTTTTTACGAGCACGGTTGGCCAGCGGATCAAGTAATGCCATCGCGTACTGGGCGTGCTAGCCTGAACTTGGGTCCGGGACAGTGGTGGGGACCATTTGGTGCGTGATCCCCACTGTACTGCCCAAGTACCTTCTGATCAAGATATCTGAACAGTATGCGGTCGTCGCATCACGCGGGAGAACATCGCGCGTTGGGATGCCAGTCGTCGCAAAACCATACATCGTAGGCGCCAGACGGGTCAGCCTTTCCCTTCGGATAGCGAGGAGGGTGAAGGAGGCGAAGAAGGAGAGTCCGGGGTCACGGATGCGGAGGTAGACGAAATCGCAGTCGAAGTCGAGCACCTTCTGCTGGAGTGACCGGGCGGTCTACCGTGCGTACGTGCACAACTCAAGTGAGGATCATCATTCTCCGTACTTCGGGGTTCATGTCTCAGTGCGTGAAAGAGTCGTAAGGCCCGCAGGTTGTGTCCGCGCCCGCGTCCAGGAACATTGTTTCTATGTCTTGTCTCAGCCCTTTTCATACCTAGCTGTGGTACTCTAGCAAGATAATGCGACGAGTTGAAATTGAGTACTGTGATTGCAACCGGCATGTGATATCGTAACAACGTAATCACGCAAGTCAGCAAACGTCCGGCGCTCGTCCGGCACCCCTACTTCTTACCTCCACGTACAGACCGACATGCGTCAAACGGAAGATCCTGAAGCGGAACCGGACTTCACGCCGTCATACGTCGCTGAGCGTCTCGAGCAACACCTGCGGCTGGGCCCGTTACAGCGGTGGAGACCCTTCGATGCGTCGTTCTGAAGCTAACAGCTCGCGTGCCGTGTTGAACGTGACCTGTGCAGGTCTCGGTATTCGCGTCACGCGAAGAAACATCTCAATTTGGAACCTCTCACGTAGTAAGGCACGGATGCGTGCGGAGAACCGGGGCCATACTTTTGTCTGGGATAGCGAGGGAGGCGACGACGGCGAAGGAAGCGTTCCGGGTGTCACGGATTCGGGGGCTGACGAGGATGAAGTCGAAGTCAGGCGCCTCATGCTGTCGTGACTGACAGCCTCACCCGGGTCCCCATTTATACGATACGACAGGAAGCGTTGAGGTTCAACTTAAGGCGGATGTATACAGGTAGCTAATAATCATTTACCGGTACCTTTGGTAGGGAAGGAGCTAGGCTCAAAAACACGCGCTCCGCTCGTTCAGCCAGAGAACGCCACATATTCTCCATCTCATACGCGGACGCCGCGTGTCCCTCGTATGCAGCCCCGCATTTTCGCAAGTACTCGGCTTTCCCAAGCCAAACTTCGGCTCTCGCATGATAACCGAGGTAGGTCATGTCCATCTCTTGCTGTAATTTCACAAGCTCTTCCGCGCAACGCATGTACGCCGAGCGCGCCTCGATCCAACGGACCCTGAAGACTGCACAACGTCAGTCGGGTAGTGAAAGCGATGGGTTGAGGAGCAGCGTGACTTACAATCGGCGATGTATTCATCGTCATCTGCTTCGTGACCAGGCCTGCGATCGAGCTTCCAGAACCAAGGGAGGTCGAGGCCGCCACTGTGGTCTTTGACGTCGTACGTAGCAGTATTGCATTCAATGTCCTTTGCTGACAACGGTCGATACCGTTCGCAGAAGGACTCCCACGCCACGCGTCCCAGACGGGAAGTTTTGTCAAGATGTAGTTCGGCACAGCGTTGCCGCAGAGACCGATATGTGTCCGCATATGACTGATTGAGAGCGGCTGAGGCGCGGGCGTGTTCACGCGCCTTTTTCGCCGCATCGTAGCCCAGCTTGACATTCCCGCTACTAGCAGACTGTCGTATATCGCAGCGAAAGATATATGCCTGCTCCACCAGCCCGCGACGAAGGTCACTTAGTGCGACGTCCATAGCCGCAGTGTTCAGGCGTAACTCCAGCGCGATCGCAACTTTTTCCGACGGCGTATGCTCAACATCCGGAGCTCGAAGACGCGCTGACGGTATATCGACGGCGAGATTCTCAGCGTTGGCTCGCAAAGCGTACGGTCCGGTCGCGCCTCCATCCGCCGCGGCTCCGACGCGGGGATCTACCTCTTCGCCCGTTACATCGTCACGTTCAGTGCTCTCGGACCAATCGTAACCCGGTCTCCTCGGAAGTAAGCGTGACATCAGTTTGTTACTTGCAGTGATACGTTTCTTGAGACGACCGCGGCGCAAAGCCAGCCCGTACACGTCCTCCTCGGTGAGTGAATTTGGTTTTGCGCGTGACTGAAACCTTAGCCTGGGCGCAGTGCATCAGGTTATGAACAGAGAGGATTATTGATAAACAAAATACTTCTCAATCAGGATATCATGGGCGTCAATTATGGCCTTTGCAAGATTAATGTCGTCAGGCTTGGGACCTGCCTCTGCTATGATCTCGAACTTGATGTTCTTCATGTCAGGCGCTACTGCAAGTCAGTATCAAAATTGGCTCGAGTATGCAACGCTGCGTACGATTATCGGGATGATCCAGCATTCCATCGACCTGCGCAGGATCGGATATGCGTAACGCTTCAAATTGGCGTCGCGTGAGTTCCCAGCGGTCACGATCGTCGGTCAGCGTGACCTCATTCAGCTGCTCCAGCGTCTGCAATCGCTTGGGAAAGGACTTCGTGTATCGCTTCCACTTGCGCGCCAGAGTATCGACTGCAAGAGAATGAGTTGATGATGGGCCTTATAAATAGAGAGCACGCAATGTTTATGCTCACTCATGCCGACGGTCTTCTTGAAGTTGATGTCATTCATGGCAGCCTCAATAGTCTCCCTTCTGTTGCCCAGCGACATGCCTCTACAGGAGGATAATATGCGGTTCAGTAGAGACCAAAGGGTCTCAACGATCTCACCGTCCACAATGCCGCTGCGGTAAGCGTAGACAGGCGAATAACGCGAATTGCATTCCGGCTTATGACCATAGACGTGCCAGACTCCAATTCCCTGCAGCAACTGAACGGCCTCCGGCCAGGAGTATCCGTTGGCTTCGAAGCGGGCCTTGAGATTGACTCCATACCTGCACCAGATATCGTACAGAAGTAGCTGGCGTTTGATGAAGTCGAAGTCACACTCGTTCAGCCAGACTCTGCTGAGACAAAGATCGACGGGCGGAAAGCTAAGGACGCAATGAGCTTCGGTAATGTGGATGCGGACTGCATGACGACGTGTACGCACGATTCGCCGCATTCGAAATCGTTCGTTCCACCGGCAGCTAGGCATCCGTGACGCGCGCAACATATAGTGCCTATGCCGCGTATGTCCATTACCGAATTCCTTGATTTCCCCAAGGCGGAAGCCGCTTTATGGTCGTGACATTCAACGTGAGCCCTTCGCTGTGCGAAAGAAGTCAGTACGGCGGGACGGCGTGGCCAAAGGCGACTGACCTGCTCATCCGGAAGTCCCGCATCGTCAACAGCGTCACGCAGGACTACGAGTTCATCCTCAGGATGGTTAAACATCGCCGTCCCAGGAAAAAGATAGACATTATTCTCGGTGGATCGAGACGCCGTATGTTGGGCTTCGAAGTTACCGTCGATATTCCACGTATACTGGTAACCCCAAGCATATGGGCTGCGCTCCCAGTGTTCAGGCATATTGCGAAGCGGGCCGCTGGGTCGTGGACAGGCTACGCAACGGTACATAAGATCACCAGGTCCTGGATCGACCCATTGTTCCAGGACTTGGTAAGCGAATCCGTGCTGGATGAGTGCGCGACAGGCTCGATACTCGCGGTTGCAGCGCAGCGTCTCAGGATAACGATTCTAGCGGCGAAATGTCAGTGACTAGCGACGAGACATGAGCTGTAGGGCAATTATTACAGGTACAGCTCTCCAGTCATGAGGATTTGTGAGCCGTCTTAGCTTCTTCGTGTATGAATCGGGGGCGGTCTTGCATTCTATCTCATCCATGCGGAGATAGTCCAGATTATTCAGAGTAAAACCAGTCGCAGGGCGATCCGAGCTCGCCGGGTAGATGCCGTACTCCAGAAGTTGCTCGTCACGGGGAGGCGCTCCCCGGCACTGGCAAAATTGGACGCCTATTCCGTGCACATGCGTGACATCTGTGATCACCATAACCTTCAGTCCCCGATGATCGCGTCCTGGGTATGTTCCCATGCCTCTCGACCCAAGAGACCCCCTGACGCCGTGGGCGGCGCTTGCATCAGCCTCGTCGGCGACTTGAGGAGCCCGGCTTTCAATGTCCGCTTCATCGCCCGTCTGTTCAACAGCACCAGCCAAGACCTCGTCGTCGACGTCGGCATCTTCATTCCAAGAATCCGACGTAGATGGGGGAAACTCGTTCTCCACGTCCGCTTCATCGTACAGCTCCACAGGCGCGGCTTTGCTGTCACAATACCCGGGAGGATCAAGGTCGTCAAACCCAGGTGGAAGGCCGGCGTGACGGGTGCTGGAGGGACAGAACTTGCCAAGGAAGAGATCTGCCTGTTCGCATAGCACGATAGCGACACCAGCGTCTCGCAACCAAGCTTTTTGATGAAACTTGCCGTTCCACCAACCGACCCTGTGATAGGGATTTGAAACGTGACACTCTCGAGTACAAGCCGTGCACAGGTCGCGGTCTACCGTGCAATCATAACAGCGCCACGCCGGGAAGCGGTGCGAGCGTCGTGAGCGCTCACATCGACGACAGGATGGAGCCGGCGGACGGCAGCGGCGCAGAATCGCGCTGGTTCTGGTGCGAGCAAGGTTCTCGTTGGTGAATATGCGATAGTAGTCAGCCGCGGTCTAAACGAGGACAATTAGTTAGGCTTCAACGACCAGTGGACGGCGATGTACCATGCCCTGAGAGGTTCGCGGCAGAGGCGGTGCCGAGGGCTCCGGTCCAGTGGAATCGGCGTGGGAAGAATTCGAGGGGGGCAAAGGCATGCCTGTCCAAGACGCTAAGCCATCTTGCTCCACCGGTTCGAACTCCTGCGGTCCGGACAAGCTTGATGGGGTTTGTATGGCGTCGACACGAGCCTGAGACTGATTGACTCCATGAACTGCAGTTGCACTGGCTTCAGCGCGATCAATTGGTTCATGTGTCCAGAGTTGAGCATCGTCGTTCCAACCGTCAGCCTCTTCTGGCACTACGTCCAAAACCGGCTTTCGATTGGCAACCGCCAGGCCAGCTTGTAATCGCGCAGACCGCGCAAGGTCAGCCGGAGAAGGTCCGTCATGAGTACGAAGGTTCAGAGTCTGGCGGGGCTTTTTCGCCTTTCGTTCACTTGGTTCCTGGAATCCCGATGTCGTTGACGTCGACTTGCTACGTTTGTTATGAGGTTCCGACTGAGTCTCATTAAGGTAAGATAAGGGGCGAGTTGTCTGCGATATAGCATTGTTGAACCTGCGCGTATTATGAGAAGTGGTGAACCTGTTGGACATTCGAGGTCGCAGCACTGGTGATGGAATAGTCAAAGATGAGTTGAACGCGGCGATCTCTCCCGACCCGAATGACCATCGGGAGAACCCGTGAGAAGCATCCTCGTCCCCAACGTAGCACCGATGGCTGTTCTTGACTTTTGACGTCGACAAGCGTTCAAAGAACCTTTCATCACCGCCACCATTCCGAAACAACCTTGCTGCATGGTAGAATCCTTCAAATATGACTGTGACGAGGTCTTAGAAATGATTGGCAGCAGAGTCTTGCGCATCTGGGACCACGAACATCTTGATTCCGTACTCGCCGACTACGTCCGATGCGAACCGCACGGACGCTCTGTGTTCGAGCAGAACCAGTTTCGCATCATATGGTCCCATCGTGCAGGTCCTTGGGACTGGGATAACAAGCAACCAACGGCGAAGGAAGACCCGCAGTATCATCTCGTACAGCAGGTACGTTTTCTTCCGTGTCTTACGCCGATACGTGAAACTCATACGTGGCAAAGGCGGTGAAGAAATACTTTCGAGAGAAGGGCCGCGTGCGGGTGGGCACTTTCGAACTTCCTCCCGACATTCTACCGAAGGCGTGGACTGGGGAACAAGTTGCAGGATGGCTATATGGGGCGGAGATAAAGGAACTCGTCAGGAAGGTGACGGGTCTCGTACCGGGAAGACGAGATGGCTTTCTGGCGCAATTCATGAAGGCGAGGAAGTCCGTATACAAGCGACTTCCTCAGGAAGACAGGGACATTCTGGAGGGCATTGCACAACGCTGGGAGATACTTGGTCCGCCGCCATACGTGAAGAAGAAGTGACCTAGATGTTTTCTGAAATGTAAAGAGAGACTTTTGTTAATGAACCATTTTCAGACAATTTCAGAACAAATTTATTAAAACAGTCACCGCTTTCGCGAACTTTTGTCTCCGTCAGTTTGGGGTTTGGATCTTTCCATTCTATTGCGGGCTGCCCGGGATGGGGATCCGGGCAAACGTGTGCGTGACAAACAATTCTCTTCGGTGTAGCTTATATACGAGCGCCTCAAACACATAGATACGAGACTATGAAAATGAAGTCTATCAGTCGAAAAGGACTGCGCGAATGGGCAGATCTAGAGAACGTCCTCGAGATTATTGAGCAGTACGTGACCGAAACAGCAGGTATGTCATCCCGAAGTCACGCCAAAGCTCCTCCGGAAAGGCGGGTTCCTGTCACCGCGCGAGGACAACACCTGGGCGAGCCGCGTAGAAAGATATCTCGCATCAGATTCGTCGTGACACAGCAAGCGGGAGAGCCCTTCGTGTGGGGATTACTGTGTCACGCGTTGAATGTGCTGTCGCCCGACTCTCCTGCATCCCAGGCGTGGAGTTGAAGATCCCCTCGTCCGAAGGCCTCTTGGACTTATACCTGGGTATTGACAAGGTCATGCTGACCGTATGTTTGTAGATAGCCTCAACCGCGCCCCAACCGGGAAGGCGGTGGGGAAGACTGGTTCCAAGGGCCCTTCGATGACCAGTGAAGCTTACAGTATCGACGAGTTGGAGGACATATCCGCAGGACCCCAGGCGTCACGACTATTGATCAGGAAAGACCGCATCCTCGGTGATCTTGATAAGGGGAAGGTCGTGAAGCACGTCTTGTGGCAGATGGTGACTTGCGCGCACAGTAAGTCCGAGTCACTCTCGTCCCTCTTCGTGCTGCGTGACATTTACATTCTCCATTTAGACTGCAACACCGCCAATCCGGACTTGCAACCGCCATGGCAAGCACTCTCAATACCTGAGTTCGCAAGCCAACTTCTTCATGCCGACTGTATACCGCCCGCGATCGAAGTTCGGTTCGGCTATAACAACTCTCACACTAGGTCCGAACACGCTAAAGCCTTCATCAATCACTGGACCGAGTTAGGATTCTTGCAGTTCAACAAAATATGGAAGAACGGGAAGATCTGTGATCCTCTTCCAGCTGAGGAGCGCTGGCATATGCTACGACCTGCAGACGGACCTGACGGCTCCGACGAGGAAGAGCGTGACCAGGAGGGCGCTCAACCGGATGCGCAAGGCGTTCTCCAACGGAAGTCCCCATCTTACGGCAGCAAGGGGGCCATTTTGCCCGTCAAGATCACGAATCCAGCAGGCTTTGAAGAGCCTATACGCGATACGGACCTACTCGATCACGAAGAACCCTTCGATCGTGTCATCAGTTGGAGTTCTCGGGAGCCCAGCGCGCCTTGCTGGCACCCGCCGAACGTTGTGCCGAACGCATCTTGGTGTCGGGGACAGTACATTCAACAGGCGGCTCGGGAAGTTGGAGGATTGGAGATGCAGACCGTTCTCAAAGCTGCCGTTGCCTTGACTGGCTGTCCGGTAACGCGTGACTCACTTGTTAGCCTGTACGAGTGCTGACAAGTCGTCTCTTTACCCATACAGCTGGACGATAACTACAGCCTACCACTTGCCGTTTTAGACGCTTCGGCATCAGTACCATCTGCTCCCCTTACCGCTCGATGGGACTGTCCGAGAGCCTGGCTTCAATCCGACCTAGAAGTGGCCGCCTTGGCTAACTTTATATCACGGAAGCCATGGACTATCCGTATCAAGGGCGGTGTTGTGTTCAGTGGCTATTCTCAAGCTTGGAACGTCATTCTTGCCACGCTGGTGTACGCCCGCGGTAGAGCGCACAAAGACGTACTTTCCAATACACCGGTCCCCAACTGGGCGTTGTCCGGCCAGGACGTAGCTCATGAGCTTGCTAAAGGATTGACGTTCAGCCTTCCGTCACGCGCAATCATCGAGACCCTGCAGGCGTTTACGGAGTACTTGACCGAAGTGTCCCACAGACACCAGTATCCTGGCGTACCACTGTCTTTGATGTACACCCGATTCGACGCTCGAATGGAGTATCTTCGCTGCCTGTTGAATCCGGTGCCAGAGCTGGTCGACCTTATGAAGGTCGTGCAGAATATGGTGAGAATGCCCGCACCTCGATTGTCGAAACAACGCTGAGTACGACGCTACAGCCCCCTGGGTCCGTGGACGATCGACCCCGTCCTTGTCTTCCTGAGATGACCGTCGCTATTGAGCGCTCAGCGGATATAGGAAGCCTTTGGAACTGGCCTCGCTGTGGCTTACCTTCTCCCGTGCACCGCAGGCAGGACGAACAAGCGCTGATTGCAGACATTAGGAGCTGGTGGTCTTCGGACGAGCTATTCTTCTGCGAAGAATCGGGAGAAGTTCAGACGCTAGAGAACGGTCTACAGCATCTTCTACAAGCTGGCCTGATATGTCAGGAGCTGGCACATCTTGAAGAGGACCGCGAAGACTCTGCGGGCATTCTGCGGGAGAGCTGCCTACAGGATGAGGATTTGCGTGACTCGATTAGGAATGTTCTGGTGACATTCGCTCGCGATCACAGCACTAAATTGAAGACCGCCTTAACGCCTGTCGAGGATGATGAATATGAAGCAAGATCTCCTGCAGAAGCCGACGACGCATATGATGGCGAAGACGTCGATTTCACGCTCTCCGTGGCGGAATTGGACGCCCGACTTCGACAGGAAACGGCGGGTCACGACATGTACATGCGGACAATTGGCAAATCCCTGGAGCTGGACGCGCTTGATGACGCCAGAGCGGCGGCCAATCAAGCTACCCGAAAGCAGCAGAACAAGGACAACCGCCAAAGAACAGGAATGATACACCCGCCCAAGGCTCACGTAGACGTGACGGCCGGTCCCGACCTTGCGTTCGTGAACGACGTCACGCTGCCTGAAGTGTCCCCGCGTGACATAGTCCCCAAGAAGAAGCGCGTAGCGAAGAAGACCCCGCGAGTCCGAGCTCGCCCGGCAAATCAGACGCTCGCGACCGTCAACCATCGACAACGGGCACCCGAAGCGGCTCAGAAGCCTGCCCAAAAACGCAAAGCACCAGCGAAAGACGTCTCCTCGTTGCAGAAGAAACCACCGGCCAAGAGACGCCGCACAGCTTCTCTCTCAGCGGCGGATGCGGAAGAGCAGGAGTCTTTCGATATTCACAATATCAGCGGCGACGAGTCGGAAGGGCTCGCGCCGTCCGCTACAAATGAGGATGGTTGCCGCGGGGAGAATGTCACGGAGCCGGCGCCGCCGAAAGTAACGGCAAAGCCCAGACCCCGACGCGTTGTCCCAGGCAATCCTGGTAGACCTGCCGCGGGGGTCAGTACTTCATTCGCAGAGACTAATGTCGCAGACTCCGACCTACCAAAGGACGCATCCGAACTAGTGACCGGCGCGTCTCGAGGCAGGCGATCAAGTCTACGGTCCTCAAATCAAGAGAGCACTCCTGCGACCGTCGGTCCACGTACTCGGTCCCAGTCCCGTACGGTCCATTTCGCGGAAGCGCCACCTTCGGCGTCAACGCGTAGTAAATCAAGGTCGTAGGAGAGGCCGCCCGCTTTTTTCTTGCCGATAATATCCCAATAGTAATCTTATGCACACCTAATACACTTCAATAATTGGTCCCGGTATCCTTGATTAATTCAGTAGTCCGTGCTGTATTTAGGAATCCTTTAGAGTAATGCGAGACAATTAGACCTACAGGGCGTTCAGAGCCCACCTATAGTCTCAACATGATGGGATAAGCAAGACCATTGCCACGTGAAATTGGGGATGTTTCCGGTGTCCCGGCCACGTGTCGGCGTAATGACACCTCACCCTTGCCTTGAATCGACGATGACAACGAAAATCGCGTCCACAACTTTAATAACACTCCCAGTTGAGATTCTACGCTCGATTGCGCACCTCCTCCTACGTAGTGATCTTCCAGCGGTGTCAGCTCGTGGGCATCTGCTGGAAGAAAGCTATGTAGACGTGCTGAGGGATTGGGTGTACCCAAATCCTTTACCCCTGACGGCCTGCACCCCGTCCTTGCCTTGTCTAACACGCCGAGGTGCACGCAGCGGACAAACGCGCGTGTGTTACCGCGGAGATCGAGGTCCAACACGCTCAGCGTTCGATCTGCTTTACGTTTGCAGACATCTGAGACGGACCCTATCCGAGGACACCCTCTTCTGGGCAGAAGGTCTCCTCCTTCACCCTTACCGCCTCAATGATGCGTTGCAATTTGCTCTTGCGGCGGAGCAGCCCCGTCTATCGTTTGTCGGGCACGGCGGCGCCTGTATCTGCGTATTAGAGCAGTTGGTACCCCGTTTGTCCATCACCAAACGTCTAGATCTCGCTCTTCCCTCCACCGACCTTCTTGATAGGTCCCCCAGTCGCAGAATTCAGGAGGAACTTATTCGGGGCGCCCCTCTGCTGGAACACGTAGATCTCCGATTTGACTGGGCTCACGCACGAGAAGACGCCGTCAAGAAGACTATCGTCTTACTGCCCAAGATCTTGACCGTCCGCTTAATGAATTCGACTTTCGTCCTCGGCGGTGACATGTTGACTTCGCTCTACATTGCTTGCGAGGAGACCGCATTTCGCTGGCCACGGGTTGACATTTATAAGCTATTGCGATTCTGCAGGAATCTCGTCATCCTGTCGCTTCAGATGTGTTTTGTCGATGTGGAAGAACTGCCGCACGTCACGCAGAGCCAATACCCGGACGCAGGCTTCGTCGTACTCAGCAAGCTACGTTATCTGCATCTGTCTGATAGGCCGCTCGAATGGTCTCAAGCAAGCTCGGCTTTCGATCTGCCGCCTGCTTGTCACGTCCACGCCGACGTGATCTTACCTATGAGTGACTCTAGGGATTACTCCATAGACGCGATGCGACTAGACATCGAGCGGGCGATCGACAACAGCCGAATCTTCAACATCGGCTTCTATCACCGGATCATGGTTTTGCGATTGCAGGATACAGGAACGTTAAACCACGCATGGCAATGGCCCGAGTATATGACCGTCGCGTTCGGCGACACGGCGGAGGACGCGTTGTCGTTTCGGGATCCCCATGCCTCATCCGCTTCAGGATCGTTCGGCGTGCGCAACTCCGCGTTCTCGCTGTTGTCGGTCGAGACACCTTGGATGCACATACGAAACGATGGCATACGCTTGCAAAGGGTCCTTGATAACTTCTTGCGGGCGTGCCGTGACTTGGGTCTGAGATATGTGGAGACTCTAGTTCTTGATATCTCTCGAATGCAGACGCCCATCAACAGTTGGCAAAGCATGTTGATTGAACTGCCGAATGTGCGCCGCATAACGGTACTGGGACCGACCAGTTTCCGTGCCAGGCCCGTCACGGAATTGGCCGTCGCCCTAGGAACTCGGCAGGAAACGATCGATGACGGTGGACATTACCTCTGCCCCTTGCTCCAGTCCATTTACGTTCCCAATGCTTGCGACGCCGTACCGCAGGAGATGATAGGGCGTCTTGACATCAGTCTTGGCGGTAGACGGAACCCTGCCAGTGGATGTACTCCCGTCCTCTGGAAGGTCTAGCAGGCGCAGCGACATACCAAGTCACGGTTTTCAGTCAAACCGACAAGGGTTGAGCCCCCGTAGCCGGCGTCACGCAATGTACCACTTACACGCAAGCCAACGATTGCGATCTAACTAAACTACCGGGTTATGGGAAGAGAGGGAAGAATTATTGTAAGCAGAAGTAAGATATGTCTATGGAAGGCCGCACATCGTGTCGGCGTGACGTGAGAATGGGCTAAGTTAATCAACTTCGTCGTGACGCCGTTTTCTGCCCGTACGAAACTCCTGTTCGCTCTCCTCAGAGCTATCCTCCATGTCGTCCGAAGAGTAAGAAGAGGAACCGTAGTCTTCATCCGTCAACGACATATCCGATGTCGATATGCTTCGCGATGGATTGGGAAGTGGATCACGGTCCTTCGCGTGACTGCTTGCCAGCAGGTTCACATCACTCGGTGTCTCTACCGATACCCGCAAATCGACGCCTTGGGAACGACTGAGATGGCGAATAAAAGGCGACCTCAGCGTCTGAATGGCTAGGGCACGCACGTCCTGCAGGCGTCTGTGCTGGTCCAAATATTCCGCGCGGCATTCCCGTAGCGCGGCCAAAAGCCTCGCGTCACGGCGAAGTCGGCGGAGACGGTCGTCATCTTCACCGGTGACGGGCTTGTGCTGCCATTCGAGCAGCCAGTGGTCAAAGGTTTCTGCTACATATTCAGAAAGAATCCAATACTACATAGGTCCGCTATTCGTACCATAGTTAGGGATGATCCTTGACAGAGTAGCCGGCGGAGGCAATCTGGACGTGACGCTTTGTGGGACAGGCGCCCAATCCTGAGTGCCGTATGCCAGTACGGGAAACTCGGCCCCCTGCAGAGGGGCGTCATGATCTTCTTCCTTAATTTCATACTCAAGTTCTTCCTGCTTGATCTTGTAATCAATCTCTTCGTCCTTGACTTCTTGCTTCAGAGGCAACAGCGGGGCACCGGTAAGGACGTGGGACTGATGGTCGTGAGGCGTGAGACCCTGGAGATGCAGGCTCGTTGACACTCGGGCTGGAGATACCGGCCGAGGCATCGACATGATGGTAAGAAGTATAGAAACGCTTCTTGACCGGCAGATCCATTCCCGACGCGCACGTGTCCGGAGCCGACCGATCACGTTGGATCATGCAGCGAACGAAGTTGAACTTCTGCACCCATCATCGTCTATTGCGGCTTGTCGTCTACCCGCTCTACTACCCCCGCGCCCGGCGTTAACTTCTATTGCGATGGCTCCCAGAAAGCCGAGGACTCCAACTGACTATGGCAATCCGGAGAATGCGCCCGACTTCGACTACGCCAAGGTCCAGAAGCGCGTGCAGGCCTTTCTCCTGAACCGGCGAAATAACCGTCTTGGAGGTTATGGTCTTACAGAATGGAAGCTTCAGATCAGACGTTTGCGGTCTGCCATAACGACCGTGCACGCCGCACTGGTGGAGCAGCCTGACATGAGTCGGAGACGCTTTGGTTGGGCTTGGGGGTTGTTGAGGCAGCAGATAGTAAGTACAAACCCATCAGTCTGCGGCCTCACCTCTGACTGGCATGGCAGACTGAGCTTGCCTCTGGAAAGCACTTTCCACAAGGGCCTATTCGAGACTGGGTTCGGCAGGTGACCGCCGCGGCGAGGGCCGACAATGAAGAGGCCGAGAAGAAGCGCAAGAAAGGGAAGAAGGATGCTCCAAACGCCCTGCGACGTGTGCGCGAGTTCATCACGGACAACAGCTGGCCGGTCGATCAAGTCGTACCGCCGAAAGAATTGGGGAAAGGTCTCGGCCCTTTGCAATGGTGGCGCCCATTTGGTACGTGGCTACATACACTGACAGCTTGCGTGTCTAACGTACGTGCGAAAAGGCATGGGCCGTCAAATCACGGCCGACAACGTCGGTCACTGGAACACGAATCGCCGTAAATACAACCAACGCCAGAGGAAGGCTGGTCTGCCTGAGGATTCCGATACGCCCATGGAGGACGTAGCCTCGGACGATTGTAGAGAGGATCACAAGGCGAAGGCGGCAAAGAAGCACGCTGCGCGCAAGAGTGCGGGCGTTAAGAGGAAGGATGGCGACTCGGATGATGACGATGACGAAGGCGAAGACGACAAAGAGGATGACGACGAAGAGGACGAAGAGGAGGACAACGAAGAGGAGGATGAGGAGGAAGGCCAGGAGGATGAGGGAGAGTCGGAACGGGACGAGGGAGACGAGGATAAAGGGCAGGCGTCGGGCGCGCAGAAGAGGAAGAGTGCGAGGCGGAAGGAGGAGGACATCGAGGAGGGGAACGAGGTTGCTGGGAAGAAGGTTGCGAAGCGCAAGCAGCCGGACGTCCAAGTCCGCGATGCGGACAGGGGGAGGCCGTCGGCCACTCAGAAGAAGACGGCTGCGAAGCGCAAGCAGGAGGAGGGCCAGGAGGATCAGGAGGATGCGCGGAAGACGTCGGCCACGCAGAGGAAGAAGGATTCGAAACGGAAACAGCAGGACGTTTCGGAGGACGAGGAGGATGCAGGCAACAGGAGGAGCAGCGCGAAGCGGCGTAGACACAGAAGCGATGATGAAGACGGTACCGATGACGCAAGTGCGAAGACAAGAGCCGCTCAGAAGAAGGGTGAGAAGGTGCAGGCAAGGAGGAATGCCGAAGAGGACGGCAGCGGGACAGACGGTGCTATCGTAGGAACGACTGGCGGGAAAAGGGCCTCCGGGAAGAAGCCCGTGAACAAGCAGAAGCCCGCGGAGGAAGCAGGCGGGAAGACGCGAAGCACCTCGAAAGGCGGGAGGAACAATGCGGTCGGGAACGAGGAGGAACAGGACGAAGGCACCGACGGCGACGCCGAGACCGAGGAGGCGGATGCGACTGTCAGGAAAGCAGCGCTGAAGCGGAAGAGCAAGGGGAATGGTAACCACGAGGATGATGATCTGCCGCACGCCGGCCCGACTAAGAAGAGGGCGCAGTCGAAAAAGGCGACAAGCTCATCGAGAGGTGACTCCGCCGAACTCGACCAGCCCTCGCAAAGGCAGTACCGTCCTCTGCTCCATCACGGAAAGCCCGCATCCCAAGCGGCTCGACAACGCGCATCCTCTGCTCAGGTCGCTTCAGGATCGTCACGCTCCGCCAATCAGACAAGCGACGTACCGCAACAGCGACGCTCTACGACACATGATGTCGCGGAGGTGGTCGACGCAAGGAAGAAGCGGTCAAGACGCTCCGCGGCCCGCGACGCTGAGGAGATGATCCATGGAGACGTCAACGACAGTGGACCGAACGCCGGTGATAGCGCGAACGATGAAGACTATGTACAAAGTTCGACAGACGAATCAGATCCAGATTCCGCACACGCACGCTCCTCGCGCCCGGGTGCTCATAAACGTAGGGGCTCTACCAGGTCTCTCAGAGCCGAGCCGTCCAGCGATGAGGTCGCCTCCGACGAGGATCAGTTAGATAGTGACACTGCTCGGGATCCTCAGGCCGAGGTTCCGTCGCCCTCGCAGACTCGAAGACGGCGTGTATCTGGAAAGGGGACGCCCGTGGCTGACAAGGTCACGAACGATGATATCGCCGATGCCGCGGACGAGGTCGAGGACTTCGACGATGTCGCTCAGACGCTCAACGATCAGGCGGCCTTGCCTGGCTCGACGAAGAGCCACGTGACTAGCTCTCCGCGGTCCTCCATGACGCCGAGTCCTCCTGGGTCAATCCCCCGGGCCGAGGACGCTCGGGCCACGAAAAACAAGTCCACGCCCTCGTCAAGAGCGACGCAAAACGCCAAGAAGAGTAAAGTGTCGTTTGTCACGCAGGAGTCTTCACGAGAAAGTCAGGGTAGTGCGCGGGCCACCCCTGTCGCGCCACCATCTACCGGTATGTATCTTATGCCGCCGTGTATTCGATCTTACTTAGCCCTCATAGCCCAGCATCAAGTTGGAGACTCGATGGAAGTCGATCCAGAAGACGCGGGCATTCGCGACGGGACGTCAAAGCAGTCGTAGGGGCGCGACGTTCCGAACCTTCGTGTAAAGGTACAGGGTGCCGTTCCGAACGTCCCTCTCCCCCGTTCCGAACGTCACCCCCGTCCCCATCCATTTCGTCGCGATAAATCATTTCTGGCATTGCAAAATTAAAGAAAATTCGACGAAATTCCACCAAACGATAACCCAAAACCAACATGAATATCCACGCCCGCATTAAGATACAGAACAGACTCGCGCAGTATTAAGGAATAATGTACCTCTCGAAAAATATACGGTCCATCTCATGCCTTTGTCGCACTCGACCGTCCAGCTCGCTTGACGCGTTCGCCGCTACGGCTGCCTGATCCACCTATCGCGTACGGATCCTGTGTGGCCCTGAGGACTTCGAAGACGGAGGCCATATCTCGCGCGAGCTCGACGAAACCAACGCGACTATCGTCGTGTCGAGCCCAATGCATCAGGCACCACACGACGAGAAACGCGCCCTTGTAGCCTCGGGCACTGGCAAAGACTGTCCAGTTCATGGACGCGGTCGCAGGACGTAGCTCGCGGATGCTGTCCGCAGGACCTCGTTCCGGAGGTTGCAGCGCGATCCACCAAGCCTGCATGTCGCGCGCGAATGTCGTGGGCATGTCCTGACGGCCTACCATGGCCCCGCGCGCCTTGACCATCTTCCCGACGCATTTGGGGCGGCGCGTGTTGGGCAATTGCGTGCTCCCCGCCGGGTCCTATTTTCATCCAATTAGCTCGTGTACGGTGAAAGCGGAACTCTTTACTTACCCACGCCGACTCGCCTACGAGCAACAGTTCCATCTTCTCGACAGCCTCAGCGTACGCACGTTGCTGGTCCTCTGTCTCCAGCAGAGCTATCGCGGTCGTAACCATCTCGTGCTTCTCCTTGACGTAGGTTTCCCACCAGCCGGCACTGCCCGCACGTTTTCCCGCCGCCGCCCGAGAATTTCTCCAATTCTGCGCCGTTGTATCAGCACCACTGTATTGCACAGGCAATGATTTGAGACTCACGGTTGCAAAATTGCTCGTGTTTTCGCCTGCGTTCGATGTCGCGCCGCTACCTGGACCGGGCTTATTAATCGTTAGTACGTTTAACCTTCATGAGGAGTGCGACAGCTACTCACAGCTGGCGCTGGCGGTGGTGCCTCTGCGGAGCCAGAGACGGATGGTTTGCTTGTTAGGCGCACCGGCGGTGATTCTGATCCAGAGCGCAGGTCTTCATCCTCGTCCGAGTCAAGTACAGCGCGACGTTTCTTGCGTACAGGCCTAGGCGATCGTTCCGCGCGCGCGTGCGAGGCGTCCTCGAGTGACGACACGGATTTAGATGCTGGGCGTGGACGACGCTGCCCACGGGGCTCAGTTGCGGATACCTCTGTACGCGTCTTCGGCACCTCTGTACGCGTCTTCGGCACCTCTGTACGCGTCTTCGGCTTCGCATTCGCGCGCGCGACTGCCCCCTCTGCGCTGTCTTCGTCGCGCTTGCTCGATTTCCCTTTTCCTACTCTCCTCTTCCCCCTCGCCGCCTTATCGACCGGTGCAGCGGCTGTATCATGCGACGATGCAGCCGCAGCCGACGTTACACCCGAGCGACCCCGAGCTTTCTTGACGGTTTGGCGCGTTCGATTGGTGTATAGGTCCTTGTGGATCGAGTCGCCTGTTAAGGCCTCCTCGTCGTCGTCGTCCGGCGGAAGTGACATGCTCTTGCCGCTTCGGAAGGATCGCTCCGATGCACCTTCTGATGGCGCGCGCCATGAGCCGCCTCCAAAACTCCCAGCCTCGTCGTCCATGTCTAGCCGCGCTTGGTGTGGCCAGTCGAAATAGTCGTCGTCGAATGGCAAGGCGTTGGAATCCAGACTCGGCGCCAGACTCGGCGCACGCGAATCGGGAGCGGGAGACATGCCATTCATGCCTTGGGTCGTTCCAGCAGTAGGTCGCCTCGTCTGCGACAGACCCGATAGCCGTGACGGACGCGGTTGGACCCCTTCTGTCAAGCCACTGCCACCCCGCATGGGGCCCGGACGCGTCGGCAAGAGTGCTCTTGTCTGGTTCTGCGGTCCGAGGCGGAACTCCGAGTTCGCATCGCTCGATTGGCTCGCCTGCGAGAACGAGCGCGACTGTTTGTTGGTATGCGATGGGTACTGACGGGATTGGCGGTCGTGATAAGGAGGACGACTATATTGACGTCCACGAGGCGGTGAGGGTAGTCTCGACCCGGCCGCGCTTTGGCGTGCGGGGAGCATTCCAGAAGGAGATGGCGCCCTCAAACCCGTACTGCGAGAAGTAAGGCTGGGCGAACCGGGTTGTTGCCCGAGCCTCGCCGCGACGAAGGAGGCGTTCGTACCGTCAGCGCGTTGATGTGCGCGCGCACCCGAAGGCGGTAGAGGAGACGCAACGCGTGAAGTAGCGCGGTGATCCGCTCGAAGGGCGGCCGCGGGCGGTACGCCCGACAGCCGAGTACCGTCGCCGTCGTCGGTGTTCCCATCTTGCATCTACGACGTAAGTAAGTTAGTGTTGGTATAAATTCAGATGCTCCTATGCGATTGAAGATGCTACATACCTGACGTAGCTCGTCGCTGAAATCTTCCGGTTCGTCTTGTTCGTCCATCTACAAGAACATCAGCGCCGAAGGGTGCTTGATAACATATGTCGCGCACTTTGTACAAGTCGCCGCGCAGAAGCTCCTCAGCGTTTGCGCTCGTACCCGCATCTCCGCTTGCACTCGCTTCGCCGTCAGTGTCCGCGAAGCCAGTCGCCACCTCTCCGGTCAACACGTCCTTCGCGTACGCTCTCATCTGCACCTTGGCTTCGCGAATGTGCGGTGCGATGTACTCCGCCAGTGGCGTTGACCCGGCACGACGCGCGCCTGTTGCGCATACACTACAAGCTTCCGTCAGTATCAATGTATCATAAAGGTCCACAAGTGAACTCACGTATTACACTCCGACCCTACGACGTCTTTCAATCCGGCGACGAGTAAAGTCATCGCCACGCCGTAGCGCATAGACAGCCAGTCCAATAATACTTGCAGAAATGCGCCCATCTCTGGTTCAATCCTGTAATGAGCGTAAGTCGAACGGAAGGGACTGTGGAACAGTAGTAGCTTACCATGCGCGCGAGTCCTTCATGGACTTGTCCGGGTTACCAAACAGAGCCTTGTACTTTTCCAGAGCTTCGGCGTGGTCCTGTCGCGCCTGACGCTCGACCTCCTTCACGAAGCTCGGGCTCTCCGCGGCCCATGCCTTCGCGGCCCATTGCCGTTGTTCACCCGCCCGCCGTTTCGCCAACTCCGCCTTCTTTGCCTCGTTGGGCGCGGCCTGCATCAGCGCCTCGTAGTGCTCCTGAAAGCGCGGTTTGTAGCGGTCTCCATGAAGGCTTTGGTAACGGTCGAGTAAACGATCCATGGTCGGTGGAGGGGCGAACGCGTTGAGAATACGTTGGACGTGCTCCTTCTGCAGCGCAAACGCCACCCCCCTGCCCCCGCCCCCTTTCTCCGCTCGCCGCTCGTCTCCGTAATACCGCCGAACCTTCTACATAAGTGTCAGTAAATGACCAGTGATAGCGGTACATGGTTAAGCCTACCTCAGCCAACTTCTGAAGGTCCTTCGCCCTCAACGCCGTATCTTCCTCGTTCAGCTCAGGCAGTTGCGGTATGTTCTTGTAAGTCCAGTTGGAGCCCTCCAGCGGCGTCGTATTCGCCAATGTATTCGGCCAATCAAAGGCACAGGCCAAGGAACGCGTGGTGTTGGCGTAGAAATTGTTCTTCAGCTCGTTGACCTCCGGAGAGTGCTGGCCATCGAGTTTTTCCAGACGGCGAAGCTCAGGCGTGAAGGTGGAAAGGTGGAGGCCATGATTGGTCGAGATTCCTTTCTGTCTAGGCATACTAGTGTTGCGGGAAAGACGCAGAAGAGACGTGGGGAGGAAGGCGCGCGACTCGAGTGGGCGGCGAAACAGAAGGTTCCGGACAAACGGCAGAGAGACCCCCAGCAAGCCAGTACCCGGATAGATAGATCTCGCGTCTCGCCAGATTTGTGATGCCAGAGAAAGTCTGAGCCGTTAGGTCCACTGGTCCACCCGCAGGCACCAGCTCGTCACTATCTTTCGCAGTCCAAGCCCGCGGTAACTTCCTAGACGGCAGTCGCGCCCTGGTTACGCTGAGTCGACAGTTCAGCTCACTTATCTTTCAAGATATTTGTTCACGCCTACCTTTGGCATTGGATGTCGTACGTAGCAGTATACGCGTTGTAGCAGTATACGCGTTTGAACGAAAGCCCGGCGGCCCTCGCAGAGGACTGGTCGTCGTATCTTGTGGCCGGAGGAGCACGTACGCGTGCGGTAGCCGCAATAAAGTACCGCGTGTTGCTCGATCACTAGAAATCTAGATGCGACACCGGATCCCACAGTTACCAGATCTGTGGAGGACGGACTTTGAATAATCGCGCACCTCGAGCGTCATCCTCGATCACCGCGGTCCGGTGGTATTTCACGGCTCGTCGTTGGGCATGATAGTCCCTTCTGCCGAGCAGGATTACGCGTAGAGCACAAGTGTATGTACAGCGGTTGCGGCTCCTGAGCGAGTTGTACAAGTTGTACAAGTTGAAGTTGAAAAGGAGACGCGAGCGAAACAGGAACATCAAGACGCGGTCACGTGTGTATCTCGCTCGTTGCCTCACCGCGTGATTCCCGCCGTGCTGACCAGTCCATGCATCAAGTTCTACTTGCACAACGTAAGATATACCGACATATGTACCTTTTCTACTGCAGGACGTCTGGTATAGGAAAGGATATGAGGTCCCATGCTTGCCACGCCACAATCGATGCTTCCAGATCCTTCAGCCGCGCGTGTGCGCGCTCAATGTCATACGTATCCCGTATCCGCTCCAACCCAGCCATAACCACACGCCCAGCCTTCGCATGATAAGCCTCGTTTGTCGAGATCTTGTGACAGAAAGCAACCGCTCGGTCCAAGAACCGTTCCTGCCGACGATGCCACCGTGTCAAATCGACGCGTACGCGATGAGCTTCGTACACCAGGCGCTGGACCTCAGCCGCGCGGATGTCGGTCAGCGCACGCTGATGCATTTCCTCCGTATGTTGCGGTGCCGCCCCGCCCACATAGACTGCAATCATTCTGTTTGTCGCCGAGGAGCAGAACGCTACGCCCCGCTAGTGTTGAACTTCCGAGTAAGCCAGCGAAGCTTGAACCCACATGCGAAAACGTACATGTCCTACACCGTCCGCCTCCCCCGCGTCTCGCACTTCAACGCCGTACTTCCCGATGTGTTCCGCCTCGAAGTGCTTCCACCCGATCCAATCCATGCCTACGCGACGGTAAAGCACCTCGGACGCAGACATGCTCAAACGGCAGTGGTCGGTATCGAGTTCATATTCCGCATCGCGTGCCAGCACAGATCTGCCCGTCCACCGCTCCGTTTCGATTCCCCCTTCCCCGAAAAGACTGACGACAGCGCGCCGCGCTTGAGGGTCCAGTCCCAGGGGATCAACAGTATATGTGCACTCAAGAAGCGGGCAAACCCACTCCGAATGAGGCTTGCGACTGTCGTACCAGTCACTAGGGACAGAGTTGGTGCAGACGACAACGCGGAGAACTCGGAAGATGATGTGAAGCCGGATTGCGTCGACGTCCGCGGCTGCGTGAGCGTCGTCGTCTGAGTCGTCCGTGTCAGTCGCAATGTCAGATGGAGTTGGCGCCCTTCCACCCTCTTCCAGGAGATTGAAGTATCGCTCGGCCTGCGTACAATTAAAATAAAGAATGGTGTGATATGCAGGAAATACGTACGATCCAGTCATGGCCCCGATTGCTGAAATGTGCCTTCTCGTCGTCGGGCTGCAGTTCTTCGCTATCTGAATGCATGTGCACGTCCTCTGCGTCGCCATCTAGCCCGAGCAGCTCATTGACGTCAGAAACATCTACCTCGGAGCTCATGACGAGTCGGAATCGTGAGCGCGCGGACAAGAAGCGGGGAAAGGGCAGACGCGAGGGTACAGACGAGCGAGCGGTGGATCAAAGCAGACCCCGCTGTCGGAGCATACTCCGGCCGGGACCGAGGAGGACCACCCCTTTAACCTTTCCGTCGCGCAACACGTTCAGCGGGTCCAAGTACTGGTGCGGGACCTGTCGGAGTTCAACGATCCAACCCCTCGACGCCGAATCCCACGGACATTGCGAACCAAGATCTGATCGATTTTTTCACAGCAATATGCACGCACAGCCAACTACTACTGATACCGCTGAAGAATATCCAATCCTGCTGCGCCTCACCAGCTGCTGAGCCAGGGGTAGTGGTACACGCGGCGTTCGCACTTCAACAGCGCATTGTGGTCGCCCGACGCGTAAGCTGCAGTGAGGTCGGCGCGTTCCTTATCTGACAGACCCTCCCAGGTAAAATATTCGCGGGGCCACGGGCGGACCGTCAGCTGTGTGAAGTTCTCGACATCGCGATCGAGAGCCTGCGCCGTCGCCTGGGCGTCCAAGGCCGCTCGGCCTTCGGCGCTGAAATCGGCCATACGGCACTCAAAGGCTAGCTTGAGCGCAACAGTGTGATCGTCTTCGCCAGCCTCTAGCGCCGACCGTACAATATCCTGGCGCCATGCCCGGTCTGTGCGGGCCCAGAGTCTATATCTGATCCAGAGACCTCGGCGCAATCGATCGCACGCGCGCGCGCCCTTCTCAGAGAGCCACCGGCGAAGCGCGAAGGTCAGTCCTCGCTCGTCGTCGTCGGCAGCGTCCTGTATGTCGGGCATAAGCTCGAGCCAGTCTGCTTTCCAACGCCAAGTTACGAGCTGTCCAGTTCACGTCAGCGGGCTTTCATGTGTCGATGTTTGCGGCTTACCTGCGCCTCAGTCATGAACTCCGAGCACGAGACAACCATCTCCAAGCCACGCCTGCCCAGATGTGCAACGTCCAGATGACGATTGGACAAAAGTTGCAGGAGTATACGCGCCATGGTCGGGTCGCCCGGCTTGATGCGAGCCTCGCCAGAGGAGCGTTTGATGACGCCGGCTTTGATAGCGTCCCACTGTAGAGCAAAGCTGGCCTCCCCCGGCCGTAAGTGGAGAAGGTCCAGGAAGTACGAACAGTCGGGGGAGGGGCAGCACCATAGACCATACGGGTGTGAGGCGGCGCGATGGCAAGCGGGAACGTCGATGTTGTGACCCGGCAATGCATCTTGTATGACAGCGCGCACACTCTTCGTAGTCAGAGGCAGCTGCAAGAAGCTGGGTATATGGTGGTTGGGACCGCGGCCGTCGTCGACGAAGGAGTCCGTGGACGAAGTCGGCGTGTTCTCGCGTGAACCATACACAGCCAGAGCGACGTCGCTGAGAGAATTCAGGGTTCCCGCGACGACCGACTTAGCCTGTAGTACGAGTAAGTTATTGATATGATGGTAAGGCTGTGAGGAGATACATACAGCTGCATCCCACGTCGCGCGTGAAGGTTGATAGCCCTCCGAGACGGCACGCTCGGCGTCCTTTAGGATGGCTATATTACCAGTCAAATAGCCAGTCAGCGCTTCAGCACCCCCAGATAATTCAGGGTAGCCTGTCCTTCTTACCAAGGTCATAGGCATCCTCATCCTCGGGCGTGGAGCCCCTGGAGCGCGACATGATGAAGAGCAGAGGCAAACCGCGTTCGTATGCGGGCGCGCGGAGACAATGTACACCCGGCGATCGGGAAGTCAACACGCGCTCGGCCCGATGCAGTTGCTCATTCAGGAACAATTGTGGCGTGAGCCATAGGTATGGCCCGGCGTATGAAGGAAAGGGAACAGTCGTAGGTGCTCGAGGCGCGACAGTGCGTGAAGCTCAAGGAAGTCTAACGTTCAAGCCGAGTTCGCCGCGCAGGTATGTTTAATCTCGGCAACGGCCGAAGACCACATGAACGTTCAAGTTTGTCACTCTGGCGCTCAGCACAACTTCACAGCGGCTCCGATCTTGCAGTCGCTGCACGGTAACACTGCCTGGACTCACCACACCTATTGGGTCTGGACGGCAATGCGGGGGGTCAGAAGCGGGCGCACGAGGTAAGTGACTAAATAGTGTAGTCGGTATGCCTAACGGGATAGCTAGCCTCTAGGTCCTCAACCAGACGGCACTAAAACAGTCTCGCGGTAGCTTCTGCTTCAACTTATCCCATCGCTCGACGAGGCTTTCGCGCTCTCGCTTGAGCGATGCTCGCAACTCGGCCGTCTCGTGGAAGACGGTGTCGAACGCAGCGTCGACTCCGCGCCCGGCACTCGTGCGCATGACCGCCAACCACTGCTGGTCTATGATCATGGCGCCTAAGTCTTCAGTTCAGAGACGTGCCCGTCTGGTACTGTTGTGTGGCAGTTACTTACGCTTGTCAATCGATGCGAACTCTAATCGTACGTCAGCTATCCGCTCTCGAATTGGCTGGGTTCAAGAACTTACGTTGTACTAGTGCATCTAGGTGCTCGTCTGACATTACGACCGGCTTAGGGTATGCGGATGTCGCTGCGAGCTTCCGGCGTGAATGATGAGGGTGCAAAGTCAAGAGTAGCGATTACTGATTAGGCACAACCAACGCCTGCGCAGACGCGCACGCATGGATTGTAAACTCCGCACGCATTGTTCCGGATCTAATGGAAAATCCGCGCTCGCTGTTGTGTGCGACGCTGTCCAGTTGATGTACACTTTATTCTCCACTGTATAGGAAACATCGTCAAATCCATATGCGCTATCGACCACGTTTTCATGAGTGTTGCGTAACAGTGTGAATGACATCGTGCAGTGGGATCCAATCTGCTCGTCCGATCGCGAGTCCAAGATAGTGTCCCGAAAGCTTTTGCTGTTCCTCTTGGGCTTCTGATCAGTTTCTAACTAGCAGGAACGACGCCATACATCCAGGCGTGGTACCGACCACGCTTACCGCAACCTGCATCTCGCCACTACCTCCAAGACTCGTACCTTCAAGACTACGCGATGGCTGACTTTGAAGAACTTCAAGATCCGTTCGTCGACGACGTTGGCGAAGGAGATCTGTAAGTTCCCCGTTCAGCTATTAATGGCTCTCCGACTGACAGGTTGTAGCGACGACAATCACAGCGCGGCGTCTGGCAGCGAGGGCGTCGACGATGAGGAACAGTTTGACGATCCTGGGTAAGCCTCTCGGTCCCTAAACTAATGCTATAGTTTATTCACACTTCGTCAGGGAGGAGCTGCCTCCGGTCCCGTTCTCCAACGATCCTAATGCTATCTGGGATCACGATTCAGTGCCGGGAGACGGCAACTGGGGCACCTGGAACACCGACTCAGAGGACTTCCAGGACACCGGCCTCTCCGCAACGCCATACTTGAACGATCACTTCGGCGTATTCTCCTCGCGAAATGGGTGGCTACGCCTGAGCGGCTGGGAGTACCTCACTTACCAGCGCGGCGCGCACATCTACACCACGCTCGAAGAGAAGCAGGCAATCCCAACCGTAGTTATCGGTGCTCCTTCCGACCCGGGTGAGTCGGCGGTGCATTGTAGAGCGTCTTTCGCTCAATCTCACAATCTTATCGATCTCAGGTACATGGCCGGTACCCAACCCACCGATCACCCGTCTCAATGACGACCTTCTGCGGCTGGTCTTCTCGCTGCTTGGGCCCGGAAAGTACATGGTGCCGATTGCCGGCTTTTACAATAGCGGTGCGCCGGGTCGCCGTTGTCTGGACGACGTCATAAGCGTTCTCAAGGTTGGGCGCTGGTGGAACCACAGTATGATGGGCTTCCACACTTTATGGGCCACATTTCTTCCGGCCGCTAAGCACGAGGAGGTCCTGGATATCATTCTCGAGCGTGCCGGCGGCTCGAATCTTCGTGTGGCATTCTGGGCCGGCCTACCGCCCGACAGGCTTTCAGTGCTCTTCTCTCGCGCGTCAGCTATATACGCCACGGATGGGATAGGCTGGAGGGCGTTCGACGGCGTGTTTGCAGGAAAGGTACTGCCAAAGCTGGATGTCCTGTACCTGCGACCATTCGAGCAGTACATGCCCAGGACGGTCTTGCCATCTCACAGCGGCTCACCCTTGCATATTCCGAATGCGACGGTCGTCGAGCTCTCTTCGCCACTTGACTTCATGGCGCCGAATGCAAAAGAAGTGGGGCTGTCGTATCATACGCTTTCGCAGCTAGAGACGGTCCTCAGACCTGAGTTGTCCCCCACCCGGCTTGTGATTAACCGACCCCGCGAGCTCGGCGCCATCAACTGGACGGCACTTGTTGCTCGACTCGACTACTCTCGCCTACGTTACCTACGGATTCGTGCGTTAGACTCGCAGGCCGTCCGCATCGACGTATCTGAGCATGCGCGGTTATTGACTCCAGAACTCAGTCATATCGACCTAACAACACCAGTCGCGCTCAAAGCACCTCAGGCATTCCTCGTCAAGACCTTCAATATACTCGTCCAGGAGCTCATATTCTTGCTAGAGGAGATGCCCGTGGTTCGTCATCTCTATGTCCGCTGGTCCGCATCGCCGCTGGAGTTTGTCGGTCTTCCCCGGCCGCTCCTTCTTTCCAACTTGAGTACGGTCAAGATCGCGGGCGACATCTCGCGCTCCACTCTCACGTTCGTCTCGAGCATACGCGCGCCTGCTCTCACGAGGCTCAACCTCTTTGGGCGTCTCCGTCGTGGACGGGACGATGAGGCTGCGAGGGCTCTCAGCCAATCCTTACAGACCGTGTTGTCCGATCACCCGAACGATCAGCCCGTTCTGCTACAGTGGCTCCGAGGCGCCCATGTCACCCTCGCGCAAGCCCGCTACCAGGAGATGGCGGATACGCTTGCGTCCTTCTTGTACCCTGAACATGGGTTTAATGACCCGCCCATAGAAGAGGTGCGGGCCACGGCTTTGGGATTAGCAGACACGCTGGCACACACGTTGGCGGTCGTGGAGGCTGAGGGTCCCTCGACCCACGACGGGTACCTACTACGCGACATAGTGCGAGCGATGCAGGTGATGGCGTCCCGTAACGAAGCGCCGCTGGACAGCTGCGACTCGTTACGGGTCAGGAGTGCGTTCACGGGTGGCGTACTTTTCGACGCGACGCTGCTCGAGGGAAAGCTCTGTATGTCGCTTTTCATGGTCAGTAGTTATGGCACTCTGGGAGGATGGGATGAGAGGTCCTACGACGGCGACTCTTCGGCGTATAGAGTGGCACGGGCCCTTTTTGGGCTGCAGCCGTTGCGCCCGCGTGTGTTGGACATCGTAGACGAGCCGTTCAGCGAGTTCCTCGAGGCAGATGGGCACGCGGACATGGACCTGATGATTGAAGCGCTGGCTTCCTACGACGTGGTGCATACGCTGGCCCTCGACTACAGTCGCACGTGGCGTAGGCCTAAACTGATCTTCGCGGCGCTGAGGAACGGGTCAACACTTCCCGGCCTGAAGAATGTGGCCATCCGCTGCACGGTCATCAGGCAACCCGACCTATACCCCGAGTTTCAAATGTCGCAAGACCTCTGGTTCCTGATAACGGAGATGCTTCGGGCGCGTGCAGAGGCAGGTAGACGGCTTGACGTTCTCGCACTTCATGGCGCGTTCTGTATGCGCAAGGCTCTTGTTGACGAAGCGGAACCTTGGGTAGGGATGATTGACCTGTCGCTTGTAGAGTGCAAAAACTTGGGCGGTCAGTCGCGCTGCGGGTCCTGTCGGTGGAGATGATACGCGGGACACTTTTTGGACTTGTACATTTGAATGCACTTTCATGTAAAGCGGTGGCACACGACGCAAAGCGCATGTGTAACAGCCATGCATCCGTGTACGCGGTCTCAACACGCGAGTTAGTAGAATTGTCACAGGCTTGCATCGTTCATGACCCATAGAATCCGCGTACCAGTACGCTACTGTAGCGCACTGCATGTAGGGTATACATGCCGAGCATTTGCCGCGCATATAGGGAAGTAGTCGATGAGGACAGCGAGGATGAACGCATACCCGCCGAAGTCCGCGGCTCGGGAAAAGGTCCGAACGGCTCAGACGGCTCAGCCACATTTATCATAAGTTACTGGGCAACTACTCTGTCAGAGTCTCAATCGTGAGCCCACGATAGTGTCGAATAGAATTAAAGCCATCCGAAGGTCACGGGAGAAACGGGGGAAGCACAGTACGGCGCTGAGCGTCTTCGCCGAATGACTCTGCGCGCGCAGAGTGAACCCCGAGCCTTGCCCGAGCCGCGTCTTCACTGCGGTGTCTCGCGTGTCAGGCTCAATTGATCCTCACGCTCACCTCTCATAATATTCCCAGTATCTGGAGGGCATCGGGGACACGATAACTTCAATACAGTACAAAATGAATAAGGCCATATGATGAGACTACTCGAAACCAACCAAGTCAAAGCAGGCGTGTACATGTAGACATTACATACAGCAGCACACGAGGAGAGATTAAATCTGTATGTAAGCTTCAGCACATGTCAGACTTGCAGACGCCCGCTTGAGACGTACTCAAGCCTGTAAGGAGCCTGCCTGGGCTTCGGCGGTAGCGCGGGCTCGCTCGTCCTCCAACTCATATGCAAGATTAACGGCGCGTCGAACAACGCGCGCCGTGGCGGGGTTTCCGCACCACTCCTCGTCTTCACAGTGCCACTTGCCACACTTCTCGTCGTCGTCCCTCCAACTGAACAAAGGTACGGTTAACAATGGAAGATAACTGGAAGCAAACTGAGTCCTTACTCGTGCGCATACTTCACGGCCTTGCGGACACGTTCGACGTCGTCACCACTGTATCCCTCGTTCGCAGCCAGGTGATAGAGAGTGAGTGCGAGGGCCTCCGCGGACACACCCCAAGGAGCCAGAGTGAATAGACGAAACTCCTTCCATGTCGCCCAGGAAGGAGTACAGTGCGTGCTCAAGCCAGATGCTTCACGAAGCCGAGCAAGCGACTCAGGTCCAGTGAAGATCTTTCTACACGTGTCCGCGGCTTGCATGTCCATGACGAGCTGCTCGGCGCGGAAACTGCCTTCGTAGTCGATGCCGCGAGAGACGTTGAGCATGGTGACCGGCAGAAAATGAGATGGCTGAGGCAAGTCCCTGATTGCGTGGAGCGACGGGACATTATCCACCGACGCATGGCAGGAAGAAATGGCGAGCTGCCCCGGCTGCGCAACCGTGAGCCAGGTATTCGGTTTAGCTTTGTGCATTAACCATTAGCGCACCGTGCGTGATGGGGCCATGGACTGCCGGATGGACACTTGATGCGGTGGACCGTCAGGGGCTTGGACTACGGCAGAAGGAGTCGCGTCGCGCGGTCGATGATTGCGTGCGGGACAAGAGATTGCACGGCCATAGGACCATTCACGGATCGGGCCTTGGAGAGCGAGGATCTGGGAGAAGAATAAGAATGTCTTGGTGGAGATAAGTAAGGCCGACGCACCGCACCCGCCCGAACGTATACGCAACGATGCGAGACGCCGCCGTTAGCCTCCCGCACGATGCCTACCCGTCGCATTTCGCCTACGATCCAGCTGTCGCTGGACGTGAGCCGTCATCACGCAATGACTTTCAAAGCGAAGGAGATGAAAGTGACGATGGCATGCCCGCCCTGGAGGCCGTCGACGACGCGGTCGGCGACAGCGTCGATAGTTTGAGCGGTGAGTATCGAGTTCTGGTGTGGTAGCAGGTGGCGTGTGGATTGTGCTCGTGCGGAATATGCTCAAGCGTCTGCCAGATGACTCGGACAGCGACACCGAGAGTATGCCGGCGCTCGAGGCTGTGGAATCGGGGGATAGCGCTGGTGAGATGCGCGGAGGTGAGTGGCGAATGCCGTGAACGGGGCAAGTGAGCTGAGTCTCACACAGACGGCACGCCAGACTGGCATGGCGTGTTCGTACAGCCGGGAGCTGCACTGCGCGCCGACGAGTATCACTCCCAGGGCGACTTGCTCTTCTTGAATACCGCCTTACGCCACCAAGTCCTCTTAGACGAACAGATTCTCCTTGACGCCGCGTTCAAGACGAGGAACTTGGAGTTAAGACGCGTCCTCCGTGATCGTTTCCATGCAGCGGCGCATCGTTCACTGCCGGCAGACTGTTTCAGCTTCAGACCGGCTCCGTGCGAGAGGTAGGTTATGCCTGCGTACCATACTGTGGACGGCTCTGAGACGAAAACTAGGGCCACCGATGGAGAACATACTGAGCGAGCCTGGACGACCTCCACCTACGATATAGAATGCTCTCGCTGCCCAGTGGAGCGTTGCAGCGAGGGCTTCGCTTCTACTTCCAGTGGTCCGTCGAACGTGCGAGCCAAACTGTAAGGAGAGCGTGTGTGCGCGTCTGCCAAATGTCAGTGTAGCTAGGGTGTTTCCGTGTAATGAAATACCATTCGTCCAGCTCACAGTGTCTTGGGTGATGTGCGCTACTTCGGGTAAGCTAAGCGGTGGTGGTTGCAAACGTACAGGTAGGTGCTGGGTTTGCAGCTTCTATAGTGCGTGCTGCACACCAAGTGACGGTCACGCGAATGCGTCGCGCATACGCGCCTCTTTACTGTTCGCTTCTCACTCCCACCTGAGCGGCTGTGCGTCGATCGCGCGTACTGTCCTCATGTTGACTGCACTTCTGCTCACAACTCCTGCGACGGTCATCATCTCTCAATGCTAGGCTATGGCGTGCTTCTCGATTATACGCATTCGGCGATACGCTCGCGGGGACAGACGGCGGGCGTCCCGCCTCCTACGAGCACGTCGCAGTGTCTGGACATGGGGGAGGCGATCTTACCGGTGTTATAGTGCGGGCGGTTACCATAGGAGATTGTGAGCGGATGGGGCTGCGAATGGCGTTCAGGTATGCGCACAGATCGGAACCGCCGAATCGGGCATGGATACAGAGCGGCTGAATGACACACTTCTCATACAGTACGGTGTTTTACCTACAAAATTGAATGAATATGACATTACGTCTGCGAGTTTGAGAGGCGAAGCGAGTTTGCTGGCCGCTCGGGGTACGTTCACACGGAATGGGCCAGTACTATCTGTTTGAGCGCGTTCCACTACGCCCCATCGCTAGATTACTCAAAAGGGCACACGCACGTATTATGTTTATAGGCCAATGAAATGTCCGCCCTGCTTGCAAGCTTCACGTGGGCGCATCTAACATGCGGCACGGGAAGTCGCGATAAGATGTGCGCATCTTGGAGCACGCCTCCAGAGTTCCACTGTCTAATTCTCGTTGAACGACTGCTGGCTGGATCACGGTATGGACTTGTTATTTGTCCACGCGCACTAGTGCTCATGTGACATATTGTGGAAAGTCCTCACAACGAGACACCGTCGACGTGCGGACGTACTCATCATGAAAAAGAACACAGGTGCTTGGAGTGATCTAGCAAAGTCGCGGAAGCGCGTGAAGACGGGCAAGGGCGGCTATATTGAGCAGAACGACGTCAATGTCGGTGTCATCCAAGGCCGCAACGACGATGGGGAGATGGTTCAGACCATTGAACGATCATCTTACACACCATCGGCGCCGTTGGAAGCAATGGGCGATCTCACCACGCAGTTACCTCCCGTCTCTCGCTCGCCCTCACCTGCAGGTAGCCCTGCAGGTACCGCGATGGACATAGACCGCCCAGATATGGAGAGCACGGATCTTAACGGCGGCAGCCGGGAGGACGACGTTGACGCTGAAACTGACTTGGAGTCGCAAGCCGAAACGGAGGCGGACGACGTCGACAGTATAGCTGAGGACGGACTCTCTACCAGTGTATGTGCTTTGCAAAGTCACGCACAACTGAACTGAAGAACCTGCTCCCAGCGGGCGCCCATCAGGGCCTGGATGCGGAAGCGCAAGGACTTCCTGACCGAGCTCATACGGCTTGACGGTCGCGCCGAAGCCGCAACACTTGCGACAGAGAACAAATGTCGGAATCCCAAATGCCGTGATACGCGCACACATCGCAAGTTCTATAGGTGTCTCTCGGGCTGCATGCGCTGCGACTGGATGTGCCGAGGTTGTATCGTGAAGAAGCACAGCGATCTACCGCTCCATCGCGTTGAGGTGCGTGACTGAGTGTTCGGGAACGAGAAGGAGTTCTAAGCACTGACGATGGATTGTAGATATGGCTCGAAGGCCATTGGCAGCAAACTACGCTGCGCAAACTGGGAGTCAGCGTCTCTTTCGGGCATAACGGGAAGCCTTGTCCACAGCCACGTAGGACCATCGATGATTTTGTCGTCATACATACCAACGGGCTGCACGAGGTCAAGGCGGTCTTCTGTGGCTGTACGTTCGAGTACATCCCCGTACGTGACCAGCTTCTGCGAGCGCGATGGTGGCCGGCCACAGTCCATCAGCCGCAGACGGCGGCGACATTCGAGGCTCTGGATGCGTTCGATGCGCTAGGAGGCGCAGGAAAAACAAACGCTTACGAGTACTACAACTCGCTGTGTCTTCTAACGGATGCTACAGGCCTGCACAAACTGCCGGTGAGGCGCTGCATATGACGGCATCAAAGCCATGACGCTCAATCATTGTAGGATCGCTACAAAGAGTTCACGCGGATAACGCACGAGTGGCGGCACATACATCAATGCAAGCGCGCCGGCAGAGGGCATGACCGCTTCGGGGGAATCGAAGAGACTGAAGCGGGAGATCTGGCCGTGTTATGTCCGACATGCCCGCACGAAGGACTGAACACCGACATCGAAGAGCTTCTGCGAGATATATCACCACATCTGGTGAGAGAGAAGCCGTAAGTGCTTCAAGCTATCATACGCTCAAGCGCTGACGAATCAGCAGAAACTTTGAGCGGGTTCTGGTCGCGATGGACTGTAACTTTCGGACGCGCAACAGAGAGAACCGCTCCGATAGCAAGACGAGTCCGACGTTAGGAAACGGCATGGCGTATATGGTTCCTGAAGCCGAGTATGACGCGTTCACTGAGAATAGCAAGCATCAACAAGAGGTGGGCAAGCTTTGGGTGCGGAGATCGAAGGCTGACAATCACGCGCTATAGATGAGCAGCTGTTCGAGATTCGGCGCCATGATACTTGCGAACCTCAAGAAAGGGAAGGGATACAGGACAACCGGCATTGGCGGCGTGTTCTGTTCGAGGCACGGGTACTGGTGGCCGAACTCAGTGGGCACTCTGATCAAAGGCGAACGGTGAGTACGGCATCGATCTAGATGAGATCTGCCACACAAAACATCTCACGCGTCAACTCGCAGGTACTGTACGATGGATTTTATTCTGGCGGCGGTAGCTCTGCGGCTGAGGACGTCTAACGTGCACATCGCGTATGACATCATCTGTCAGTACGCGAAGAACTTACTTTCGCGGCTTGAAACCGTCGAGGAAGGTTCATTCATCTACGAGGGCGCGCAGAAGTTACTACACGACCTCGAAAAGACGTACGCGGTGCCCAAGTTCCATAACCCGGGCCACAAGGAGCTGTGCCAACAGTGGTTCAATATTTCGTTTCAAAAGTATTGCGGGCAGACGGACGGTGAGACGTCGGAGCGTGCATGGGCAGGTCTCAACCCCGCGACGTCTAGTATGAGAGAGATGGGTCCCGGGCGAATGCGGGACACGATCGACTTCTACTGTGGAATATGGAATTGGAGAAAGACTATCGGGATGGGTACGTTGAGAGACGCCTACTAGCTGGCGCTATTGACTGAGAGGAACGGGCAGGGCCGTTCTTGCAGAAGAAGTTGGAGATTGCACTCGCTGAGGGAGAGGATCACAGCGAGATCTACACCGGCTTGCGCGAGGTTCTTCTGGAGGAGGACTACGAGAAGTGTATGGCGTGGATCAACAGCGTCTTGCGATGGGAAGCGAGAGACGAAGACGGCAAAGTAGACGGCCAGGTCGTCTCAAATCCGTACAAACCTTTGGCGAAGCGTGCGTACAAGGCTACGAGATACGCGACCCGGCGAGTTTGGAGACTGACTGCTTGTGACAGCGATAACCCTCCATCAAGCTCGGCTGCGGAGTGCTCAAGCTATGAACGACGCACTGAACAACGTGGGCGCGGCGGCCAGTCAGTCGAGCGCGACGCAAACGGCATCTCCAGAGGTGACGAACTTCATCTTACTTGGGTTCAAGATCGAACTCCTGCAGTACGTGCATCTCGACGAGGATGATGGCTCGTGACTAACCCTGGATAGACTACGTGGACAGGCTGCGCGCAGCGCAAATACAGCATTGCAAAAAGCTCAGAAGATCGAAAACGATAACGAGCTTCTCCGCCAAATAGCCGTCTTCCGAAAACAGCAACAGTGGATCATGCCGTTGGTTTACGCCGGCCTGAAGGAGTTGGAGGGCGACGAGTCAGATGAGCGGGAGGAGGGCGTCGAGGATGATGCCGAAGACAAGGATAGCGGCGAAGATTTGAACACGGTGAGGCTGGAGGCGAGCGCAACAGGCCTATACCTACCGTCGGAGCTGCCAGTTGAATTGGCGGTTCAACAGCATCGCGATATGCTATTGGAGGAGCTCCGCTTGCGCTGGGGTGGACTATCGGATAGCATCATCATGGTCCGCCAGAACCTGCAGATTCGCGGTGTGGTCCATCTTTTCAGAAAGGGGAGCACACGAGGACAACGGGGGGCGACGCGGGCGCAGGGGATGCAAGCGGTCATCGAGGCCAACCTGGCCGTGGCAAAGGCGTCTTACCGCTTGCATCGCAAACGGTTCGAAGTGCTAGCGAGTATGCTGCCACCGGAGGACCGTGATAAGTATATTCCACCTGACTGGGAGTCGCGATTCCGGGTCTTGGAGGATCACGATTGCGTCTCACTCGGCTCAAAAATACTGGTGCAGATCGAGAAGGCGGACACGGCGCGTGCGCGGAGCATCATCACCGCTAAGAAAGGCGGAAACTCGAGCGGTACGACCCACCATAAAGTATCGTGGCTCTGGTACACGCCGCTGGATGCTGCGTTGGATCTGAATGATGGTGAGCAATTAGCGCTACTCAAGTTTGCGCGGTAACTGAGAAATGCCAGATATGCGTGTGGAGTTTTTGCGCTGCAGGGCGAGGGCCATGAGATGGGTGGAAGAGGTGTATCACCTCTGTTATGAAATGGTGCGCACGCCGCTTTTTGCTATGCGAAAGGCAGAGTGGTGGGCTCGGAAGGCGATACTCCCGATGCCAGGAATGGACAAGGCGACCCAGGACGGGACGCGCGCGTACGCGAGGAAGCAGAGCGCCATGTTTCGGCGCCAATCCGAGGCTTTGACTGCCCGATTCGAGCAGCCGTTGCGGGATGCCGCGTCGTTCTTGGACTTACACGGGATCGACGGATTGTTGAAGAAGAACAAATAGGTTAGCGTGCTTGTACAGCGCGATATGCACAATAAATTATATATCATTCGGTTCGTACGGTATGCGCGAGTGCGATGAAGGTATCTAAACCGAGGGGAATACCTAATTGCACCAGATACTGGCGCCGGTGCTGTCAAAGGCGCCGCGCTTGATGCCATCAGGGTTGATAACACGAGGCTCGCACTCGGCGGCCCGAGAACACCCGCGTGCGCGGCAAGACCACATCGTGAGAGCATCGGGTATGATACCTGTACGGGCGAGCTGATACTAACTAGAGATCTCGTATAAGTATATTGCAGCGAGTGAGGTGAGCAAAAGGGATGGAGGTTTAGACGGGGAGACGCCGTACAGGCGCCGCGCGTGATATCAGCTGATACCATCAACGCGCGAGCACGAGGCTAGCAGTCGCTGGGGCGTCGCGTTCTTGTTCTACCCGTCATGTTGCTCCCCGATCCTTCCTCTTGTCCCTTCTCCCAGAACTGCTCTTAGAGCGTGCGCGTGAGCGTATCTCTTGGACTACCGTCGGGAGTCTCCCCCACGTTCACCGTTCCTTCTCGTCGCCCCCCTTCTCCGGTCCCTGCGCCATCCGCTCTGCCCCAGCCCATAGAGTGGTGAGCCATGTCTGGCCCGTCGTACATTTTTGAGCGGTCGGACGCTTGCTCGCTCGGGGCGCTGTCGACTCTGAGATCATAGGTGCGTCCCCGCGAAGTGTCACACGTATAGCGCTAACGGATCCGCGCTAGATATGTCTTGTGAGCCGGTGGAGATGCCGCTCATCGCACTCAGCGCAGCCTATACGTACGGTGCGTGTTCTTGAACTTGTACGAGTGACTCGCGCCAACATGACATGCTTAGGTTCCTTTTTTTGGTAATGCCGTGCACTCGATACGGTCGGCTTGGACGTCGTACAGAGCGCACAAGGTATGTTGTCCGTCGGTCAGTTTATGCCCTTGATGCTAGGGCTACACGGGACGTCCGTCCGATTGAGCAATTTGCCTTGCGCGGTCGTTGACGCTGGCGTCCTCGCTCATTGGGCATTGGGCGAGGGCGAGGGCATTGACAGCTGGACGGTCACTGGGAGTGCAGGGCTCCCTTGTACGAATACTTAGTTTGTACCGTTGAATAGTCATACTTCAAATTCGATTTTTATAAGCGCGCAATCACAATTTTTGCAGCAAATGTTTATTGTTTGGCGATATCGCGCGGTAACTTATCATTTAGGTTATCGAGAGGGTGAGGAGGCTACATATTCTGTGTACACAGTAAAGGAAACAAGGACAGTTAGCTCTGTTGTATTGGGTGCAGTGCAAGCCCTCTAGCTAATAGCGTGAGGTCGAGTGTTCGAACCCCGACACGGCATTATGGCCCGCCTTTTTGAAAGCCCCCGCGGCCTTTCGGCTTCGGGGGCCGAGGTTGGGTTCGGAACGGGGGGCCGTTCGGAACGGACCCCTGAACCGATATGGGACGTTCCGTAAGGTCCTGCCCCAGGTGGTGGTCAAAGACGGCGACCAGGGACAATGATGACTTCCAGTGGGCGGAGGTGGCCCCGGCCACGGACGAAGAATTGCGTAAGTCATCATGCAACACACTTGCCTACGCCTATATCGCCTTGTGAAGCTGAAACATGCCCAGAACGCGCAGGTCGTGACACCCAGGGCGTCAAAATGTCCCTCGATCCACCGCATCCTTGTCCTCCCGTGACCCTTCCTCCCAACGCGACGCGCGACACGCCGCCGCACTTGCTCCTTCCTGCGCCGTCAAACATCGAAAGTCAGGCCGGCTCTCAACCTGTGGCAGAGAGCGAGGCGGCCCGTCTCGCGGAGTCTTTACGGGAGTTCAATACAACCGTGAAGGTGATGACTTCCGCCGTTACGACCATGACCTCTACCATGGGCACAAACATGGACGGCTTGAAGACCAGCTTGGCGACGACCATGGCTCAGGAGTTCAGCAAACTTCGTCAGTTGCCCTTTCCTCCCGCGTCCACGGAGATGGACGACACGGTGAAGCAACAGACGGCCAAGGGTGCTCAGGACACGGATGGGCTTTTGCACCCGCAGGGACTTCCTACGTCTGGCGTCGGTCATAAGGACTCGATGGTGGTCGACGTCGAGCATGACAAGGCGCATGACGTCAAGATGACAGACAGCCCGTTACCCAGCAAGGTAAAGGACCTCTTTCAGCAGTCACCATCGCCTCGCGTCTGACTCGATAATAGCTCTCGACCGACGACGATCAGTCTGCGAATGTCAAAATGATTCCCAAGCTCTCGGATGCCGTCGTGATCATTGATGGCGAGAAGGTCACCCTGAAGCCGATAGAGCAGCTGTTGTACAGGATGTCGAAGATGGAGATCGCGTTGGACAGGAAAGACGAGCGTACGAACAACGAGTTCAAAACCCTGCTCCAGGACCTTGTCAGAGATCACGGCACCATCTTGGACACGCACGCAAAAAAGCAGGAAGACGCGCTCCAATCGTACAAGGAAAAGCAAGACAGGGCGTTCGACGACTTCCGTGTCACTCAGACGGCGGTCGCGGCCAAGGTGAACAAGCATACGACGGATATTGCGAAGAACGCGAGTGATATCGCGGCTTTGCAACAACAGTTGCGGAGGTTCGAGGCAGATAGGGAAGAGAAGGAAAGGCGGAGGAGGGAGATGCGCGAGAAGAAGAAGACTGCCGCAGCGGTTGGCGTCGACCAAGTCGCAGCATCTCCGCTCGCAGTTGGGGCCCCGGGCGGTGATGGACGGGGCGGTCTGCCGTTGACGGATCAGGCGCAGGCCCCTGCGATACCCGCTGAGGATTCGGCGGCACGCTCATCGACGGCGGGCCGCTCCGCGTCGCCTTCCGGACTGGTGCCGCAGACGCCCTCAAGTGCTTCGCAGGTCCCGCCGGACAGGGACCTGATGGAACTCGATGACGCTGTTGCTTCGCCGTCCCTCACTCAAGGTCTCCCGGACCCAGCGGCTCTTAACAGTGCCACGCCCGCAGGTTCAGCAGGCGCACCGAGCGATGATCGCCGTGACACGCGCAAGTCCGGTCTCTTCTCCGGCACGTCCGCGAATTCCACACCGCCTATCGATCCTGTTGGACCGTCAGGGCTTTCCGCTGTATCGGAAGCATCACTCGGTGTACCGCAGAAGGCGGTCGATGCAGCTGTTGGGACCGACGATGCGAAGAGCCTCGAACAGCGTCTAGCTGAGGGTGACGAGCCGATCGCACCCGAATGTTACATCCCGCAGTACCAGCCGCCGCTTCGCTATGAGAGGTCTCGCTCGCCGGCCCTGCCAGTGACCGACGACGTTGCGGATGCAGCGGACGCTCCACCAGTCGACAAAGCCGTATCTGACCTTGACCTGGAGGATGGTGAACTGCCAGAGGATGATCCTTTGAACGAGCTCGTCCAACTGCCCCCTGTCACGACGAGGTCGACCAAACGGAAAGCGCCTGCGTCCCAGATCACTGACGACGGACCACCGCCAGGGAAACGTAGCCGTCGGACGTTACATGGGTAGGACTCCTCATCCTGTCTCGTGTATGCCGTACGAGATTCGGGAGGTATCTTTAACGTGCCGGGCAAATTGCTTTATCTTTACGCCCCAATCTCCTCCGGTTTCCTCTGCATTTATTCTACTTGACTCCCCGCGCGACATCTACATGCCTCTCTGCCTCCCTCGACTCATTGTATTCGGTCCTGCGGACCCTTCGTATCTTTGTAGCCTACATCATGCCCATAATAGCAGCCAGCCTTTTCGGTGATCGTAAGTGCGCGATTGGGGGGCATCAAGATGTTGAGCTCGTCCGGTAACACGCGTGACTACGGTGAACGCCGAGACTTACAGTTCCCCACGGTATTGTGACCTGTTTTTTCTATCGACCCGCCCTCGAAAACTTTTCTCAGAACGTCCTATTCACCTCGAATCGCGAGCCGAAGCTATGGACGTCCCGTTCGTTACGGAAGCCAACCAGAACCTTTTTACACACTACGACTGGGACCATCGAGATGGCGATGATTGCATCTTCGTGTTGGAGGTCGCCTGCGACCTGCCCGACCCGGAATGCTATCAGACAGCCGTCACGCTCATCCGACGATTTGTTCCTGATCCCGCCGGCGGCACATTTGGTCCCCCGTACCATCTCTATCCGGGTTTTCGTGAGTTGGAGGACGTCATAGACACGTCAATCTCGACCATCGCACGTCTTGTCATGACGCTGGACTTAGGCGTGAGTGGTACCGTTTTGAACGGTACACTCACTGATCAGGGCGACAGTTCGTCAATATTGCATTACGTTCCATTGCAGTGCTTTACTCGCTGTACGGTCTGCGCCAGAAGGCCATGTATAACCAGGCCATGCTCGATTTGCAGGGTCAATCTCTGTCCATCGACGAGCTGTTCGATCTGGTGACCGACAAGGCTCGACTTGCGTATCAGAGTGGCCACATCGTCCAACACCTGTTCGTCATAGACGAACTTGTGAATTGGTTGTACTATCGCTTCAGGAGGAACGACTTAACCCGAAATTTAATCATCAATGTTGGCGGGTTGTGCTTGAAGATAATCGTGTCTCATAGAAGCGCTCAAAGGTGGTATTTCCGCTGCTGGGTTTATCTGTGGTACGCTCATGCTTCCGATTTCAGTACGTGCGGTAGAGAGGGCGACGATACCTTCTTCACGGAAATACAGCGTCCTAGGTCTTACCAATGGCTCGAGTTCGCCTACGAAGTCCTGACCTGGGAAGGAATCATTCCTCAAGGCATTACCTTAATAACGGCGCTGGAAACGGTCGAGAAGGAAACTTCTCCTCGAGAAGGCGTTGCGTCCCAGAAAAGATACATCTTGCGAACATTCGGTCGTACCAAAGTCACGCGTCTCGAGTGGACAGCTTTGTCCAATATCGAACGCCATGCGCTTCGGTCGCCTTACGATATCTGGCCTTCGTTCGAATCGCAATGCCTGTTTTGCGGTAAGAAACAGGCGCCTAAAAGATGCGCTTGGTGCAAGGTCGGAAGGTACTGTGACTATTACTGTCAACGCAGGTACGAGATGACCGGCAGCCAAACGATACGCTTTACTCAGCCAAAATAGGGACTGGAAACGAGCGCACAAGCCTGCATGCTCCATTTACTGCATGAACGGGCTCCCGGAGCCGACTGAGGACGGTATGTGTTAACAAATGGCTCCGGTCGCAGGCGGTTGAAACTCATGCACCATCCTTGTCACGCAGAATTGTGATCCGTACATGCACGTCACGCGTTCTTCATCGCCTTTACCGTTTTCTACAGCGTTCCGACCGTCTAATTAGTTATTGTATTCCATTCATTAGACATGCCGCTTACAAGAATTTCAACGACGCAGCGCGTCGACGTATTGGCACTATGCGTGACATGCGACTTGTTCATAGGGCGCCGCGACACGCCGAGATCCTGTCACCCGGGAAACCCCGAAATGCAAACGTAGATATCATATTTCGAGAACGTACAGATGTCATGAAGATCGGCTCTGCGTACCTAACTGAGACGACTGTATTACAAGCTGTCCGATGATCTATCGCTACGTGAGGGACGCGGTTCAATCAAAGCCCTACTCGGCATGTCACTTATTCAAACGGACTCGGTCCGTCGGCTTCCAGCTTCTATTCGGCCCTGGATAAGGTATTATTGTAGTCACGATAAGGGCAAATGAATGCACACCGTGGCACACACGGCCGGCGGCTCCCTCCCCAACGCTCAGGCGTGTGGCGCGAAATCATGGCAAGGATTCGCGTCGTCCAAAACAGAACCGGGACGCGCGACCCTGGGACGAAGAAGGCCCCCGTTTATAAAGCCAACGTCGCCCGCGCGATCTTGGACGCTAACCACCATGAGCGCCTCTCGACAGAACCAAGGCCCTGCGAACTTGGACGAGGACATCGAGATGTCCAACGAAGCGAACCCCGCTCACCCCATCCACGGCCATACGGCGGACGCCCGTTCTCAAGCGCCTCAGCCTCCCTCAGCTCAATTCTTTTACACGCCACCGGCCTACGCTCCTCCTCCGCCCGGCGTCGCGCCCGGCATCGCGCCCGGCATCGCGTCTGGTCATCCGCCGAGCGTCGCGCCCGGCGTCGCGCCTGCCCCGCCCGGTGTCGCGCCACAGCTTGTTCAAGGCTTCGCCTCTGGGCACCCACACGGAGTCTCGCACGGCCACTCTCACAGCTTCGGGCAGGGTTTCGCGCCCGATGTCGCGTCCGGCTTCGCGCCCGGCCCATCCTCCTTCGCGTCTGCTCCCGGCTTCTCGTCTCCTCCCGGCTTCTCGTCTCCTCCCGGCTTCTCGTCTCTTCCCGGCTTCTCGTCTCTTCCCGGCTTCGCACCTCATCCCGGCGTCGCGCCTCCGGGCAACGCCACCGCCAGCGGATCCCACCAGCCGCCTCCGCAGCCGTCTGGCCCTACGGCGACCCAGGGTCGCCTCCGCACCTTCGAGGAGATAATAGAGGAGATGCAGTCGACGGGCCGCACTCGTGTCCTACCGTGGCGTACGTGCCGGTGAACTCTTCATGCTTGGCTTTCGCTTACTTCACGATTTAGATTCGCTCGACCTCTTGAGGATGGTCCAGGACCGCCTCACGGAAATAAGCGAGGCCAACTCGCTTCGCGACGCCGCTCGTACTGCTGAGAGCCAGACACAAGAAACCTTCGCCACTGCTATGACCGAGGCGATCAACGAGGTGAAGAAGTTGCTCCGCCAGGTCCAGGACAGCCTGACCTCCGGCTTCGCCGCAATGCGCGGAGAAGTGCTCGCCACCTCGTTCGAGTACACGAACGGCGAGTATATGTCTCTTCAATATGTACGTCAGTCACTAACACGGTTATTTGCCAGCCGTCTTTGCGCGCCACTTCGATCTCGTCCTTGAGGCGATGATCGGGCATGTCCGCCCTGGCGTGTCCACCCAGCCAGCTCAACATGTAGCCCCGTCAACGGCGGCACCGCGCGAGGACACCGTCCAACACGGAGGAAACGGCGGCGGCCAGGAACCCGCTGCGGGCGCAGGCGCAGAGGAGGAAGACGCACCAAACCCAAGCGACCCTAAGGGTAAGGGCAAGGCCCGTTAGTACGCGTCGTCGCTCGACGTCCCTGCTCGGCGTCGCCGATGTGAACGGCTGGAAAATGAGAAGGACCGATATCATCTTGCGCGCTTGATTTAGACTCAAATTGTACGATACTTCGCGTAGCAGAGGGATTAGGATTGGGTGCTTGAACTTGTGAGGCCTCGAGCCGCTCGCAGTACTTTGTGAATTGCAGCAGTTGGTGAGATACTCGCTTACGTCGTGGTGACATGAGCTGGACCTAAATTGGGAAGCTGCCATAGGGCAATGGCGTTTGGCCAACTGCGCCGCCGGCCACGTGCACGGTGTGACCCTGCGTGTGTATAATCGGAAACTTTGACACGAGGGTGTGTAGTCTCCGTTCAGTCGGACCTTCGGCGCATTCTAGGCCCAGGTCATGTCGCTTACCAACTTCCCACCGGCAGTAAGATGAGCCGCGCCCGGCTTCCGTTCAGCTATTCTTACTTCGCGAGGTCGAAACCCGAAGTTGTGTATGAAGCTAATGGCAAGGACCGCTTGGTAGCGCCTTCCTTTGTTCCGAATGCCCAGGGGTCGTTATCGAATTCTATCGGCTACTTCTCCAACCCTCGCAAGAGCGTCAGGATTCGCATCGCCTGCCTTTCGGGCGCCGGGTGAAATTTCAGGCTGAAGGTTCTTGGAGTACCGAAGCGAAGGAGCGGCAACAGACGTTATGGAGCAGAACCTGTCCCTAAAAGGAAATTCAGATAACAAGGTGGCTTTTCGGACGGAAAGGGGAGTTGTCCGACGACCAGAGGTCACCTTCGCTTGACCACTACATCCATGTAAAGCATGATGGAACAGGGACAGCCGACCACAATGCACTCATCGCGACAGACTCTGCGACTCGGAGAAAGGGACGGCTCAACCTAGAAGACTGCTGGACATAGTGCCAAAATGGGACGAAACCCGTCGGCATTTTGCGGGCGAGCATATAAGGCACGCATGCATTGATGCCGTCCGCGCTCAACCCCCATGTCGTCTCCTCAGTCAGGTCACTCCCGCACTCGGTCGGAGAGCTCCGACGAGTCCGATACCATGCCTTCTCTCCAGTCTTCGACGTCCTCATCCACGACGCCAGGCTCTTCTCCCAAAGCTCTTAGCTCTCACAGCGCCGACACTGCAACGTCAGACTTGCCGACACCAACGGCGGGAGACGAGCGTGCGGCCAAAGGTGGCAAGGTGTCTGAGGGCACCACTGACGATCTGGAGACGCTTGTATCCACGGCGTCGTCAGGCAGCCGAGACTCAACCAGCATTGGTAGGCTGAAACTTATTGCGGCCCTGATTAGAATCTGACCTGTTGCAGAGGATGTGGATGTCGTCTACTTGCTCGAGGCGCATCTGCGTGAGTCTGCGGAGCAGGAGAAGGCGAAGGCGAAGGAAATCAACGCACACATTGCGGAAATCGACGAGCGCATGACTAGATTCTCTCTGACCATTGAGGAGGATCTGAAGGACATTCGTCAAACCGCCAAGAACATTCAGGCCGTTTTCGTCCAACCGAGCGACGACCTCCAGCGGCTGAAGGACGCGACGCTGCGCAGTAAGTCTATATGCTCCCCTTGAAGGCGTGCATCCGCCTGACTGCCATGTAGTTGTCCTCGGCAACCTGAACAAGCGCTTCGACCTTCTGCAGTCCGTCCCGGTTGCTTCCTGGGCCAAGGTGTCCAAGGACATGCCACCTTTGACCCAAGCCGCCTGAGTCGTTGGCACGATACCCTAGCTCGTTACGTTGATTCGGATCATATTGCATATCGTTCTGCAGAGTCGTTTCGTGGTCATCCTTGTACAGATGTATAGCGATATTGGAGAAGGGAAAGGACTTGTGTGCGAATATAGGTTTCACCGGTGGTCGACGCATTTGATTGTTTGAAAGACGTTCGAAATACGCGCAGAAACAAATCCATATTCATGTCTGTTGAATATTATACAGTCCCGAGGACCGCTGCCCGAATTCAGTCCGTCACGTAGAGAGGTGTCGCGGGACTGATTGCGATCGCACATGCGTGACATATTGACTGCGACATGATAAGAACAGCCGAGAGACCCGTGGCGGAGGATCGCCCTTTCTATCGTGCGCGGTGTGATCGTAATTGGTCCTCAACTCCCTTCGCTACCGCATCCTCCATCTCAGCCATTCGGTTTATCAGAGGCTGAAAATCGTTGGCGAGCCGCTCGAGTTCAGTGTCCAGACTTGCGAGCCCGTCGGACACGGGCGGAAGAGACTCTGGAGGCTGTATTGCGGCGTCTGAGAAAGATGAAGAATGGAAGGTAGGTCACGCACTGCGACGGAAGCGAATGATAGGGCGATGACAACATCCGCGAGGTCAAAGCCGAGCCAGTCTGCCTGGATGCGTGACACTTCCCTCGGTAACGTCGTCCACCATAGAGGGAACGAATACGGCTCCTGATCAAGCAAAGAGCGGGAGTCTTGACGGACCGTGACGCTCTTCGCCTCCGCCAATATATCGACGCGGAAAGTCCAATCGCCTCCATCTACGGCGTCCTGAAGGCGTTGGAGAAAAGCGGACGACGGAGGAAGTTCGTGACTTCCAAGGCGAACCTCGCCGAGAACGGCGCGTAGAAAGTTCTGCAGGACCGAAAATTATCAGATATGAAGCCTTGAACGAACCGAAGACTCCGCACGAGTTCCGAGCGTATGGCAGAGACTATGCGAGGGTCTGCAGCAACATCGTCGAAGTATAAGAACACCTCAGCAAGCCTGAGCTCTATGGTTGCCAGCAATCCTGATACTCGCCGGTCGCTATAGTCGGCAGAGATGGTGTTATATATTTCTTGGTGGCTGTCTACAGCAGAATGATCAGGAAGCCATAGCCACGGCTCCCATTCACGCCCATCGTTTGGCATGCTCATGGTGCACACCTGAGGAGAACGCGCCACGGACCATGGCTTCCGGTCACACAAGCGTCCTTGTCACGCTCCAAGGTCTGCTCTCGCCGTCAGGACACCCGCGCAAAGTGTGACGTGGCAATGCACGACCGCCCGACCGGCCTACAGGCGGACGATAACGGCGTGTCCGCCGCTTGCGTATTGGAATGGAACTTTTTTGCGAGTAGGATCAACAGCGTCTTGAGTCTCATGCGCGCACACCGAGACCTGAACATGCCCCTGGACCTCCGTTACATCGCAGATGGACTTACGATTGAAAGGGTAAGCAACGAGTCCGACATATCCTAGAACACTATCGGCTGACATCCGTCGCCTTCAGGCGTACAGATCGCTCGTTAGCGGTAGACTGGCCATTCAGGGACAAGCCCTGGCCAGCGAAGCGCACCAGAACCACGACTTAGCCTTTCGCCATTCTGTCGATAAGGGCATGCGCGTGCTTCAAGGGCTCCTTCAACGGGGGATCGACCTTCCGCGATGGGGTAGTCTCACGAACGATCCTCCGCCGCCGTTCATGAGCCTGCGCTCCCTCGCGGAGACAGATCAGGAGGCCTGGCAATACTTTTGGGCCGCCAGCGGTTTGGACGAGAACGGGAGCCAGTGGTGGAAGAAAACCGACGACCTGAATATCCAAAGCTACGACGCCGTCAAGTCTCTGGACGCAGCTCGAGCATGGTTTCGGTTACATGTGGGACATCCGATTGCGCCGTGCATGACGACCCCCTTCTAACGTGTAGTTTACAGGTTCGGAGCAGGCCAAACGAAGGCCTTGTCCAAGACCCGGACGTCGCTCGCGAACTGCGGTACATCTTGGCGTGGATGAACGGCGTTCAGAGATCGATTGTGACCAGTACGGAACGGCTGCAAATGCTCATCGACATGGTTCATGCCGGCTTATTATTGGACTTCGCAGACGAGCACGGCGGTGCGAGAGTTCAAGATTAGAAGGTCTTCCGATAGCGTGGATCTCGTAGAATAGCCTATGAACAATATCTATTGATGGACGTCACAGGCAAGTTTGCCGATTCCAGAGACGAGGCAGCGGGCCAAGTGTCTGCGTAAGCCACCTGCAAGTGCCCGGATATCGGCCCGAAGGGGCATGTGAAAGCGGTTTCATGCCAGGGGACCTTGTTGCGCTCGACGTTCATGACGAAGACTATCCGGGCGTAGCGTGTTCCACAATGACTGGCCAGAGGCTCGTAACATTTGATCTTATCGCAGATGATGTTTCCGAATGGTTCACCCAGACTTGGAACGACGATTTGCAGAACATAGGAAAGGCGCCGGTCCTGGCACTACGTTTGCAACACGCGTTGCACTCCGTCCGGAGAGCGGTGAACCGCGAACCCAACATCTCGAAGTCGACCTTAGAGAGCGCTTGGTCCTTGCTGCGATCCATGATGGTACGGGTGCAATCACAGTAGCGTCAGCTCTGGCCTGATCCTGATTCATTATACGGGATTAGGTGGAGTTGCGCGAAGAGACCCAGAACAACAAATCCCAGTTGCCAGTATTCTATGAGTTACTGGAGGCCGCCGAGGCCGCCGAAGATAGTGTTGATCCTGCTGCGTTACGTACGTTCCTCATTACGCCTTGGAAGAGGCTATCGAGAGCGGCCGTAAGCGAGACAGGCCCGTCGAAATGGTGGTTAGCCTTTGGTGAGTTACGTAACATACGTGTTCAAGCTTGCAGATCAACATGACTGATGGAATTGCCGGGTAGATCATGGACTACCGCTGACGTTGGAGAACGTTAGAGGCTTCGACGACTTTGAGGATGCGGAGGCAGGTATGTCCTCCGTTAGTCATATCATGTTATATGTCACGACGGGCGAAGATATAGATGTCACGTCGCTATTGGACGATGCGGTGGACGAAGACGATGTGCGTGTCCCAGAGTGACGGATGAGGAACAGATGTTGACGTTCCGCGTCACAGGTCTTCTGGAGTATTCGGTGGCCCGATGCGATAAGGCTGCCGCAATCCGTCTTGTGCTCGCTCCATCCACCCGAAAGCATAGAGGGTTACGTATATAACTTCCACCACCCCTCCAACATCTGGGCGGACTGGAGCATGATGGCGATGGAGACCAGCATACACGAGTTGCGTAGGGCTCTGGAAGACGGGGACGTCGTGCTACCCCTTGAAGTACTCTGGATCCTTCCAGCCATGAACGGCTTGACATCACCTCCCATGAAGTTTCGGGTAAGCCGTCCCCGCATCTCTGCATTGCTCCCAGACTAGCCCCATTCACTCGGATGGGTAGGTAAAATGCGTAGCCTGCGATGAGGACGATAGTCCCTGCTGGTATCAAGGCCAGGATGAATGTACACAATGCTTCGCGCGAAGGCTTGAGTGCATCGGAGGTAGACCACCGCAAGTAGAAGGTGACAAGGCGGCTTATCGTCCCGTGTTGGCACGGCGCGTCGCACTCCTGCGCAAGATACATCCCAGGAATGGTCGATTGTTGAGGCCCAATGGTACTAAAAGCTTCTGTTTCCGTGACATATCGGTACATTCTCACAGTCCGGTTTCAGGGCTTCAGTACGAGTTTGAATACGTGGACCCCAGTAATGACTCAGCTCCGCGGATAGTCAAGGGTGTCACGGACGCGAAATGGGATAGCATTCGCATATCGGTATCGAAAAAGTCGCCAGTACAGAACGCATGTCACGCGCATTCAAATGAGCCGGTACGCCCATGCTTAACATTCGCCGGTAGGCAGAGCGGTCTGACAGACAACGGCTTTTGTGACAAGGATCAGACGTCCGACGATAGCGCCGCAAGCACCCCGGATCCTATACAGTCAGGTAACGAGGAAGCTTCAGGTGTGCCGCCCCACGTTCACTCGGACGAAGAAGCAACTTTGCTTGACGCAACTGCGGTCATTGAAGGTGAGCGTCCGTGAAAGAATGATACTTTAAAGACCTTATTGACAGACTACAGATCACTCCCACCTTTCTTTGACAAGCGACATTCGTGCCCGTGTCTCGCCCCCTCCGGAACAACTTGGGCAAGCTCGAGCGTCACGCGTGGACGGTGCTCTTGGAGGTCACGTACTACAGGACGATCGCGAACCGGCGGAGCTCACGTTTGAAGAGATGTTCCAGCGTGAGATGGATCGTTTGAGGAATGAAGAGATGAGCCATGTCACGCACTCCGTCGCCTCTTTACGGCTTCAAGCCGAGTCAGGGACGACCTCTGACGGGACGAGCGCCGGCCCAAGTGCCATTTCCAAGATTTCACAGCGGCGGTCAATCAGCGACGACATATCTGCAGAAGAATTTGCCATTTTGATGAAACGTATGGATGACATGGAGAACAGGGCGAATGCTCGAGGTAGACAGGCCACGAATGATCTCCGCGAACTACTCCGGGAGGAGACGGACAAGATTCGTGCGAGGGCTTAATTGCTGTGGGATTGTCAACGGATACCCTGTAACTGAGTGCTTGAATGGATATGCGATACTAATTACTGCATCCTGGCAAATGTCCCATCTAATAATGTATGTAGCCGAGGGCAACTGGGTAAGGGAAGTGAATGTTTGTGCAGCATCGCCTTGCGAGCATAAAATGCCAGACAGACGCGCTCCTCCCTACTGACCGACGCTCCATGTGGATGCACGTTGCCCGAGAACAGGACGAGCGTCCGTGTGTCGTACTGGACACGCAATCCCATACTGGGAAACTCTATGACCGTATGAGGTCCCCCCCCTATGGTCAGCAGCGCATCGTATAGCTCCCTCCCACCACTGCGTATGTCCCTATGAATCGGCGTGGAGCGGTTCGCAACGATTGTAAGAACCGAGAACGCAAAACCCCACTGAGACGCCGTGTCGGTGAATTCGGGATCGGAGGCGACTTCTTTTAGATAACGACGCGTAAGCTCATATTGCTCGGGGTGAGCGATCCCCAGGGCTGCAGAGATCACGACGGCGGTAGTCGATAGGCCCTGAACAAAGGCCTGCGTTGCCCTTTGCATAGCATTGGGAGGTTTGCCCTTCCTTGCGAAGTCGCGGGACGGGAACATATCCGCCTCGAAATGCTATCGAAGGGTGAAAACCGGCGGGAGGCTCTACAAAGTAAGTTCACGTACCTCGTGACCCTGCATCTGCCATGCCGCCGACAGGTCCAGTACACCGGATGCGAATTCCTTGCAAAATTCCGGATGTCGAAAGTACTGTTCCATGTCACGCCATTTCTTACTGCCGTTGCGAGGACCTCGTTGGGTTAGAACAAACCTCAAGTGCGTGACCAGCTGCCGTATCACAGCCTAAGCGCCTTCAGCAAACAATGACCCTACAGATCAAAAACGGCAGACATACCTCTAGCTCTTCCGTAATCGCATGAGATATCGACCATAGTTCTGCCCGTCCTGTAATATCCCATACCGTGAACGGGAGAACCTGGAGGTCCGGCTGATCCAAAGTCGAGAATTGACGCTTGAAACGAGCTTCCGCTTTCGTGTTATTGCCCTTCTGCGAGCGGACAACGTCGTGATAGGTTTTTGTGTCGTAGCTTAGAGTGACTATAATGTCGGACACTCAGCGGAGGGAGAAATATACGGCTGATAATGGATCCCTTACACTGTCGGTCCATTGCTATAATCATACGACTCGCAAGATGTTCCAGTTGAGCCTTAGTGGTCGTGTCAAGAAGACACGGTGAGTATACAGGAGTATGCAGGAAATGGGCCTGAAAGATTGATCGGCAGTAAAGCATTCCGTCATGTACAACGGCATCCGCGTTGGTCATGGTCGGACGGTAACGCAAGAGGCAGAGGAGAAATGGCATTTTCATTGACACGAGTCTCGGATTATATGGAGAACAACTTGAAACGCACGAGACACGCGAGAATCTCGCTTATTTAAGTGTCAGGGGTACGTCGGACAACAAGTTTAAGCCAAGCGAGACGCAGTCCATATGATGTCAGGACATCCAAGGCGAGGGCCCATATGCTCCTCCATATACAAGTGCAGCTCGTTTTCAGTGTTGATGCCGCCTCCCCCGGTGTAACCGTTCAAGTTAACCGAGGCCAGTCGTTCCTGCGGTCGAACGCCGTCACGGGGAGGGAGGGAAAGGTAATTCGCGAATGTCTGAAGGTCGTCTGTAGTTTCGATGCCGTCCGCGGATAGGTGAGTAGTAGTGAAGTCGCCCAACAGCACGTCCCACATCCGAACTTCGCCAGGGGTATAGGCATGGTCGGGTAATAGGACGTTCTCGGCTTGCAGGAGGCCTGAGATCCTTTTGGCCGAGGACATATACCCTGCCACGACCGACCGAAAGGTCGGCACATATACCCAGTCTTCCTTCCGCGCTCTTTCATGCCGGAACTGAAAAGGGTGATGGCGGTCCGCTGAATCTCTGGGTGCTCTCGAGAGAGCCTGAGTGCGAACAGAGAAAGATCGACGTGACTCCCCACAGATACGGCTAACATCGCGATACAGTTCCGATCCGTTCAGTCCAGGTCGCCTCAGGAACTGCGCTTCGGCGGACGAGATTGAGGCGGCCAAGGTGACCCGCATCTCCTCCGGCCACTCGCGGATGTCACGTTTGATAGCTAGGTGCTGCCCACCAAAGTCCGGTAGAATCTCGATTAGTAACGTAGACAGAGCGGAAGCCGCAGCGGTTCTGGCATTGAAAACGTCGACGCAGAAGTCCAAGCGATTGCGTAGACACGTCTCGTCGTAGTCAAGTTGCCCCATCGGCTCTATGGCCGTCCAGTGAAAATCACAGTCGGGAGGGATGACGATAGCCGACAGCAGTTCGAGACAGGCCGACGTGACGTCTTCTAAGATGAAGCATTCCAAGTTCTCCAACGAGGTCACAGGAAACTTGTGTGGCTCCCAAGCAACCTCCAGCGGTAGGTCGGCAGAAGGCAGGCAAACCATGATCAGGGATAGATGTTCGAGCGCAGGACAACGTGAGACCAGTTCTAGAACTTTGGTCGTCGACATTCTCCATCTCTCTACTTCCAAGAGTAAGTCCATGCGCCGTATCGCGCTTCCATAACACGTGAAATGTGCGTTGCTGAGGCGCACAAAAATCAAGGTCTCAATGCATACGGTGTCTCGCGAGACCAATCCGCTGGAATGAGCGGGTCTAGAGTCATGATCAGCATCTTGCACGAAGCGGCTCGTGCGCAAATACGCTCACCGAGTTAGCTGCATGTCAAGGTGACGTAGCTTGCACCCTCCCGCGCTAACCAACGCTGCTTCCAGCTCGCCCAAGACCGCCTCCGAAGTGGTGAAGTCCTCGTCTGCCATCGCGAACGTCGAGAAAGTGATGACTTCCGCAGACGCTAAGTGCGGGAGGCAGTGTTTAAGGAAGCACGCGCACAGCGGCGTCAGGTTCACCAGCTTGAGCGGGAAAGGCTCATGCCGGTCCCTGGTCCGATTGATAAATCCGACATTCAAGAGACCTCCCTCACCCCACAGGGCTCGGTAACCCACCACGGCCTGACGCCATGAGCGACAAACCTGGCTGCAGGCGAAGGCGCGATGACAAAATCCGGCTGGCGCATCTATGGTACTCGAGTCTTCGGCGGTCTCCGGTGCTTTCGACATGGAGCACAATACCGCACGCTCGACGAAACCCGTCGTTGCGCAGTCCCGTTGAAGCCGTAGACATGCTTCTTCGTGTTGTGCTGGGAAACTTTGCAAGGTATCCCAGAATTGGCCCCTGTATATGGGCAGAGCTGACCAGGTACGTGCAACTGTGTCCTGAAGGACCGAGATCAACGCCACTTCCGCTATGAGCTCGGCCGGGAGTTGAGGCGACTGGAAAGAAATAATTGAAGACATGACGGTGTTCGTCAAGGCAAGGACATGCCGCGCTGGCATCCATCAGGAAGCTCTGATGGAAATAGAGTTAGTATTGATTGACGTAGCGATGGCAACAAACCTAAGAACGAGCGCAAGATGACGGCGGCATCGCCACTGCACCGGCGATCAAAGCGGGAAACAGACGCTTCGTTACGACAGCATCGCGAGTCGGCCGAGTCCTTCTTCCCAGGATCAAGACAGTGTGCAAGGAGATGATGCGCTTTAAGCAAGTCCCTAGCATAACTAGTACTGTGGAGGACTGAGTACTGGATCCTGTATAGTACATGAGGTATACGCTCGAGGAGCCGGAACCTGAAACATAGCAACGACTCGTCATCAACGGACTCCTCGCCCTACATGATAGCCGCCACGGTCTCTAGAGCGTCATCGCCAGACGCAAAACGCCCTTCAGGGAGGCCATCCATTCGAAGAGAAAACTGTCGCTGCAATTCTGCGACGGTCGTCTCTGCTCTGAGGGCTTTGGCCCGCTCCCGATCTAGTTCCTCGACGGTTCGCTGCAACTTCCCTTCCAAACGCGCTTCGTACTTGGTCATCTGCTGGAATAAGCGGGTCTTCCGTTCCACCGCGGCATCGCGAGCGCGTTCCGCGACCGCACAGGCCGCCTCCGCTGTCACCCGACGGGCGACCTCGTCGCGCAGTGCGTGCTCGGCCAGCAGTTTTCTCGCGGCTTCTACTTTCTCACCGTAGACAGCCTCTTCACATTCCGTCTTCGCCCGCGTCGCCAGCTCACGCTCGCGTTCCAGCGCCTCGCGTAGATCACGTACTTGACTTTCTAATTCCGCCACTCTGCTGACCACCGCGGCTACATTGTCGTGACCGAATACAACTACGTCGTCGTGCACGATGACGTCAGCAGCATCGTGAACAACGACGCTGTCTACGCCGTCTACGACGCCGCGCTCGTCGTGCGCGACGACGTCTGCCGCATCCTGAGCAACAACACTGTCATCGTCGTCAACGACACGGCCCTCGTCGTCATCGGCATCATCCTCGACGTATATCCTGATGGTTTCCCCCACCTTGAAACGCTTTTGAGTACATTCAACAAGATACTACACGATAGTTACCAAGCAGTCAACTCTACCCCGTTTCCTCGTCGCGGTATCCTGCCCCTCTATACCAGAAGACGTCGAACGCGACCTCTTGACGCGGGGAGCGGCTGCGCCGTCGGCATAGTTAAGGCAACCGGGGACCAGGTGGTCGTCGCGGGCAAGCTTCGAAGAGACGGTTCCGGCGCGCGCTTCCGGGCATTCCTTGACGTCTTCATCATCGTGGAGCGATGGCATGGGTGAACCGGGCAGGTATAGACGAGAAGGACAAGCAACAGAACGGATGATGGCGGCGCGGGACAAGCGGTTGGCCGTGCGACGAAAATGTTTAAACAACTGTCACGTGCATGACGAGCTACAGTTTCCGGGCCCTTCCGATTCCGGGTCTGAAGCTACATCACAGTATGCCAGCCTACGAAGGCAGAACCAAAAGCACTCGCTCGCGCGTTATACGAAACGTATGTCTTAGCAAGATGAGTACATAGCGGGCAGTAAAGACGCGACCCATCCACCGTCCCGCAACAGCCTACCCCCCGGCTTCGCTTTCCCGCGGAATCGTATCATGCGTTGGACCCTCCTACCTCTGCAATGTTAATGGTTAAGCCGACGTTCGGCGCGACAAAGCTTTGACACGCACGTTCAACCATGACGTCGATCCTGTCTGAGATACATGAACCTTCGGTCAGCACATGTCATGCATTCACAGCGGCAAAGGCCGCACCGTTGTCTGCCATGTCGAGGGACGCGACAGTGTCGTGGTCTTCCACCCGCGTACCGTCGTACAAGAACCTGCCGTGACATCAACACATACTAACGTATGTCAAAAGAAACAGACGCCTCACCGAATGCTGGCGACGTGCGTCCCGAGCCGGTCAGCATATACCGCTTGAACTTTGCCAAGTCTCGTCGTACGCTTCACACGAAAATGCGATTCCTCGCCAGTGGATTTGACGACCTGAGTGATGTGTGTACTTTAGGACCTGTGATATATGACTCATGCGTGAAAACCGGACGTACCAAGATGGTAACCCGATCATCCAGCGGTTCGCTAACGCTCGTATCCTCAAGAGTGTCTTGTGACGGGGCGGCCATAAGAGTGTCGTCGTCCTGCGTATCGACCTCATGCTTGTCGACCTCCTGTAAATCTTGAACCATCGGACGTTCGACTTGTGCCAAGTGACCAGAATGAGAGGTGAACGGGATAGCGGTGGTGGACGGAAGAGAACAGGGAAAGAAGCGGGACCGGACGCGACAAGACAACGTCCTCACGATGTCCTCGCGGCCAGCGCGTGTTAGACGCGACCACATGACTTTCGCCGGCACAGCTCCTGGCGCACGAACACGCCCGAACCTCAGCCGCCCTCGATCGGTCCTACGCGGACACATACCGCTCTCTACGGCAACGCTGTGCTGAATTACATGCGTTCGCTGGCTCGCAGAGCCGAGCGCGTATTCCCGGATGTGGCTCCATCTCCTCCAAGAGTTCCTATTCACGAGTATTAGCTTGCTTGAATGACGCGTCTTGCACACATACACCAAACGTCTGCTGCGTGACATACGCTGGGACTCCATCGATCTGTGTCACGTACATGTAACTTCCCCTTTTTCGACGACACACGTCACGCCGTTTTTGGGCACCTCTGTCACGCTACCGCTTTAACAACGTCCGAATTGCTCTCACAATCCCTCTCTGCGTTCAAAGCGAGATCATGCATTGGAAGTGTATGTAGAGTCACGGTGAAAGGAATTCGCGCCCAGTCGAGAGTAGCATGCGTGACACATTTTTTCCTCTATCGATACCATTATGTCTCATCCAGATGCTCCCCTCCCACTCCTGATGCTGACCTACATACTCCAATATATATTGTCTAAGTCCATCCGCGTGGCCCGGCGAGTGAAGAGTGCGAACCGCAAGTTCGCGATCGTGGCCTCTGGAACAATGTCACGGGCGTCTGGCAGACGGACCCGGCGCAACCGCTCGCAGCGATATCTCGCAACATCTGATTCAAGCCCGTCGCCTCCTTGACCTTGTGGCACCCCGAGTTCGTAGGCAAGGTCGACGATCTCAGGAGCAGAGAAGGTCGTGAGACCTCGAATGACGATAGTCTGGACGTTCGGCAGATACGGGAGCACGTCTCGCCAAGATATCGTGGCAAGGTGAGGATAAGCACCATCCAGAACAAACATCTCGGCGTACGATAGCCCGAACCAAACGCAACCGCGCACAAACCCGGCGACAAGCTGACCGACGTCCGGTTCACCAAAGTCCGGTTGTGGCGTTATGGTGGTGCGCATCGACAGTCTCTCGTTACGCAAGGTGATTGTGCCGGCCGAAGCTAATGAGATCGGATCACGAAAGGCCATGGCGTCGGCTTCCGTGCGACCTCTGCTTAAGGACAGGTACTCGGGGAAATGTGTCGCCTGCGTCCTCGTCGTGTCACGAACGCGAAGAGCAAATGTCACGCAATGCGTTTCGCCTGCCGCAAGGACAGGATGCCTTGGAAATACGCGCCCGACCGTTGTTGCGAGCATGTCTGGTGTGTACAAGTCTTGCATAGGAGCTGTCACATCTGGATGTACGCGGCAGGTCGCTGGGAATATGATCTTCCTCGACGCAACATCCCATTCGACCATATGATCCGCGATGTGAAAGAAGCGGAGGGAAGGCAATTCGAACGTATCCCCGGGTGGATATATGGTGTTAGGCGGTAAGCCCCGCTCGTACACAAAGATCATCTGAAGGGACAGGACCTCGAGGTTTACGCAGACGGCGAGCATCTTGTAGAACTCGCCCCGCGGCCAGCGAAAAGGAGGGGCCTCAGCGGCGAAGAACATGCGTGTCATGTTCTTACTCTCGATTCCGAATGCACAGTTGATGAGGCGAGAGACTGATACGTTTTTGACGTTGATTCTTCTCTTCTGTAGGGAATCTTCATGCACGTACGCGTAATCGCAACGCACTTCGATCTCCTCCAAGAGGGGAGCACCGAGAAGAAGCCGGTCTGCAATGAGGGCGGAGGGAGACCTTGTACTCTCTGTGTTGGTGGAGGGAAGAGCCAGATCCAGCCGCCTGACGTTGACCATCTCCCTGAGAATAATGTCCAGAATGCAAAGACATGCACCGCCGTGGGCCACGAAAGACAGTCGCGGGTGCGCGGCTACCTTGGCGCGAGATAGGGCTACGCGGACGAGTTGCGGGTTCAACAACAAGGCCTCGCTCCAGAAAAGGGCGTCGCCGAGTACGACCTCGCGCAAATGACGGCAAACTGCCCCAAGGTCAAGAGCGGAGCGTAACGGTCCGGTGTCAAGTCGATGACATCCTCGAGTCTGACCACTGCGCGCTCCGCGATCGGATGCACAAGAACCGGAAGGGGTGCAGAGCATAGGAAGAATCTTTATGTCGCGCCAGTTCTGGACGGCCGACGCATAGCTGTCGTCTATCAAGTGTTGTCGTTGCGTCGGGGATGGCAAATCGATGTCTAGACGCAGTATCAGAATCCTACGCAGGACCTCTAGAGGGAGGTCTGTTAGACCCAAAGCCATCGTAGCCGGAGTCAAGACGGAAGTAGTTCGCGATCATCGATACGGGGCGTGCGACGAAGACCCGCGGCGATGAGCGTGACCACATTCTGCCCAGGCCTAGAAAGTGCTCGTGTCACGCACGTTCTTCGCAAGCTCTACCCGATCGCCGTCGTTGGGAACACAACGTACCCTGAGTCACGATGAGCCACCTCGACCTCTCTTCAGCATTGGCAGCGGCCGTTCGGGATCGTGACATCCATTCAGCATTCACAGCGGCCGTTCGGGATGGCTGTCGCCAGCGTCTTCAGCTCCTACGAGCCAAACCAGCCGCCCAAGACCCGACATGGCTCGCGGAATGCGAGGCTGTTATCGTGTCAACCCACGACAAGGTCATCGCTTCCATCGCAACAAGTGAATCCAGCGTCTCGGCTCTGCTGCAGCGGTACGATCGCCTGACACAAGAGATGGAGGAACTACGCGCCGTCGCAACCGTGCTAGCAGACGAGCGCATGTCCACTACGGAGGAGGTGGCCCGGCTTTATACCGAACTGTCGACATACCAGGACGACCGCATGCGCACGCATGCGCGAGTAGCCATCGAGAAGTGCCTGCAGGAATATAATCTGCTTCTCGATCAGTTACAGGCCCAGGCAGCCGACGTCGCCGATGTCATGAACCGGTACATGCAGGAGCGACTTGCCATCCCAGACCTCGTAGCAAAGCAGTATGAAGAACTTATGCACCGAGCATTGGACGGGTTCTTGGATCAGGGTTATACTGCGGTCATGGGTCAGGTATGCTGTTGCGAAATAACGTCCAAAGATTGCCCGTCATTCACATCACTTTCAGATATACTAGATCGGTGTTGACTGTTTTCACTCGATCAAGCTGGATAGAGCCCGATGTGTGGTGTGATGTACACTACATACATACCACAACCCCCCTTTTGTCACGTCTCCAGGTCCGCCACGGACGATCCGTCTGTTCTGAGGGAATCCGTCGCGTAATAGCATCATGATCTGCGCGATGTGGCCGATATGTGGCGTATCCCATGTGCGGCGCTCTCTGACAGTTGGGATATCTCTATGAGATCCTGAACGTGTACTGAGCACGTCGTATACCTGTCGTCGATTATACAAAAGCAGGACTGTATTGCTACCCTGGGCTACCTGAGGTGTTCCCTGAGTCACGGATGGTTTGCTGGGGAGCATATTTCGAGCGGATTGCAAAATAATAATTAAATTCAAGACGCCCCCGGGCACCCGTCGCGCAGCGATGCCTTGACTGGGCCCGTCATCGACGATAAGGCGATGCCTTACAGATGTCTCCAGGCATGATTGGCTATAGTATGTGCGAGCAGCGTCCGCGGCAGAGATATACGAATCCACAGTCGAGCGCCTCTTCAGCTTGGGCACAGAAGAAGTCGATGCAGCGGACGCGACGGTAGAACTGCTCCAGCCCGCGACTGACGTAGCCCACGAGTGCGTGCGTGCGGCCACCGGCCTCTGAGCAGCGGCGGGTGTCTGACGTTGCGGCATGGACGGCTGAGGGGGTACTTGAAGTGCCCTCGAAGTTGCCAACACGGAGACTTGACTTGGCCTTGCAGCCATCATGGCGGGACGCTGTTGAACTTGCTCATGCTCGTCGTCCGAGGTGAGTTCGATGATCTCATGAGAAGGCTGTCTGGGAACCGGGGCCGTACGCTGGGGAGGAGGCGCCTGCTTTGTGCGATTGAGTCCTTCGGTTCAGGTATGGAGCGAGTATATACGAAGACATACCGGCGCCCAATTGCCATACGTGGTCCGAGTCCTTCCGAGGGCCCTCGCGACCTGTGGTTGGGACATCGCAGTCGAGTGTGGCATAGAGCCCGGCGCAAGAGATGTCCCCGACGTCGAAGAGGAGTAATTCGGGTAATATTGAGGAGGCGGGTAAGGATACGGGTTCAGGGCAGGTCCTGCCTGCGAGTGGGGAGCTGGTTGTTGTTGTTGTTGTCCGTAAAAGCTGATCACAGCATCTTCCAACGGAAAACCGGTTGACTGATACGGAGGAGGGCGAGGGGGAGGATGAGAAGGCGGGGAGTAGTCAGGCGCTGTGGGACGCGACATCGCAGGACAACTTCGGGAGGATGAATGAGACAGAGCTACAAGGACGGCGGACGTCGTGGGTGTGCTGAAGAAAGCTCGGCTCAATACTTCCAAGGACCTTTTTGTATGCCTATGCCGACCACACGAAAAAATTCGCTAAGCGAGGGTGGTTCGACGACAAACCACGAGCGTGTGGGGCAAGGCGTGTCCCATTGTACGTGTGAGAGTTCTCCGTGGTTAGTCTTGCCGTAGAGATTCTACGGAATGTCGTGCAGGTAGCTGACGATGCGCTGCCCCGTCAGGCTAGAGATACTCGAGACGACATCATGGATGCGCTTACTTGTATTTACCAGAAGCTCACGCAGCACTCGAGATCCGCTGTCAGCACGGCGTCGCATAGATGCTCCATAGCATGGCTGCAGTACTGTGTAGCCGTTTCGCACTGGAAAAACTGTCGCCGCCGAATAATATGCTGCGACGGTGAGCTCGAGCTCGATCTTCGTAGTCTAGGCCGTGCTGGCCGTGCGGGTGGTCTATCTGATTCAGGTACACGCGTAAGCATAGGTAGCCCGCCTGTCATACCGGGCAAGTCGGTGCCCGTACACTTGGCGCTCGGTTGGAGATCAACCACGGTGAATAGCATCAATACATGACACATATCGATGACGAGAACTACACATGCGCAAAACAAACCACCAAAAGGATCTCAGTTGGAAGTGCAAATCTTCTGTAGATCACAAAAGCGACGAGAATCGTTGGTCATCAGGTGAGGTATGATCTCAAGTGGAAGGTGTCGAGGGAAGGATCGGTTTGGACTTCGGACAACTTGAACGCTGGCGCCTCAGTTGGTAGGCTGTTCCGCGCCGTTCGTGTGCGCGGCGGTCTTGGATGCTGAAATCCGCTATGCACACAGAGCCATGTCAGAATGGTGCGACGACGTTGAAGCAAGGGAGATGGGACGTACTGGACTGGATCATTCGGATAGCTACACGGCGAGCGCGTGGATGGCGTGCTCCCGCTTCCCTGTCTGGCCCGCCCTATTGCGGCTCATATACTCGCGTTCGCAATGAGTAGCATCTTCCATACCCCTCTGTCGTGGCGGCGTTGGTCCTAGGACACCGTGGAGGACGCCGTAGCGAGAAGAACCGTCCTTGGCCAGTCGTCACGGGCAGCCCAGGATCCACCGCGAAAATGCGGAAAAACAGTGTCCAAACTCCACATTGAGGAAGAGTACGCTGAACACGCATTATTCAACTGGGGTATCTGCCATCGATGCAGTAGGCTTCGGACTGGGATGACTGTTAGGGGCAACCAGTACCAGAGTGATGGCTGGCCGTCGAGTGATCGGCCGCAGGGGCCGAAGTGTGAGAACCGTCCTTGTTCGAGTTCGGCGACCGTCGGGGTTGGCAGCATGCCTCCACCACCGACGGCTCTGAGCACAAAGACGAGAGATGGACTCTTCATGTATCCAGTCCAGACGGAGGTGCAAACCGACCTCATGAGCACGAGTTCCTCGCGATAGCCTTGGGCCAAAGTTCAGCTTATCACAACAATGGCTAGAACGCTACATATTCTCCCGTGTACATGCGGCAGTGGTGACGTCGAGAGGACCTCTAAGTTCGTCGGTCATACACTGAAGTCTCTTGGGATCCACGCGTCTCAACTTCCTACTTCTCCCACAAGGTATACATGGCGCCTGGAATAGCACATACGAGAGCTTTGCCCCCGCTCCCATGTGTGTCATGAGAGCTCTATCGTCTTTCAAGGACTGGTGGACGTCGTGACGAGTCATAAGCGCACGGACTATGAACGATGACACCTTTTCGGCTATCGTACTCTGAGCTTACATCGGTACAGTGTGTGGTATACTAACCTACGAGCGTCATACTTCCACGGCGCACAGACCTACTATATAGGCCCTTCGGATTTCTGGCGCCATAGCAAGGACCAGAGCTCTCCTACTGTTCATCGCCCAAGCCGACCTGTCCAACGCCTTATAGCATGCGCTTCGAGCTCGTCCTCCTCATCACACTTTCATCCGTCTGTGACGCGCGTGCAGCTTCACTAGCCGTATGTCTCCCTTTCCTACCCGCAAAAACGGATCGACGACTGACGCCCGGTCTTGTAGGGACTAGGTGGTCTGTCTGAAGGTGGCTCTGGCCAATTCTGGCAATTCGAGCCGTTTGAAGCTCGAGCGATACCACCGGCGGCTCAGCATCAAACAGGACCGAGCGTCGATGCACTTATGTGGGGGCTCGCAGCGTAAGCCCGGTTCTCCATGTCTACGCGCTCTATACTTTGTCGGGATGATCCTGATTTGATCTGTTCCGCAGGGAAACATAGGATCTCTTTGGACCCTAACAGAGACTTGTCCAGTCCAGAAGTCCATCAAGTGAGAGTTTGCGCTGGATTCAGTCATATTGCGGCCTGGTGCAGGAAGGGTATCAAGAACGATGAACTCGAGGGCTGAAGTATCCGGTACTTATTTATGATGTTGCTCGTATCAGAACTGTCAGTGCATGGACAAATTGTTCGGCACTGCGTGCATTGGCGCAAGTCTTAGAAATGGGCTGTGAACGGTATCTGGGGCAACATCAGTAAAGACGAAGCGGTCTCCATTGCATGCACCACAAAGCATGGAGGTCATCCGCAAGTGCAGCATACAACGTCGAGTGGGGCGCATCAGGAAAGCAGCGGTATGCGGTTTGCATCAATTGTGCCGCGGCGCGCAGAGATGGAAACGCGGTCCGGCGCCACCATGCATCCTCACTTGACAGCGGTTGACGTGCAGCGCAAGGCGACGCATTGAGCAACATCGTGCTCGGATATGGCCTATCCATTGCAGGAGGGATGATCAGTCCGATAGCAATGGTAGTGGGTGCGATGCCATGGGGATGATGGCAGTTTGGGAAGAAGCAAGCGTGCGAAAGAGGTCGCTGTGGGTCCAGGATAGAGGAACTGGAGGGTCTCTGTTCTGGTCTCGCACTTTGTTGAGAGCAGCGACGATGAGCGGCCCGTCGCGCTTCAGCTCGCTCAACTCCTTCTTCCGCTCCAAAACGCCGAACCCGCCGCCGCCGCCGCCCAAGGACCGGGAGCGGGACAACCAGAGCCTCTACGCGCAGTCCGCCTTCAGCCAGAGCACGCGCTCCTTCACCATCCCGCGCTCGACCTCGCCCGCACCGACAACCCAGACTGCGAATTCGAGCGTATACCATCTGGGCCAGGGCGGCGCGAGCAGCTCTGTGCTGAATTTAAATCAATTCGGTGGCGGCAATGGGCGGCAGGGCCAAAGCAGCGCGCCGAGCAGCTTCAAGCGGGGCGTGTCGAGGATAGCCAGCGGCCTCAAGCGCCCAAAGTCCCGTGCGAACCTGCTGCAGGACGCCCCGGCACCCAAGCCGGACGACGACGGCGGGATATCGACGCCGTGGAATTTCCAGGTGCGTGCATCCTCGCGTCGCTACCCGTAGACTTCTCTGATTCTCATGCCCGTCGTATCTTTCATTTATCGCAGCACAACATTCACGTCGACGAGAGCTTCAACGGCCTGCCGCCCTCGTGGTCCCAGACCTTATTGCAGGCGGGATACTCCGAGGCGGAGATCGCACAGCTGTACGATGCCCGTCGCGCGCGGACCGCGACTCCCGCGAGCACTCTGCGCTCTGCGTCACCCGCGCCCTCCCAGAACTCGCTCGTCCCACGTGCGCGCTCATCATCGCTCTCGCGCAAGCGGACAGACACCGCAGAGTCGAGTTCGCAGCCCATGCCGCCGTTGCCCAGTTTGATGGGCGGGCCCGGGCCGGGGCATAGCAGGCAGGAGAGCGAGTCGAGCTACGCGATCGTCGATCCGGACGAGAGCGTGAGCGTGCAGAGCGACTCGCAGTATGTTCATCTGGCACACGCCCGCAATGGGCAAGCCGTACACGCAGGCGTCATCACGCCGTTCCCCATGCCCGCTCAACCGTCACCCAATCCTAGCCGGTTGAACGGACAGGGCCCTCATGGCAGCCCTAGTATAAACGGCTCATATGTCGGCGTCAATGTGAGCTATGGTACGGCGAACGGTACACGCGCGACCTATTCGCCCTCGTTACATTCTACGACATCACACACTACCAACTCGTCCCCGCGGATACCCCAAGCGCGGTCGGACTCACGACCGCAGACGCCACAGAGGCGTACGCCGTTCAGAGTGGTCAATACGACGGAGGGCATGGGATCGCCGCCACCTGCGTATGGGAATGGACGGCTAGGCGGGGAAAATACGGACGAGGAGTTGCCGGGTCTGACGAGCGCGGATCTCGCGAGGGAGAGGCCGGCGGAGAAGCAGACCGCGTCGGGGTCCGGTTCTGCAACTGGGGGGACTCTGCCGTTGAGGACTGGGACGGTGAAGGCGCTCGGCAATGGCAATGGTGTCGGGCTGCCGGCGAATGGGATCGCGAGGAGGGTGGAGAGTCCGGAGCAGGTTGCGGATCTTTCGCGGGACGAGGAGGGAGAGGGGGATGAGGATGAGGACGATACGACGCGGTTCGGGCCGTCGTTGGAGAAGCACAAGCCCCCGCGTCTGGCACCGCGGCTTTCGTTGCGCCCTGGTGCTCTCGATCTCGACGATCTGGGATCATGGTCATCTGCTTTGCTCTCGTCTTTGCCTTCTGCAAGCGAAGAAGGCCCGAACGCTCCACCGCCCAGTGCGAATAACGCCTCGTCGACAACAGCGTCCACCTTTTCATTCGCATCAACGTCTACTTCGGCGCCCGCGAGGAGATCAAAACGGTTCTCACGGGCCGTTCTGCCCGCCATCGTCTTGCAAGATGCCACAGCGTCTCATGCGAGCCCCTCCCGGACAGACGAGGAGGATGAAGAGGAGGACGAAGGGGAGGGCGATATCACGCTTGGGCATAGTCCGCTGTACAATGAACTGCTGGGGATGATGGGTTCATCGTCATCGCTCTCCCCATCACCCAGTCCAACACCCTCGCCATCAACGTCATCATTCCCCTCACAAGGCGAAGCGCGACCGCGCCCTCCAGGCTCGTACAAGCCACCACCCAATAATACGCATCCGCATCTGCAGCTTGAGTTGTCAAGGCACGATAGCAGGTCGTCGTCTTTCGCGCCGAGGGACTCAGTGGCGAGCTCGGCGGATGTTCATGTGGACGATTACGAGTTCCCTGTGCCGCCCGGCAGCGCGACGAGTATCGGGAGTGGCTGGCCGAGTCCGAGCGAAGATACGTTCGCTTTCCGACGACAAGGCGGGCCTTCCTCTGCATCCAATAGGGATACTATCGTGGGTCTGAACACGACCAGCGGTAGAGGCGAAGGCATGGGTTTGGGTTTCGGAGGAGCAGGCCCGAGCGTCAGGGTGGAGGACGAGGAGGAGTGGGCGAGGAGAGAGGGCGACGAGAGGAGGGATACGCTTCGTCCTGGGTGGAGGGAGAGCACGGCGACTATTATGGGCAACCGGGCGAGCGTTGTTACCGTTACGGACTCGAACCGGTACGTTCTATATTCTTTGACGCTTGGACTGCTTCGGTCCTACGGTTGTGATGATATACGTTTACTGATGCATTCTTTGTGCATATAGGTTGACATTGACCATCGACGAACGGCGCCGCTCGGGACGTGACTCAAATGCGTCGGGCAGTACGGTGACGCATGCGACGATTGTCCGCGGCGCGTCTGTCGTGCGACGTGTACATGCATCGCCCGTACACCTCACGCCCTCCGAACCACTAACGGAAGAAGACTACCTCTCTTCGGCGCCCGCATCACCCCTCTCACCAAGTTCGCCCAACGGGCTTGCCTACCGTCATCGAACACAAGACGGCATGCTCGCACCCCCTCTATCACAGGCTGACGAGGAGGACGAAGACGACTGGGCGGAGGGCGATGCGGAGGCCGAGGCGGAGTGGGCCAGGAAGCGCGCTGCCGCTGAGGCGGAAGAGGAGGAGCTGAGCGCGGAGATGCCCGCACCACGGAGACGACCCGACTCGCCAGACTCAAACTCTGAAGAGGGCGATGAGAATGAAGGGAGTGGCGGGACGGGGAGTACGGGCACGACTGCCAGCGCCGAGGACGATTCCCCGCCGAAGGTCCCGCCGAAGTCGCCCTCGACAGCGAATCTTAGCATTGGAAGTGCAAGGCCCAGCATTAACGTCGCCACAGACGTCCTGCTCGACCGCCCAGAGCGAGCCGGGGTGTTCAGTCCCTCAGCCGGCTCAGGCCCCGCGAGCGCCGCGCCGAGCTTCAGCAGTCTCGCGCCGAGCCCCTCGCACACCATCTCACCTCAGACGCAGCCTTCGCGCCCGGTGTTCAGGGCTATGGACACGGACCACAGCACGTATACGGACGTGAGCTACGCGAGTATGATCACGGAGACGGACGCGAGCGGGGAGACGCGGGTCAGTATGGAGAGCGAGGTGAGCGATACGCAGCGCGTGCCGCTCAGCGCTATCAGTGGGGGGTTCTTGTCGCCGACGATACCCACCAACGCACTTTCACTTCCGGCTGCACCTCAGCTCCCGCGCAATCCGGGACTGACGGTGTCCACCGCACCATCATCGTTCGTCCCGCCCGCACCAAACTCCGCATCCTCGCTCGCGCCGCCCGGCGCCGGATCAGGATCAGGATCAGTCCCGCCGAGCCCGACACCCTCCCTCTCGCGCAAACGCTCCTCCGCACGCGCATCGGGTCTATCCCGCGCGCTCAAGCCGCTCGCGGCCTTCCTCGACGCCTCGTCCGACCCGCGCGCCAAGTTCGCCGAGCTATCCGAGATAGCGCAGGGCGAGAGCGGGAGCGTGTTCGCGGCGCGACTCGTCGGGTCCGTCGCGGAGTGGCGCGTCCCGGCCACGCCGAACAGTCCGCTGGCGAATGATAAGGAGAACGAGTGGGGGCGCGAGGGGCGGGCGGTCGCGCTCAAGATTGTTCCCGCCGCGGGCAATGCTGTGAAGCTTGCGAGTCTGAAGAGGGAGTTGGAGCTCGTGCGAGGGGTGCGGCATCCGAATGTTTTGGGGTTCGATGGCGTGTTCGTCGATACGGACGCCGAGTCGCTGTGGTTGGCGATGGAGCTCATGGAGCGCTCGCTCGCGGACGTGCTCTCTTTATCTTCACCCGATATGGGATTGGACCCGGCCGAACGGAGCAAGGTTGTGCTCAGCGAACGATTGAGGGCAAGATGCGTGTGGGACGCGCTGCTCGCGCTTAGCTATTTGAAGAAGCAAAGGATCGCGCATCGGGATCTCAGGAGCGATAATCTGCTCGTTAGTCCGGAGGGCGTGGTGAAGCTTGCGGATTTCGGGTGTGCGGTTAGGGCGTTGCCCGGGGCGCCGAGGAGTAGTGAGCGCGTGGGCGTTGTGTACTGGCAGGCGCCTGAGATGCGGACGTGCGTCGACTCTCTTTCTCGTATCGATAAGCGTACTGATCATGATGCGCGTGTACTACAGCGGCCTATACGACCCGCTCAAAGTCGACGTCTGGTCCCTCGGCGCCACAGCGTGGGAGCTAGCCTCGGGCGAACCACCCTTCAGCGACGGCGGCGCCCCGCCCTCCGGCTACGCCCTCCCGCCCCTCCCCTCATACGCCGAAGCCTCGCGCGCGTTCGAAGACTTCTTGCACCTGTGCGCGCAGCCGCCGAGCAGCCGCGCGGAGCCGGACGAGCTGCTGAATGCTCATTTTGTGAGGATGGCGGCGCCGAGGAGCGCGCTGGTTGCGCTGCTGGGGAGGTGTAAGGTCGTTGAGGATCGGTTGTTGGGGAGGAGCGATGAGGCGTAGTCTCTTCGGCTTGCTCGATCACTCTTCAATCTTTCTCTGCCCGCATAGTCTTCCCTCTTCCTCCCTTCCCGTCTGAGCTGTTCGTCCCCCGCCCTTTCCTGAAACCCCGTTTTGGACACCGGACTCATACCACTTTCACGCTCGTCAACTCGCTATCCCTTGCTTTCACATATCGCGTTACCCACCTCATGCTCCATATACTCATTCCATTATCAGTTCAACTATATACCGACCATCTACGATGCTGCATTTATCACTCTCCCTCCTTCTCTACATCTTTCACGCACATCTCACCGTCAAGCTTGCTTGCTTCTACTTACTTATATCCCTCAATGCTTGCTACGTACACGTACCCACACAATTCTTGAAGGTTTGGGACTCGGTGCTTGGACTCGTTTACATGTTGATGTTTATTCGCTCGCTTGCTTCAATTGCTATGCACCCAGCTCGTTTTTGTCAGATACTGCTTTCCGTCATCAACGCGAGGCTGCAGAGTCTGGCACAGCGCGCGTATTGTGTTACTGTACTGCTCGAGACGAAGAAGGCAATGGCTGGGTCCCACGTGCCATGAGCCACCACGTGTTGCTATTGGCAACCTGTAGCGTGCCACCCACATGACTCGCAGCCTTTTATTGTGGCTCCCATCTGAGACATGTCACCCAGGCTATCGCCCGCGTCGACGTCCACGCAGTCACCTCCGACTTCCGACGCATCCCCGCCCCCTGACCATGACGCCGACATGATCTCCGTCGAGGACTTCGACCGCATAGTGAAGGACGCCATAGCTGCCTTGGCGGTTTGGCAGAGATCGGACTTCAAGGAACACTTGCGCATAATCACAGAACACGACCCGCAACTGGAGACCATCCACACTTTGGACGCTGCCAATATCGTTCTTTCCAAGAATCCCGAGCTGTGTGAGGCGCTGGGGAAGGCTCAGCAAAGTGGGAAGTACGCGGAGGTCAGAAGTAGGTATCATTCCAACATGGGCCCCCCACTCGTTGCCTTGTTCTCACTTCTATCGCTCACCTATCTTTCATAGAAACTCTTTTGAGTCTTCAACCTCGTATCTCATTTAAGGAGCTCGATGAGACCAACGCAAGTAAGACGGGTATGTGACGCCAATTCTGTGAATGTGCGACCCACGCTTCATCTCATGAACAGCGACGGCCTTGTCTTGGGATCACCCCTTCCAGGGATCTGCGCACAAAGCGCTGTGGCGACACATCTCGAAGTACGCGACAATGAACAAGAGCTACTATTCGCCATGTTGCTCCATCGTGCAATCGTCCGGGACGGGCAAGTCCAGGTGTATCGACGAACTCAGCAAGGAACAGCTAGTAGTTCCCATGAATCTCAGACATCCAGAGGCTGGCGGTGCGTACTTGTGTCATAATGGACTAACCGCATGCTTATTCCGGTCGTGTGCCCCACAGGCTTTCCTGCGCCGGATGAGCAACTATACGACTACTTCACCACAGAGCACCTGACTGCTAATGACTCCGTCATCCACATCAACGCTTTCCTCTGCGCCCTCTTTACGGAACTTCAAGCTGAGATCGAGAGCGAATATCAGAGTGACCGGGACTCTGGCGGACTCGCCCTCTGGCTTCATGAGCTGATGACCGAAGGCCAAACTTTCTCTTCGCAAGGTCCTCGACGGGTGGCGTTCTATAATAAGGTCGTGGAACAAGCGGAGGTGAAGATCTATGAGAGTTTCTGGCCCTTCTGCTAACGACGACATATAGCACCTTAAGAAGCACTGGCCTAGTGCAAATTCTCCGCGTTTGTCGCAACCTCCAAAGAGTCCGTCAAGAGTGAATACTGGACCTCCAGCGAACGAAAACCGTGAGCCGTCGTTTGATACAGTCCTTCAAGCTGCTTATCAAAACGTTGACAGATGCGTCTAAGAAGGCAACTGAGGCCGCGTTGAATCTCTTCGAGGCCTGCAAAAAAGCCGAGCCTGCCACGAAGCGATCCGAACGCCCGTCAATCGTTCTTGCCTTCGATGAAGCAAATACTCTAACCCGGACCAGAGCCGACACGGACGAAACGACGAGTGCCTCATCACCTTTCGCGTTCCTTCGACGTGCCCTGCGCGAGATAGGCGCCGGCGTCTTCACGGTTTTCCTCTCGACTACGGGAAAGATTACTCAATTCAATCCGCCACGAGAGTTGGATCCCTCTAACCGTGTGTCTTCGGGCGCTCTTGCGACAGCCCCTCCTTTCACTGCCTTAGGGTGGGACCAGCTTGCACGGCAGATCCAAGGACCATCGGAGGGAGGCATAGACTTCGAGAACATAGGGTTTGATTATCAAGTCTATCTCGGACGCCCTATGTGAGTCTGACGTCACTCTGCTGATCATTTTTCGGTACATCTCCTCATGTATACTGTTGTTAGGTTCGGCACACGCTATCATGCGGCCATTAAAGACAAAGCCTGGAGCGAGGACCCTCAGGAAGCGTTGTTGCGATTCGCAGCTGAGAAGCTACTCTGCGCTTCCTATCCCCTAGCATCTATAAACGGCCCCTCCCCCGACCAAGAAGTGGCGTGCTTGGCGCAGCGACTGCCGATCGAATTCATGTCTACAACGCACGCAGCGCCAACCCAGCGCAAGCAAGTCGAGAACCATATGCGTGTTTGTATCGCCGTCGGTGAACTACGCCTGGTGACCATGAGCTCGTCTGAGCCAATCTTGTCAGATGCGGCTGCCACAGTCATGTCTGACTATGAAGGCAAGAAGTTCGTGCCGCGAGCCTTGTCACGCTTGCTATCCGGGTGTTCCATTCATACTGGCGACCGTGGCGAATGGGCTGGGGTGCTCTTGGCGATTCTCGCTCGAGACGAAGTCGTCCAACAAGATCGGCCTTATGCTCCGCAATACCCTGGCTTTTTTACTGTATTATCCTTTCTTGAGAAACTCTTCGTGGTCCGCAACCCATCTACCTCGGAATCGCGCGGCAACAACACCAAGGTCATCTTGGATGACATCCTTGCAGCGAAACCGTCTGTTTATCGCGACGATTCCGCCAAGGATACGTCGCTCGCGACAGCCTTCGATGGAGTTTACCTGCACTTTAACCACTTCATCAAGCGAGGCACCCACAATCTCACCCGAGACCAGCTCATCCGTTTCTTTGTCCGCAACGCCGCCTTCATGACTGCCAACTCCCAGGCTGGCATCGACTTCGGCCTCGTGACATGCAAAGGCTCTCAGATCCTACCAACATCGACGTCGTTGTTCATGGTACAGGTCAAGAACGATAGCAAGTTCTCATCCAAGATTGACCAGTCGCTCTTCAACTCCATGGATCCTGTCGGTTTCGGAATCTCTACAGACGACCTTCACGTCCCTCTTATCCGCGTTGTCATGGCGCTTGCGGGCAAAAAGCCTGCCGTGACCTACGTCAAGACGCAGAAGAAGGGGAGCTTCACATCGTACGATATCTGGGTTTCCGGTTTATCCAAAGCCGTATACCCTCTCGTCACGGAGGACAACTCCGCCGTCTGGCAGGATATTGTTCAGGCGTCAAATAGCTTTCAACAGGGCATGAAGGACAGTGACGAGCACGTCAAGGAGCTGAAGATGTCCATGATGCCGATGTCAGGGGACCCGCCTGTCTTTTGGAGCTGGTTTAAACGGGGGACCAGCCAGGATGCGGACGAGGATGTGGACACCGACCTCAGCACTCCGACAAATCGGTCCAGCGCTCTCCCCGAAATGCATGCGGGGCCGTCCACTGAGGCCCGGCGTACCTCGAAGCGACGCAATGAGTCCGAAGACCGCACGCGCAGGAACCGACCTCGCTACGGGGACGCCGCATAGTATGCCCTCTCGATTGGCACCTCACGTTTGTTTTGTATAACGATCAATTTACACCCCTGTAAACTGTATCCTGGTCCCACTTGTGCTCTGTTATTGCTCTATGATTGCTGTCCACGCTTCATCGACGAGTTTGCCTGCGCTAAATGATCTTTCCTTACATCGGCCTATCTGTATCATCCTCGTTTTCTCTCAATTCGCCTGAATGACTCTATATCTTGTACATATACCGGCTACATCTTATAATACTTAGCCTTCTCAATAACTACCAAGTCGACTTCATGATGATTACAGCCCACTCGGCTCGCGTAGCGCGATCGAAACACAGAGTGGCGCCGCGCTGGAGTCGAGTGAATTAGGACCTGATGTAGCTCTCACGATGATCGGCAGCGTTATGCCCAGGGATCTTACACAGGCCTCGGGGTACGGCAAATATAACTAGTGATAGGGATTGAGCTCTACATGTGAGCATTCATGCGGGTCATTTGACTGTGTACAACATGGATACAGCGCTCTCGGAATACGAAATACAAAATGCGGGTGAGATGTTCTGAAGACGCCTAGCAACGAAGGTACTCGTCTGAAGAATTCATCTTTACCCACCACTTCGCCGCAATGGGGCTAACCAAAAGTCACGCGGCTCAGCCTCACCTGGCTCCCTAATCGCCGTAGCCACGACGAATTCCCAGTCATGCCCTGTCAACGAGGCTCTTCTAAAGCCCGCGAGAACGAAGTAGTTCGTTAGTCGGGCTCGTCGAGCTGCAATATGGCAAGTTGGGATTTTCCGGGTATATGTACGTAGGCATCCCAGCAGAGGTCGAAGGCGAGGTCTGAGAAGAAAACTGGACGCCCGTGCGATAACTTGAACGCAGCTTGTAATGTGATGCCAACCGTGGAAGTGGTTCTTGGCAAAGCTCGCTCAGGAGTACTGCGCGATTCCATGTACCAGTCGTTGCCGATGTTACCGACACATCCTGCGAATGCTCGCGGTTGCCTCGGTCAAGTGGAGCTACCCTCGGACGGGACGGCATGAGCGAGAAAGAGGAAGAGCGGATATTGACTGGTAGTCGTTCCCATTGCGAATGCATGATGATCTGCGGTACGTCGAGGCCAAGAGCATGCGGCGCCTAATCAGCAGCGATGCCCAAAGCTTCTCCTCCCTCGGGCTTCTGCGTAGCTAACCGTACGCTAAGAGCAGAATAGTCAGGACTCGCATCCGGTCCGATACAATTGTGGATCAACTGACCGATTGCGCTTCACAAGCAACCTAAGCGTCCGCTTCCGCTCATCCTCAGTCATATCAAGCCAGTTCGTGATGCGAGAGATCGTCTACAAGGTGACAGATAATCATCAGTCGATGTACAATCCATGTATGGCTTATACTGCGTACACCGTCTGTATTGATAATCATGGGTCCAAGATGGTCGAGTGGCACCGATTTACCATCGACATCCATCTGCGCCTTGTCACCGATGCCATCGGTACGAGGCTCGGTTGATGGATCTGCGGGTGCGGGCAATGCAAGCGAAGGCCCTGTGCTTTTACTCTGGCTGTCCGTGCCAGACATGTATCAAACGGATAATAGTCAGAGAAGCTGTGTCTGCTCAGTTGGTATGACAGATGGGAGTTGCAGACAAGGCCGCGGCGGGCGCGGACGGTCGAGGCTTTGATCGCATCACTGTGCACCTCTCATCATTTGGTCCGCTCCTCCAACCTTTCCGGGGTTTACGCGTCCCACCTCCGTCTTCCTTGAGCGCAGCGCCTACGTACGGCTTTGAGTTTTATTTCTCTCGCAGCTCAGCCAAGCATGAGCACCTCTTTCTCAGTCGTTGGGGCAAGAAGTTCTCGAGATTGCTCTCGATGACGATCCGGCAGCTATCCGTTGACCGATCGCAGTGCAGTTGGGATGTCCCGATGTGTTCTGTTGGCGCCACGGCGCTAAACGGGCCGCGCGATGGCAGTGCAATAGTGTGACGCCGGTATGCGTTATAACCCGGCAAGTCGGGCTCCAGCCCGTCTTCCTTTCTTCCCCTCAACGAGCCCACCCCATCTTCTGCGCGCGAGTCGCGTCCAGCTTTCGTCTTCTTTCTATTCGCCGGAACAGCCTATATAACCCGCGTGCTTGTCAATACTCCTTTTGTTATTCATACCGCTATCTGCTGCTCTGCTATTCTCATCGTGCCTCTTGTGCCTCGCTCGCAGCTCTTGAACCTGACCTGCGCATAATCCACTCTACGACTGCTATAATCCCACGAACGACCACAGTCATGACTTTGGTCTACACGCATACCGCCACATCTGCCGACTTCAACGCTCCTGGCACACCTAAAGCCGGCCGCGCAATCTACTGCAAGCGGTGCAGTACTGTCGTAACAACAACACGCTTTCTCGTTTCACGAGTGGGTCTTGCACGTCTCGCATCCCGGTACTTCCATTGACGCCATTTGTGTAGGCATATCGCGGATTCCGCGGCAAAGCAGCGCTGTACAGCCATGTCGATAGCGAAGCAACATCACTCGGCCCAACGTCCGTGCAACTGATGCAGACGGGCGCGTACACCGTTCGCGCATTGACTTGCGGAACATGTCACGCATACTTGGGCTTCACATTCGTGCGCGCGCACGAGAAGACGGAGGAGTGGAAGGCGAATCACTCGGTTTTGGAGGCGGCGTCCGTGCGCGAAGAATCGGATCCTTTGTCCGCATCAGCACACTCGCCTTTGCCGCCCCTTGAGCCCGTACGCCCGAGCACGCCCGCATCAGCCGAGACGGACATGAGCGATGTTCCGGAGGAGATGGCCGCGCCTCAGGCGCGCCCACGTCGTCCGATGCCTTCGCCGCATGGGAGCTCGGTTTGGAGGAAGACGGTCGTGAAATTGAGCTCGGCGGGACGCTTGGCCGGTTCACGGCATTCTCGGAGTATATCGAGTTCCACGGATGGGAGTCACCATGCGCCGTGGGTGATTGAGTAGATGGACATGAGGATTCGAGCGAGTGCGGCAGTGGAATCCATCAGCGGATATTTATTACTTGGGACTTATTCACGATCGCTCTCGCTCTTATTCTTTTGTAGCACTACTATGTATCATTACCCCTACTGCTCATGACGCTCTACGTACCTCTCGACCTATTCATTCATGTGGACTCTGATAACCGCGTGCGATGGAGATTATTGTGCGTGACAACGATCAACGCGGTGCAGGGCTGTCCAGTTGAGAAGTGGTTGAGATGCCTCACACGTTCTTGTTCTCGACGTTGACTTCCTTGTCTTTGTAATTGGACACTCGTTGTAGACTTGGATCTCTCAATACACACCTTTTCGTCGTATCCAACTCGGAAGAGACTCGGCGCGCGAGCTAGACGGAAGCGGAAGATCAGAAAAATCCAGATAGGACGGACGATAGGACAGGGGTTCCGGGTTCGCCACTTGCCGTTCCAAGCGCCTGGAGGATCAACTGAGTTATCCTGCATGCTTGTTTCCCGCTATGGGCGAACAATAATACGTCCCAAACGAACACGAACCATACTCTGATCGCAACGCCGAACATCTCTGTCTTTGTTTTCGCCGCACTTATATCCCAATCCTTGCCATACGTAGCCGCCACCTCTCCCCGCGCAGCCCGTCATGGCTTCCCAAGCAGTACATCGCCCAAATCCTGCCGCTGGAACTCTGAACTCCCCGATCCTCGTATGGATGCTCTACGTCAACCACGAGATCACAGAAGAGGTGCGTGTTACCAGACTGTGCGAGGAATCGCCCGTTTGTTGACCGTGGCTGTAGGAGTACAAAGAGTGCTTCGATGCTGTCACCAAGACTATTCCGCACTGTAAGGGCTTGAAGTACAACTATAGGTCTGGAGAATCTGTCCGTACGTTCTTGCGATCCTCTGTACCATATTCGCCACTGACAATACCCCACGCAGGCGTACTACTCGCAAACATGATGCCGTTGCTCATGATGCGCCACCGACGAATTCCGCGTTCACGGTGGCGCGACCACTCTACGCCCAACGGCAAGCATTGGATTGAACAGGTGCGTGTGCTGGACCCCGTTGTACGTTCCCGCACTCAACAGGCATACGACTTCGCAGATGCTCGAGCATACGAACCCCGAGCACCACATGCGTTCGATGATCGGATACCATCTGGCATGGGAGAACTCACTCATCGGCATGGCCATGGTACAGGGACGAAAGCAGGAGGTCGTGAACATTGGCATTGGTGTGAAGGAGCTCATCACCGATCCGCCCGGTATCCCCGTGAAAGACTATGTCGACTCCCTGTCCCACAAGGTGCGTCTATACATGTGTCCCTCACCCTACTCCGGCATCCTCACTACGATCCCAGCTCACTGAAAAGGAGCTTGGCTTCATCAGCCCCGAGATGTCGGAAGATGTTGTCATGCGTCGCCTCGCAATAGTGCTTTCCCTCAAGGCAGCCTACATCCGTGCAATCGGACAGCCTCTCGGCTTCGACTGGGCACGACTCGAGTTCAACGTACCGGAGGAGAAGTGCAGTGGCGATGGCGAAGCGCTCACCGGCTGGGAGTTCCGACTCTTCCGCTCAAACGTCGGCGTGCAACGGAACGGGCAGCTTGTAGAGGAGCTATACCAATGCTGCGTCGCATTCTTCCGCGGGACGCCTGAGACGAGGTTCCACTTCAGCGAGAATAAGGCTGACCTGGAGAGTTGGGTCCAGTTCATCAACATGGACCAGATGGTGAGCTTGACGCCCCGAGATTGTGATAGGCGTTTAGATCTGACTGCGTTGCAGGTGAACGTCATCCCTAAATTGGCTGATTAGACGTTGATGGAGAGCATTGAGGAGGGTTGTGGCTCGCCGAATCGTTTCAATCGCTCAGTCCTGGCTATTTATATTCTTGTCTCGCTTGGTTACTGTCACTGTATATCTTTCAAACATTGCTCGCATGTATTTGGTCTTCTGCTGATGTACTAGACTCTCGTTAGCCACATCAAGACTTTAGGGAAGCGGTCTGACGGCGTCTGAGGGACTCTGAAGCGGTCTGGCGGCCCTGAAACGTCTGAAGGCTCGCTTAAAGCTCTGGGCTCACATGGCCCTTAGAGCCCTCAGACCGCTTCAGACGCCCACAGGGCGCTTCAGACCGCTTCCCAAAGTGCTGATGCAAGCTGAGTCCAGTCGGATACGCGTCGGATGCGACGCCCGTGTAGCTTAAGTGACTCTCCAGTCTGTGAGCCGGCACAAGTGGTATATTATGGCTCTAGGAAGGTCGTCGTGCCTGTATCTTACAGGCATTCCGCTGACATTCCGCCCACAAGCCTGCTGTCGCCCAAAGCGTTGAAACGCTGCTTACGATAATCATCTCACGTACAACAACAGCTACTCTCAACGGCGATCATGATGGTGGTCAACCGCAAACATCCGGTACTTTCGATGCTGATAGCGACCACTCTGCAGCAGTATTGTACGCTGAGCGTCCAGTCAGCGCACTCACATGTTCAGCGTAGGCCTTACGATCGCGGTTGAAGCGTTGAAGGTAGACAGATGCGACAGAGAGCCGGCGGCGCGGCCCCGATGCCGATCCGTTAGGCGCCCACGAAGCATCGTGACATCAAAGCGCATCAACTTCAACTTGTTCCTCCCCAAGACATGCTCGCCGTCGCCTTGCTCAGGTAGCGCAATGTGCCACCTCATCGCCGAGTCTCTTAATAGGGAGTGGTTCCCATGGGACTATGACGCTGTGGACGTATCCTTTGCCCCAAATCCGGGGACAATATCCCGGTTAGGCACGGATAGAGATGCGCTGTAGTACTCTAATAAGGGGGTGATGATCGGGAGTCAATTGCGACTAAAGTCTGGGTGCCGCACCGCAACTGCAGGTGGGCAACACAGCCGACGCGTCGTGTGGGTCTTGTTTCCTTCCACCGCCATCGGTTCTGCTTCGTAGCCAGTCGTCCCATGCCTCGATGAATCCATTCGCCACACACCTACCTGCACTCCCTATGGCTTCTCGACTCATACATACTCTACACATTCTTGCAATATTTGCTGCTACCGTCTACGCACAGACGCAGACATTCTTCCCCGGTTCAGTGCCGCTAGCGGCAAAGTCGACCTATCTGAATGCATACGTCGGCATATCCAACCAATCCAACTTCGCAAGAACATGGCCCGTCTTCTCTAGCAATCCGGTGCGTCGTGCTGTCATGCGTGAAACGCGTGTTCTGACCAGATCTACAGCAACAAGTGGTGGGATGGTCTGGGCAAATACGGATTGATGGTTCGAATAGCACCTACGGCTGGCTTGGCATGATTGGCACGAATCCAGTCACCGTCCTGGACCTCACGGTGACACCTACGCGCACGGTGTGGTCTTTGCGTGCGGGGACGGTCGACCTTGTTATCACTTTCTTAAGTCCGATAGAGGTGCGTGGATGGATCTTCTCACTTCCACTCAACGCTCAACGAACATCATGTGCAGCCGAATGACTTTGTCCGACAATCCATTCCGTTTACATACATGACCTTTGAGTGCTCATCGAACGACGGTAATGCACATGAGGTGCAGATATATACCGACTTGACCGGAGGTATGTCCTGAGCTTGCGTGCGGGTGACCCTTTGCTCAAGAATTCTAGAATGGGTTGGCGGTGACCGTTCGCAGACTAGTGAGTCTTCCCCGCCTCCATCTCAGGCCATGTACTGACTGCAAGTAGTCAAATGGTCAACAACCGTCGACTCTGACAAGGGCAACGCCTATCACACTTCTTCCTTGTCCAATCCACTTCTGTTTACCGAGTTCGACGGGCAGGCTAGCTGGGGCAGCATCTATTACGCGACAAAGACGGTATGTAGAGCCCGGCTCTTTCTACTGCGTCCGCTCATGATTCTTTAGGGCGATGGGTTCACCTACCGGACGGGCTTTGCGGATGACTGTCGCAATCTCTTTGCCAACAAAGGCGTTCTCGATAACAACCAGGACACCAACTTCCGCGTCATCACCCAAGATTTCCCCGTGTTCAGCTTCGCGTTCGACCTCGGCAGCATCAAGGCAACGTCGCAACCGAAAGTGTTTACTGCCGGCTTTGTGCGCGACCCCGCCATCAAGTATACCGATCTCAGTGGGACCTCCTCGCAACGGAGCTTGTTTTACAACAAGAAGTATACTGACATCGATTCTTTGGTTAGTGGGCCCCGGATACTCCATCAACAGTGTAATCTGATCTCCCTCAAACAGATCGACTTTGTCTTGACTGATTACTCCGGCGCACTCTCTCGCGCGACCAATCTGGATTCTGGTTTAAGTGACGCCGCGCACAAGGTGATCTCGAGTGACACGCTCTCCGACATCGTTAGCTTGACGACACGCAACATTTTTGGATCAACGGAGTTGACCATCGGCGTCGGCTCTGACGGGAAGTTGAACGATTCGGACGTGATGATGTTCATGCGGAATACCAACGGCGACCAAGCGGGGTGCGTAATCTTGCTATAAGCATCTGAATGGTCGTGGCTGATGGATTACTATAGCCGCGTCAATCCTGTTGAACAACTGTACAGCGCATGGCCGGCGATCATGACTATCGATCCCACTCTCGGCGCACCGCTTCTCGAGCCTCTGATGCGTTTCCAGCAAAGTTCGGCGTACGTGATCCAGTTTGCTGCCCCAGATCTTGGCACCTCGTATCCCAATGCGACCGCGGCAAACAACGCACATCGTCAGGTTCGTGCTCTGCCAAGTCAAACATACTCTGTCCTGACATTGCACAGGGCGTTGAGATGACGTCCAACATGATTCTCATGGCGTGGGCTCATGCCAAGTTCTCGGGCAATGGGCAGGTCATTGGCCAGTACTACAATACCTTCAAAAACTGGGCTAAATATCTGACCGACAACGCTCTGTACTCCACCAATCAGTGAGTCTTCGAACACTGTGCATATGAACACCATCTCATCGTACCGCAGACTCAACGCCGATGGAAACGCTTCGGACAACTCAACTAATCTCGCGATCAAGGGAATCCTGGCTATTGCAGCAATGGAACAAATCAGTAGCGCTGTGGGTGTCAACGCCGACAAGACTATGTTCAGCAACGCCACGCAAACGTTGTATTCGCAGTGGAAGGGACTCGCCCTCGGTTCTGGTAACAAGATGGAGCAGTCCTATGGCAAGCCCTCGACCTGGACCATCGGCTACGGGTTGTTCGCCGACAAGTGGTTAGACCTGGGCTTGATCGACTCCGTGGTATGTCCCGCTCTGCCATCGGCTGTCCAACAGCTCACTCATCCGGGCTACAGATCTATAGCGGCCAGACCAGTGAACTGCAGTCGATTCTCAGCCAACAGGCCGCCGTGACCAAGTTCGGAATTCCTTCCACACTTGCAGGGAACGTAGATTCCAACTACAACATGATGGCGGCGTCATACGTATCAGACTCCAGCGTCCAAAGTGATATCATCGCTCGGGTCTTCGCTCGCGCAAACTTGACCGCCTCGAACGATATGATCCCGCAAGTGTACAACTCGTCTACCGGTGCCACCACGCAGGGTCAGTTCAAGTAAGCATGCAATGTACCTGAGGCTAAAACGTACAACTGATCTCCCTGTCAAATAGCCCTGCAATCGGTGCGGCCTTCGGTCCGATGGCACTCTCACTGCAAGCTGCGAGCTCGATCACCATTCCTCCAGGGTCTGGTCAGGATTCATCGTCGTCGTCGTCCAGCTCGATCGCTGGTCCTGTGGCTGGCGGTGTCGTCGGCGGTCTGGCGGCGCTCGCAGCGATCATCGGTGCCGTATGGTTCTTCCGCCGGCGCCGCCGTGGCGATAACCGCCGACGCGTCGATCTAATGCTTGAGGATCGCGACAACGGGGAGGACACTGAGCAAGCTTACAAAGATCACCCTGGCCTCCAGGCGACGCCTTTCCCCTACACTGGGACATCGCGTATTGGCTCGATGTCGGCGCGCCGCGACAGCATCCATTCCATTGATAGTTCGACGCCTGCGCTATCACGCCAGCCACCTGAAAGCTCGTACGGACAAGGCAGTTCGTCCGGTCGCGGCGGTCCCGAATCATACAGCGACGACGCAAGCAGAACAACGGGTCCTCTTGGCTTGCGTAACCCTCATCCTCGCGAGAACCCCGCGATGCGCGCCATGAATGTCGGCCCTGAGGAGGATATCGAAGCCGCAGCGAGCGCGGCCGGCGCGACAGCGTCAGAAGCGAAGCTGATCGCCGAGCGTAGACGAAACGCTGCCAATCCCGCCACGCCCGCATTCTCTATGACGCACACACGAGGTGCATCTAGCGATGGCGCGGGGACGTCAACGGGACGCGGCAGTGGGGATGTACAACTGGCGCAGGCGCTTCGAGAGGAAGTACTGAGCTTGCGGCGGGAGATGGAGGAGATCAAGATGAACAGCATCGAGCCTCCTCCGAGCTATGCTGCGTGATCCCGTTCGTTGTTTTGAGTTTGGCTATGATACCCGTCACGCTTTGTCGCTCTTTCTCGTGCTATCGGTTCTGCTCGGGACAGTTTATCTTACCAATCGCTGCTTCTTGCTCGGCTCAGAGTTGGGTTGGATCCAACAATGTATATTTATGATGGGCCCGAGGGCGGCCTTTTCGTACATGATGAATATCTGACGTTGTTCCCTCACACCGTGCTCGACGGCCCGTTGCTGACGTCGAGCCGGGACTCCATGCGTCGCCAGTCGATTTGTTCGATCGGGTGATGCAGTTAGGTGCTGGGCACGCGCTGGCGACAAGTGGTGAGAGAACGATCGCTATTGTGGGTAAGCATCTCTGCGCCGTCCCTGTCAGAAGGCAAGCTTGGGCGCTGACATATGCTCTTCGTTGTGCATTCTTCCAGGCTCAACGTCAAGCCCTAGCTCGATCCACAAACACGCCCCGGACACGCATACCTGTGACGCCACCGGCTTGTGTTACCACTGCCAGCAGCGCTGACTATATGCGCCGGTGTCCCTCCGCCGGCCGGTCCCGTACGATACTACCGCTTCAGCGCACCCTTCATCCGAACAAGTCTCCCAGCGATCGCCACTTGGACGTGCTTCTTGACCGCCGCAAAGCGCAGGCAGTGCGGTAAACTATAGCGCAAAACCTTGGCAGTAGTCGGTCTACATGGAAAGAGAACGCACGGCTGGAGCAATACATTCGGCTCTTCCCGGTCGTGACCAACGGCATGGGTAGAGCTGACCAAAAACGACGAGCAACAAAGGCATCGATACCACATTGCTGACGCTGACCATCTTCCCATCGAAGATCAGTTCTTTTACAAACCTGCGATGTCCTTCTCATGAGATTTAATCTGGGCCCCTTCACTGGAGCCTCCTGACAACTCGCACGTCTCGATCACCCAGGTTGTCTACAAGATGGAGTCTGCAGCGTTCCGTCGCTCTCCGACGTCCCGCGGGGTCATATATGCGTACTTCCACGTCCCAGCTTCTCAAGGTCGCCAAACCCTCCTCTTCCTCCATGGCTTCCCGGCCTTCGCCCGTATCTGGCACAAGCAGGCTTCTTTCTTCCGCGAACGTGGCTATGGAGTCCTTATACCCGATATGCTGGGCTACGGCGGCACGGACAAACCTTCCGACCCTGCCGCGTACGTTGGGACGAAGGTCGCACGAGACATAATCGACATCGTGGAAGGCCTCGGACTGCAGAAAGTGGTGGCGATTGGACACGATTGGTGTGTATACTATAGACTCTCCAAAGACAGACTGGATCCAACTCACACCTTGTTCTTAGGGGATGCAGAGTGCTTTCGCGTATCATCAACATAGCCCCTCAGCACTTCTCAGCGTTTGCGTTCCTCGGTGCCGGATATCAGGCTCCCCGCGGGCACTTCGACCTAGCCGCAACACATGCATGGACTCAGCAACACCTGGGTCGAGTTCTGTATGGTCACTGGGAGTTTCTAGCTTCTCCTGAAGCCCAGACGCTCATCGAGCAGGACGTGAGTGCCAAGCCAGCCATCGACATAACAGGCGGCTCAACTCTTACATGCAATAGTTGCCCGGTTTCGCCAGTCTGATGTTTCCCGCGCATCCTGTTGTAACGCTCCAACATGTATGCCCTCTCGGAGCCATGAAGCAGTTCCTTGAGCAAGGTCACATTGCTACCCCGCCTTCCTACCTTGCAGCCTCGGTGTGTCTTCTCCTTGAATACGTCTTTCTTCCACGAGCTAACCACCTCCCAGGAGCGTAATCGACTTGTACAGCAATTTCAGACCCACGGCATCGCTGGACCGTTGAACTGGTACAAAGCATTGGTGCACGGGCACGTCGCTCAAGATGAAAGCAGTACGTCGACCTCTCTCTTTGCCTCACGCAGGTATTGACGCCCCTTCAGCTCTCCCTATGACCTCCTTCCACTTCATGCACCCCGTCTTCTACGGCGCATGCCCCGATCATCCTATCTCCCTTCCTCGCTTCGCCAGAGACGGCTTCGCTGCGTTCGCCGCAGGTCCCCTTACCGTGCACGAGTTTGCACGTGCATCGGACTGGGTCATGCTCACGCATTCAGACGAACTAAATGAGGCGCTACTGGCGTGGATTGAACAACTGTAAAAGTACATCTCCGCTTATCATACACGTTCCCCTATGAATGTATCTTCCTAGTACTACTACGAATGCGAACCAGTCGAGAATGTACACAAATAAAATAGATGATGACCGCTATGATGAACTGAAAATGCATATGGGAATGAGATGGAGACAAGAAGAATGCGAGATCTGGTCATGTCGACTTTATGGAGGCGGGTTCAGGACCGGCTTCAATAGCCTTAGCGGGAGCCTTCGCGTTGGCCTCCTGTGTAGCACGCAACCAGTTGCCGACGCCCAAAGCGATCGCACCGGCGGCTTGGAAGGCGTGCGAAGCCAGGAAGGTGCCACCCGCCGCCGCTGCGAAGCCGGGCAGTGCCGGAAGACTGCCCACGGTGATCAAGACGGCAGCAACCGTGCCCATCGTCTTCGGGTGCTCGGTGTTGAGGAACTCAAGTGCGCCGGTGGCGTTGAGAAGCCACACAGGCACGTTAGCGGTGGCAGTGCTCACTGAAGATCATATTAGATACAGAGGACGGTCGGAGAGCTCGTGTGATAGACGTACATTCTTCAGTGGGCTCTGACGTCGTGGCCACCGCGTTGGAAGGCGGCGGGGATGAGGAGCTCTGACCGCCGAAAGGCCAGAAGCTCGACATGCTACTTGTCTCCCCTCCATTCTTCGTGGAAGCGGCGGCGGAAGGTGCGGTGGATGGCGCGGTGGATGGCGTCTGCGCGTAGAACCTGTTCGGCATGTACGAGCTCTCAGTCTCCGCGGACTCTGAGACGGCATCCGAAGCAGAGCCGGAGTCTTTGCGGGTGATCCAATCGGTCATGCGCCGTGCGACGGATGGCCGTGAGGTGCTATCGGCCGTGGATGCGACAGAGTCCCAATCGTCGACGAACTCGACGCTGTTGATGTCGTCGGTCTTGCCCTTGTTGCGCTTCGATGGCTTCTCGCTCGGGAGAGTGTGCCGTTTCTCGGGAGGCGACGGGCGCTTCTGAGCGTTGGCGGGATGGAAGGGAATGGGCTGCGCTGCGCGGTTCTGCTGGGCTTGCGAGGGATGATACGGTACCGGAGGTTCCTGCTTGTCCTTGCTCGACGAGCCACGACCGGCGATCCACCAGTGGCCTGAAGCCCTACTCTGGAGCTTGAAGGACTCGGTCTTGTTGTCCTCGATATCCCCTACGGCGACCAGCGCATCAGCAAAGATCCACGCGATCTGGATGGATCAGACTCACAACCCATACTCCGCATAGCGACCTTAAAGCGCTTCCAATCAAAGCGGTACTTCCCGCCGTGCATGGTGCGCATGACGCGCTTGAGCTCGTTATAACGAGCCCGAGCGTGCGGTCCGAGATAGTGCTGCCCGACCTTGTGCCAGTATCCCTCCGGCACACCGCGCTCAAGACAGCCGGCCTTGATGGCGTCGAGCCAGACATCGACCGGCGGATCTACGTCGGTCTTTCCGTAGAAGCGAGGTGGGTTCTGAGCATCCCAGATCTCGAGGACGGGCTTGAGGTTGAATTCGTCGAGTTTGAAGGCGTCGAGAATGGCCATGGCGATACGACAGAAATATAGATAAAGCTAGAAGAAAGGTCAAGAAGGTCAAGAGCGGACGAAGGAGAATGATGGCAGATTGGGCTGATCGTCGCCTTTGAGCGTTATATACAAGCGTGTCTCAGCCTCGTTTTGGAAGCATGGCGGAGAGCCCGCCCGACACGAGGTGATAGTAGGGTTCACCGCAGTACCAGAACGGCCCAAGGATTCATAGAAGCCTTCGACAGGGCGACGCGTTGCACTGTGACCCGGCGCCCAAGCCCTAGACCGTCGCGTGAAGGTGGTTAACGAACCACATCGAAACTGGGGGTCAACCGCACGATGAGATTGACGTTGGGGCTATCTAGAGCGACGGGGAATCGCTGGTAGTGATGTCTCATACGTGTGTCCTGGCTTGCACCCTTCGAACGCAGTATTGGTATATGCAATGATAGGTGAATAATGGACTCGAATACGATGACGATGGTGGTTGGAAGCAAGGAACGCGTGGGGGCGATGCTCACATCAACTCGCTGCCCGACGCGTGCTACCCGGCCAACGCGGTTCACCTCAACCACCATCATCCCCATTGTGCTCTCAGAATGGCAGACTCTGCATTCCGCAAGATCGATATCGACAAATTTGAGGAGGACGTTCTGCTCGAGACCGATCTCTACGAAGCCGACCCTCGTGATCCCGCAACCGTTCTTGAAGCAGCGAAGGCGAAGAGCGCCGCCGTACGTGGTTTTTTGTCGAAGTAGGTGGGCGATCTTCGTATCTCTGGGGTAAAGATGCTGAGAAGTCCCAGGGGAGACATTGTTGGTGCCTTAACAAACGTGCTCGAAGACGCACCATACGGTCCCAACGTCGAGGAAGCGAAGGTACGCTTCACCGGCACTGTGGTTTCCTCGAGGCCTTATCCTCATGCACGGCACAGAACCTCAATCTTCAAACTGTTGTCACCGTTCTCAACAGCACGAAATCTGTCGATATTCCCAACGTCGTCAAGTCACTCTCGCCTGAAACGCAGGACACGCTCATGAAGTACCTCTACAAGGGTATGGGCATCTCGGGTTGGGGAGACGTCAGCGGCAGCGTGCTTCTCGGCTGGCACGAGAAGGCATGTCATTCGTGTGGCTGTGTATCTATGGCTCGCTGACGACCTTCATTGTAGTTGACGGAGGCTGCAGGAGTCGGATGCATCGTCCGTGCGATGACTGACAGGCGGCTCGTCTAGATAGACACCAGTGTAGGATAATGCTCGATGGGATGGATATGGAATCTTCAAGCTTCTCTGCTCTACGCCATGCTGTGCGTTTCAGCGCTCGATGTGGCTGATCAAGGCCTCGTGATCAATACGCTGGTATACGGTGCGAAGCATGGAACCGGCATCATCAGGACTCCCGTCATCGTGTCCAGCTCCCAGAATTCGAACTCAAGACGCTGGATACAACCGAATATTCGCACATAAGCCTCGGTATTTTCTGACTTCACGCGGAAAACCGGCAATCGTGCTCAAGCAATGTGCAATCCTGTGTATTCCGTCCGATGAAGCAATTTACATCTACATATTCCTTCCGTGATAACGAAGCGGCGAGCGCGCACAGATCGACCCCATCCGGGAGGCCAATCCGCGGATCAGTGGCTCATCTCATACAGTCCGTGAGTTCCAAAGGTGCACCAGACACCGTCATGAAGGTCCTTCAAGGATCTACGCCTTTCCCAGGATGATGTCAGCAGCGCGTGCAGCGAAGGTGTAAATCGCAGCTGTGAGATGCTCGTCAGCATGTTGAGCAATGGTGCATCGAGCAAGATGCTCACCCTGAGGATGCGAGGCAAAATGAAGAGGCAGAATGCTGAGATCGCAGACGCGGATGTTCGAGGTACCGTAGACGACGAGGTTGGGGTCGACGACGCCGTTCTTCTCCTTCGGCAACATGGAGCACGTCGCGGCGGTGTGGTACGTCGTGGCCATGTACTTCTTGAGCCACTCGCCGAGCTGCTCGTCCGTAGTGACGTTCGGGCCAGGGTTCGCCTCCGCAGCGACCATGTCGCTCCAAGGAGAGATCTTGGAGAGTGCACGCACGAACTTGACACACTCGAGGAACGTCTGGAAGTCTGGAATACCCTTTGAGCGACGCTACTGTGGATGTGCGCGGGAAGACATACCAATATCCTCATCGAAGTAGTTCGGGTTGTACGCCGGGTCAACCTTGGGGTCCTTCGAGATGATGTGCTATGGGCAAGGCCGTATGAGCATGGAGTTCTCCTCGCAAAGACGGTGTACTCACAGTCCAACCGCGCGAGAACTGGTGGTTCATAGCCGGCAACAACGAGAAGTACTTCTTGTTAGGCTTGGGCGGGTTGGGGAAGGACAAGAAGCCAGGAACGTCGACAATCTCGCATCCGGGAGCACCGTCCTTCAGGCGCTGGATCTGGATCTGGTACTGCTCCCATAGACCGGGTGGATACTTGTCCTTGTTTGCCTCGATCTTCTTGATCGCCGCGGCGTGGATCTCGTCGGCGCGCTTCGAGTGAAGCTGAAGGGGACCGAAGGAGAAGCCCATGATACCGGCCGTGAAGAGACCCTTCTGTTCATCGTGAAGCTTGAGGTGCTCCGCGACGCCCTCGGCTTCGCGGAGAAGGTCGGGGGTATCGAATGGGACATCATCGTTCAGCTCGTACGAGAGGGACGTGTAGATGTGCTCCTGCAGGTTCTCGCCGACACCGGGGAGATCGACGACGACGGGAATCTTGACGGAGTCCAAGACCTCCTTCTTGCCAATACCAGACAGCTCGAGGATTTGCGGTGACTTTAGGGCACTATAGAGTGACGATTAGCAGAGTCCAAGAATGCACAAGGGGGTGCGCCTCACCCAGCAGAGAGGATCACCTCACGGCCGACCGTGACGGAGTAGGTCTTGTCCCCGTTGAGGAATTCGACGGAGCTGGCTTTGACCTTGCCGCCTGCCTGTTCGGTGATGATACGGCTGACGAGGGCATCGACAGTCACGGTCAGGTTTTTGCGGTTCTGTGCAGGGATGTAGAATGCCTAGAAGCTGTTCAGTCATGAGGGGCGCTTCTAATCGCTGCCACACGCACAGTTGCAGAGTAAGAGCGCGTGTATGTCTTTGAGTCCACGGATTGGGTGGAGAAGTATACACCTTTGGGCTAGAGTTCTGTGAGACTTAGATAACAACGTTTGAGGCGCAAGTTATGCGTACATCGCCACCCAACGGGTCCTTCGCGTGCTGGAAGCCAGCCTTGAGGAGCGAGTCCTGGACAGCTTTGTCCGCGCCGATGAAGTAGCCAGGGAAGGAGTGGTGAAGAGTACCTATTACACCATCGCCGCTCAGTCATCGACTTAATAGAATGCACGATCACATGAGTTCCCTACCTGATGTACCGTGATTCCAGGTCTCCACCTTAAGGCCCTGCGCTTCCGCAATCTCCTTCGTGGGAGCGATGTACCTGCACATCGTGAGCATCCGACGTCGCCGAGAAGCACGAAGCGCACGTACCCCTCCAACTTCTTCATGCTGTCGTCGAGGTTCTTCCAGTTCCATCCCGGGTTCCCAAGCCTCTCGATGTCTATTCGGGGTTGGTCAGGAGGCCGAGCGCAACGCTATCTAAAGTACAGGCGTACCATCGATCTCCTTCGCCGGAGGGCGCGTCCAGCACATGAAGTTGATGGCGCTGCTACCACCCAGTCCCTTGCCACTATACGGTTGCGTTAGGCACCGATCTCGCTGATGGACGGGCTGAGGAGGACATACCGAGGCCATGAGTACTGGATACCGTTCGCCGACTTTTGCGCGACGGTCTTGTGGTTCCAGTCGTACTTGTCGTTGGCGAAGTGGGAACCCCATGAGGCAGGGCGCACTATCATATCGCGGATGAGCGGGCGCCACGCGCAGCGACGACGATCACTCACGGATCGCGGGGTCATTGAGGTTCGCACCGCCGGCCTCTAAGCAGAGAACGGTCTTGCTGGCATCCTCGCTGAGGCGAACAGCGAGCGTGAGACCTGCAGTCTGTATGGGCGTTAGCACCGAGCGCGGGACGGATAGAAGCCGAAGGCACGAACTCCACCACCTGATAGAGCAGCCGGTCAGCGGGAAGGCTCGGACACCAAAGCGCGGGAACCACGCACCGACGACGACGTAGTCGAAGGTCTTGTTCTCGATCTCGTTGACGGGGAGGATAGGCATGGTAGCGACGCCGGGTCGGTTGCGTCGCCTCGAGACGAGTGCAGACCCTTTATATACAAGTACCTAGCGGTGACCTCCTTACGACCGCGACGGCGAAGATCTCGATGTTCTAAGGAATTCGTCCCAATCACCCAAGCGTGTGGCGCAAGCGACGACTTGATATTCAAACTGGGGTTCTTGAGCGTATTTTCAATGATCATCTGCAGCTTTGCTTCTGTCTCGAAGCCGTCGCGATCACACGCGTCTTCCGCATGCGCCAAGTATGGCCTGCGCTCATCCTTCAGTTGGACATCGCTCGCATCGGTCTGTCTCGCTTCGAACTCGTACGCACACAGGCTTCCCCGGAGCACTTCCGTGTACTAGGAAATGTAGACATGCCGACGGCTCAGACGTGCAAGTGTGCTCTGCAGCTCAGCCCTCAGGCGCTCAGGGCGGCTGAAAAGCAGCGATTGGAATTTGATCAGTCTCACCACTGGGTGCTTTAAGCCTGAAGCTGAGCGTTCTGACGTGTAGATCGGCCACCGTTTCTGATCGGTATACGGCACTGCTAGTGACTGGTTCTCATCTGCTCAGCTGGTAGTCAAACTGCGGTTGTCCCACCGAGAGGAAGATGCGAGGCGGGCGAGACACTCGGCTAACAGATCTAGCCACAAGTCGATTTCGACGAGGCCGACCGACGTCCCGAGCTTGGCGTTGACCGTATAAACCTGCAGGCAGATAGGAGTATGGGAGGTATCCGTCAGATAGAGCGCGAAACTTGAATCTGAAACGAACGTGTTTCAAGGCGAATGATAGAAGTCGTTTCTGGCGATGAAGGGAAAAGAGAAGCGCTCCAGCTTCAGCTTTGTGCCGTCCGCGCCTGTTGTAGTGGAGGCCGTGAGCCAGATAGCATTAGCTGGAGGGACATAGACGAAAAATACCGCGCCAAACCCGTTATGAGTCTGTTTCTATTCCCAGCGCCCCACGAGCTTTGCGTCGTGCCAGATGACGAACTAGTCAATAACCCGTACCAACATAAGAACTTGTCGAGGTCGCTACCCCGTGCCGTGTGCACCCCGAACTCAACGAAAAAAACGGAGAGGTACCGATCACTTCCTGAGGTAGCTGTGACGTGCAACCTCTATGCTCTCAATATATCCTGCGACGTTGAACTGGGCTTGAGCCTGGGGGCAATGGGCTGACGATATTGCTACCCCTCGACTTGACGATGAGACTGACCGTGCCAGCAAAGTCGTGTCAGACAGCTCGGAGCCATGAGCCCTCAAGCCATGAGTATAGGAGAGATGTAATTCCGAGAAGAAGACGCGCTCTGTTCGCTCGACATGGTGGTCGAGATGAAGGCGTGCGCTTTCCGCCGCGTGCCGAACCCGCCGCGGCACCTCGGTCTCCCGCGCTACTCGACTCGCTGCCAATTGCACGACTTGACTGCGACCGTCGCCTCGATGGCAAAAGCTGTCTGACCTTCACCAAATGATATATCCCTTCGTACATACCTATCGAAGATACTACCCGCGCTATGCATACGACCGTGGTGGTCGGCAACCCGCCCGAACTGTGCAGTCAAGCGCAGGACATACGCCAGCACGCGCCTTGCCCAACCACCTGCGTCCATCAACCGCCATAGATAGACATATGAGATTAGCAGCAGGATGCCAACCAATGCCATCAAGAAGCGTCTGAAGCATATCTCGGTCGGAGATCTGAAGAGGGGCCGACACAAGTACTTGGCGGCGTCATCCAGACTGCCTTTGTCCTCATACAAGCGTCGTGTGCCTTTCCTTCCCTCTTTCCTTCGTCCGCTCGGAGTGCACCTCGTATATCCTGGTATGCTGAACGCGAACGGCGTTGCTGACCGTTTACGTGGCTCATGGAGAGTAACCGTTCTACCGAAGATTGACCATGCCAACTAGCGTGATTTTTACTGGATGCATGACTTTGCCCGCCGGATGTGCCGTCGCAACTGCAAGGTTCTCTCGAAGACCATTATGAACGGACTTTACGCCGATGGATCCGGATTCCTTTATGCTATCCGGGTCACTATGAATGCCCTTGCTCGCAGAACAGCCACATTGCCTGAAGGGCGGCGTCTCATACGTTCAGCTGCAGACCGCTTGTAGCGTGCTCCTGACCCATATCGAGAGGCACATCTTCTCCCAGGCGAAATGGGCGCCAGTTCAATCTTAAAATACGAAAGGAACGAGCAGGAGGATGATCATATCAGTTCTCGGACCGGACGCACTGGTCCGCCAATACGATGCGCTCTTGTCGCACTGAGCGACCGTTTCCGTTTCTTGAAGAGTCGGACATCATCGATTCTCGTTGAAGCATGCGGTGTCGACTTGCCGTCCCGGAACTTTCCCGCGACGATGTGCCCGGGGTACACGCAGAGCTGTCTTTCTTCTGGTTACGGGTCGCAGCGTCTATTGGTGGGCACATCGGTGATTATGATGGGCACACCGGGAACAAGTGAAGCGGACGTAGGACGGAGGAGATGGTCCAGTCATCAATCTATGAAGCACCTTTGGGCATCACCAGCCTGCATATCGACCATGCCGCATGGCAACCGCGACACACGCTTGCCCAACTCTTCAGGAACGTCGTCAGGTCCCGACGGCCTCAAGAATAGTGCGGCCAGGGATCGTTTATAAAGCATCGGGGGGAGAAATTGGCTCTTCCGGATTCTCTTCCTTGCCCGCTGTCCTTTCTGCTGCTTCACGCCCAGTGCGTTCGTCTCCGTCTCGTCTCTACACAAGCGCCCCGGCCTGGTGTCGTTTTCCTTCCGTTCATTTCCTCCGAGAGCTCTACTCCAAGAACCACCCTCCTTTTTGACGTTGATCGCCCCGTTGCTCTGAACTTGCCCGTGATGCTCCACCGCGCTTTCTCGCTTGTCCTTCTTCTCTCCGCGTTCTCCGTCGAGGTTTTCGCACACCACCCTAAAGCCTCAGCCTCGGCCTCAAGTACCGTGGGTAAAGGCAACACACTTGCCGCTGCCTCAAGTTGTGCAGTACGTACCCCATTCAATACGCCCTAGCGACGAAAGACTTAATGAACGCAGGCGCCCTCGGTCACTGTAACTGTCACCGCCGCCGCTAACGCCGTTTCTGCCACAAGTACGGCTAAGGCGGGCTCGGGCTCATCGTCGGGCTCAGGCTCATCGTCGAGCTCGGGTGGCAACAACGGCTCCACCGGTGGCGCTACCGGCAACAACGGTTCGAAGGGTGGCGCGGCCGGCAACAACAACGCGAAGACCACCGCTGCTAGCGCGAAGACCACTGCCGCTGCCGCGAAGACCTCATCTGCCGCCACTGCTATCTCCACTGGTACTGCTGGTAATGTGGCTGCAACCGACCCTAGCCAGTCCTCGCAAAGTACGTGGAGCTTCAAGAGCACTGTGACGTGAGAAGCTAACGGAGATATAGCGCTTTTGCAGTCGGTGATTGCGACTGGGTTTGCATCTGATGGCCAGGAGACCCCGACTGCTGGTCAGGTCGCTTCATTGACGTCCACGAACAAGTCAGTATTCTACCTTGGGCACAGTTGAAGTCAGCATCTCATCATGCCTTGCAGCTTCATCAACTTCTGCGCGACGACCAACCTGCCGATCACCAACGGCCAGCAGATCAAGACGGGATCCTGCAACCCGGCGCCGATGGGTATGATCGCGCCCCAGACGAAAATGCCCACGGCCAAGTTCGTCAACCCCCCGAACTTGGGTACGATCGCCGCGAACACACCCTTCACGATCACCATGGCTGTCAACAACTTGAACGCTGGCCACTTCGTGAACGCCCAGGCGAACTACTACTCGGCACCTCAGCAGCTTGACGCGAAGCAAGTGATCATCGGTCACTCTCACTTCGTCATCGAGCAGCTCCAGAGCATGACGCAGACCACGCCGCTCGACAACACCAAGTTCGCGTTCTTCCAGGGTGTCAACACCCCGGTTGACGCGAAGAGCCAGCTCAACGTGGACGTCACCGCTGGTCTCCCCGCTGGTGTGTACCGTCTCGGTAGCATCAACGCCGCGGCGAACCACCAGCCGGTTCTTGTTGCGGTTGCCCAGCACGGCCTGCTCGACGACGTCGTGTACTTCACGGTCACGGACAACGGCGCGGCGGCGAACAAGTCCACTGCTGCCGCTGCCGCTGCCTCCTCTGCCGCAGCTAAGGCATCCGGGGGCAAGACGAGCAAGAAGACCCGCCGCTCTCGCCGCAACTTCCACGTCAAGCGTGAGGACTACTGAACGGCGCGCGTTTTGATACCCTCCTTCGTCCCTTCGCTCTCTCATCGCACGGTTCACGGCTCGATCTAACGTTATTGCGTTTCTTGGATACCTCTCATTTGTCTCTCGCTTTCCCCCTTCATTTTCTTTCAAGTCTTCGCTTGATGTGGAGCACGCCAAACCTCTCACCTTGCCAGCACATCTCTATCCTATGGTCCCTTGCTCCGCTCACTTTCCCCGGGTTTAGCTTGGGCTCTCAGTTGTGTCGTTTGTAGTCTCGATTGGATGTAGGCGTGTTGTAGCAATTATATTTGGCTTCGGGCACATATATTGAGGGACGAGAACAATGACTCGAAATAAGCGCTGAGAGAGCCGGCCTGTCTACGCTGAATCCGGCGTTGTGCACAAGGATGCTCTGGTATGGTAGCGCGATGCTTGGAAGTCAGATATGGGCAAGGCTAGGTACATGACACTGACGGACGAGTGTAGATGGTATAGTACATGCTCGAGACTGGAGTCCATGAGATTGACATGGTGATAAATAGGTATGCAGGTGAGTGGTGAGATGATGATGTATGATACGAGCGCGATGCTAAAGTTAGGCTGCTGCTGTTGAAGCTGCGGGTGATAGGGTATGATACTACACGAAGGGCCATATCGGAGCTGAACGTAACGTCGACGCTCAGTGCTTGTGCTCGGCCTGGGCTTGCGCCTCCTCCCAGAGCTTCTTGCTCTCATGCACGTACTGCTCCGATGCCGAGCGGTCGAACCTGAGCAGAAATATTTATCAGTTCATGACCGTGAGCTCAAGGCAAGGCACGTACTCGATGAGCTTCCCCTTCACCGTCATATCTGGCTCCCTCAACGCAAACGGGTTCGCATCGTCCTTCTTCAGATTCGCAAGCGAGTGATTGACGAACCTGTGCGTCGTTTCATCTGAGCGCACTGCATAGATCACGTCCTTCAGCGTCGCGTCCGCCGGAAGACGCCAGTAGTCGATCGCGATGCCCGGCGCGGGTTTGTCTTGCCACTCGGGAAGACGACCGGCTTCGAGCTCTTCGATGCAGCGCGTGTAGGTGAGGACGGCTTCTTCTTCGAGGTGGCCGACGAAGCGGTGGCAGAGGCGGGGAGAGATCAGGTACGAGAGGACTAGTGGGATCCGGGGTCAGGTAGGAATGAGTGAGGAGGGAGGGAGGGGCATACAGAATGCGTTATAGAAGACACCCTGGGCGCCGAGGATGAGTGCGCGGTAGAAGATGCCGGGGTTCTTGAGCGTCATGAACGTCCTAGAATGGTTGATCAAACCCCAGCGACGCGAGGGATAAATCGAAGCACGTACATCAAGTGCATCCGTTCGTTCTCGGCTTCTTCTAGCAGAGTGTGGATCCAGCCTGCGTCGCGGCGCATGAGGCGAAGGCTGCGAAGGTGGCGGATGGTAGCCGCTACCATGCCTGGCACACCGGCGATGCTCTCGAGGAAGAGAATGCGCTGTAGGGCCATCAATCAGCGTCTGTACGATCTGAACAGTACAAGGCGACGTACCTGCAGCCACTGCGACTCGTCCATAAGGTATCCCTGCTTGCGAAGCTCTTGGATGGACAGCTTGCTATCGGGTGGAATGTCTTTGTGCTTGTATCCCGACACAATGTCGAAGCTTTTCCTGTGAGAGCGTGAGCCGTCAGATGTAAACCGTCATCCAGAGACTTTCGACGGACCTTGTGAAGGAGACGAAGCCAGACGCAAGCTTATCTTGCCATGTCTTCGCCTCACGTTTCAGGACCTGATCCAATCGTGAGTGCATGCCTATTGAAGAGACTGGAGGTGACTCACAGAGACAGAATGGAGCTCCTCCGGCGAGTATACGGGGTGGAAGAGGACCCAGTCGCCCTTGAACTCATCGTGGACGTCTCCCTTGACGGGGGCGGGTACATTTTCTGCATGCGCAAGATCAGCACCTAGTCATATGGCCTGAAAACTACGCACTGATGTGAGGTCCTTCTGTACCAGGCGCGATAGGCTCAGATGTCGACGAAGCGGATAGGTTATTCAGTCGTGCGACGCTGGACGCAAAGCCTCGACGTGTCGACGAGGTAAGCAGAGGTGCCACCACCCGCGCAGAGTGGCCGCACAGAGGAAGAGCAGTGCGCATAGACACGGCGCTCAGCATGATGATTGGTCGTGGAGATAATTGTAGACCGTAGGCGGACTGAGCCGGAAGTATCACCTCTGGCTGATGTTTTATAGAACTGTATCCGCCTCGACGGTCGATCCCGGACTCACGCTGCCCGAGCTTGCCCGATAATACGAATTGGAGGATGCAAACTTGGGGGTCCGTTGGCGCCAGGGGAGCCAATGGGAATAGCTCCAAACATAGGGCCTGTGTCAGCTTTGCACGGGATCTGGTAGGAGCGAATGAGAGTCCAGGCGATGCTGGTCTGGAGTCGGGTATTGCAGGCGCAGAACAAAGGCTCTGTGTTCGACCGGGGTGATCGTTCCGAAGCCTGGCAGCTACGCGATCTTTCCTCTCAAGGCCGATCTCAGACATGTTTAGAGCGCAAGAGCTACCGATGCGCTTCATCCTACATATACGTACTCTCGCGACAATGGAGGTGAGAGGCAGACCTGTGCAGGCGCGCAGAGGCGCGTCGATCCAATTCCGAACCGAGGTTCGGCCCACCGGCCCGAAGCCACATCGATGCCAGCTTGACTCGCTGGGATTTTTCGACTTGTTCCACGACTGATCTCAAGAGTCAAAGTCGAGCGTGCGCGAACCGAATCTTGCTTCTTATCCTCCATCTGCGCGCCTGGCACCATTCAGGTCCTAGCCAGACGGCTTAATCTTCCTTCGGGAGCCTGTAAATTAGCTGTACTATACCGATCCTGCATTCCGCGGCGCCACATGTCGCAGACCATCGAGCTTGCCCAGGTGAGCTTTGTCTAGAGACTGTTGTAATAGACACGTGTACTTATTCTACTGTCAGACGGGCAAGCGTGATTTTCTGATTGATCTGGAGAAAAAGTACCAGGCGCAATGGACAGAAGAGCGCGTTTTTGAGGTCGAGGCGCCGACGCGCCAGGAGCTCGCTGGTCTCTCGCCTACCGAAATCCGCGATAAGTTCCCTAAATGGTTCGGCAACTTCCCGTTCCCGTACATGAACGGCTCTCTGCATCTGGGACACGCCTTTACTATTTCCAAAATCGAGTTCGCGGCTGGCTATAACCGCATGCTCGGCAAGCGCGTTCTGTTCCCTCATGGATTCCATGCTACCGGCATGCCCATCAAAGTGCGTTCCCTCTGTTTGTATACCCGCACATTATACTGATACCTCTAGTAGGCTAGCTCTGACAAGATCATTCGCGAGATGGAGATGTTCGGTGAGAACTTTGAGCGTTTCGCGCCGCCAGCAGCAGAAGAGCCAACGGACGGTCCCGTTCTGGATGCCAGCGACCCTACGGCTACGCGTCAGGACAAAGCGAAGAAGGGAAAACTGGCTGCCAAGTCCACTGGTCACACATACCAGTTCCAAATCCTCGAATCTATTGGTGTACCCCGCGAGGATATCAAGAAGTTCGCGGACCCGTACTACTGGCTGGAGTACTTCCCTCCTATTGCGGTCGTACGTATATTCATATCTATCATCCATCGTTCCCTCTGCCCATCTCGTTATGAGCACGTCACGACACACATTTCCCATCCCACGTAACACGAGCCACAGCTGAAATATCCTCTTACAGAGTGACAACAACGCGTTCGGTTGCCGCATTGATTGGCGCCGCTCCTTCCTGACGACCGACATCAACCCGTACTTCGACTCTTTCGTGCGCTGGCAAACCAACAAGCTTCACGGCCTCGGTAAGATCAAGTTCGGCGAGCGTTACACTATCTACTCGCCGAAGGATGGCCAACCCTGCATGGACCACGATCGTGCGGAGGGAGAGGCTATCGGCCCGCAGGAGTACACCGGTATCAAGATGAAGGTCGTCGAGTGGAGTGATGCCGCGAAGGCCGAGATCGTGCACAAGGTTGGAGACCGCCAGGTATACCTCGTTGCTGCGACTCTCCGCCCGGAGACGATGTACGTTTTCTTCGCCAGATTCACTGTGGATTATGCTTACTTCATCGCTCAGGTATGGCCAGACCAACTGCTTCGTCGGTACGCAGATCAAGTACGGTGTCTTCGCAGCGAACGACAAAGAGGCGTACGTCTGCACTATGCGCGCAGCACGCAACATGGCTTTCCAGGGTATCTTCTCCGTCCGCGGACAGATCAACCAGCTCACCGAGATCGACGGATCAAAGATTGTTGGCACCAAGATCAGCGCACCGTTCTCCATCAACCCCGAGGTGTACGTCCTGCCCATGGAGAACGTGCTCGCGACCAAGGTATGCATCTGACAAGGCTCTGGTGTCAACATAAACTGACCATATGTGCACAGGGTACCGGCGTTGTTACATCTGTACCATCCGACTCGCCCGATGACTACGCGACGCTCATGGACCTCCGCAAGAAGGCCGAGTTCTACAAGATCGACCCAAAATGGGCATCCCTCGACCCTGTCCCCGTCATCTCCACGCCTACCTACGGCGATATGATCGCAGCTGAGCTCGTCAAGAAGCTGAAGATCAACTCGCAGAAGGACAAGACCCAGCTGGCAGAGGCGAAGGAGATTGCGTACAAGGAGGGCTTCTACTCGGGCACGATGATCGTTGGCGAGTTCAAGGGCGAGAGCGTGCAGGAGGCGAAGGTCAAGGTTCGCAACAGCATGATCGCGAAGGGCGTCGCGTTCGCATATGCGGAGCCTGAGGGCTTGGTCGTGTCGAGGAGTGCGGACGAGTGTGTTGTGGCGCTCATGGAGCAATGGTACATGGACTACGGAGAGGCGTCGTGGAGGGCGGAGGCTGAGCGGTGCGTGTCTCTCCTGCAATGTCATCAATGTGCAAGGTGCTTATACAGGCCGCAGCTCGTTGGCGAGGATGAACACTTGGACACATGAGACTCGTGCTGCGTTTGAGGGTACCCTTGCATGGCTGAACCAGTGGGCCTGCGCGCGCACGTACGGTCTCGGCTCCAAGCTGCCATGGGATCCTCAATTCCTTGTCGAGTCTCTGAGCGATTCCACTATCTACCCCGCCTACTACACCGTCTCCCATATGCTGCACCGTATGTATCCTTCTTGCATCACCATTCTCATTGCTAATTCTGTACAGGCTCCATCGACGGCAAGGTCCGCGGACCGCTCAACGTTGAGCCCGAGCAGCTCACGGACGCAGTCTGGGAATACATCTTCCTCGGCGGCGAGTACCCCGCCGATGCTCCTCTGCCCAAGGACAAGGCCGACGAGATGCGCCACTCCTTCGAGTACTTCTACCCCTTCGACATCCGCTCGTCCGGCAAAGATCTCATCAACAACCATTTGACGTTCCTCATCTACAACCACTGCGCCATCTGGCCGGAGGACAAGTGGCCATTGAGCATCCGCACGAACGGTCACTTGATGTTGAACGGGAAGAAGATGTCGAAGAGTACCGGCAACTCGTTGACTATGCGTCAGGGCGTGGAGAAGTTCGGCACGGATGCCACGCGTTTGGCGCTTGCGGATGCCGGAGATGGCGTCGATGATGCGAACTTTGATGAGAAGAGCGCGAATGCGAACATTTTGCGAGTGCATACGCTCATCGGCTGGTGCGAGGAATCTATCAAGGGCAAGGCGAACTTGCGGAACGGCGAGCTCAACTACCACGACAAGGTTTTCGAGAACGAGATCAACAACTTGATCAACCTCACAAAGACCGCATACGACCTGTACGTTATCATCTTGAAGACATCGTTCCACTCTACAGTGTGTTAATATGTTTATCTAGTACCAACTACAAGGACGCGATGAAGTCCGGCTGGTACGAGATGCAGATTTCACGTGACTGGTACCGTGAAGTCACTCAAGAGGCTGGCGGCATGCACGGTGACCTCGTCGAGTACTGGGTTCGTGCTGCGACGCTCCTCGTCACGCCTGTCGCGCCCCACTTCGCCGAACACATCTGGCAGACGATCCTCGGAGAGAAGACGACGATCCAGCGCGCCCTCTTCCCAACGCCCAGCAAACCCGTCGACGTGCCCATGCTCGACTCTGGCGTCTACATGCGCAACATGGTCAAGACGATCCGTGACGCCGAGCTCGCTATCCTCAAGCGCCTGAACAAGAAGGGCGGCAAGGACGCGCCGTACGACCCGAAGAAGCCGCGATCTGTGAGGGTGTACGTCGCTACGCGCTTCCCGGAGTGGCAGGACGCGTGCATTGCGGCTGTGAAGGAGGCGTGGTCGGAAGAACATGGGAAGGTCGATGATGCGGAGGTCAGGAAGAACTTGACTGCGAAGGGGTTGATCAAGGAGAAGCGTGCTATGCCCTTCATCCAGCTGTTCAAGGTATATCTCTCCTTCAGTGACTTCATACATGATTGGAGCTGACCGTCTTGTCACAGAAACGGATCGCAGAGGTCGGGAAGGAGACGGCGTTCAACCGTACGCTGCCATTCTCGGAGACCGCGGTTCTCGGCGAGATCCTGCCGTACCTAAAACGCTCATTGAATCTGGTTGACGCTGATATTCTCTCCGTTGAGGATGCGCTGGCCAAGGCGGGAGAAGCTGGCTTCAATAAGCAGATCATCGAGGGTGCAGAGCCTGGTTCGCCGGCGTTTGAGTTCAGGAATGTGTAGATATTCGGGTCTCAGTTGTAGAATTGCTTTGGTAGTCATATACACAATCACCTGATCCAACTCAAACGTAGTTCGATGGAGGGATACTGTCTGAATGGCACTGGTATACGCGGTAGTGATCCACGTCGTATCTGAACATGCGGACAACGCGCCCACGTGAAATGTCAAGCAGACGCGTTCGGCGCTGATGTGCCTTGACAACAACCACCATCAACTTGAACCAGCTTTGCCCTACAGCGCCCTACGATGCCCGACGCGTCGGCAGCCTCCACATCTCGCAAGAAAAGTAGCAGCAAGCGGACGACTAAGAAGCCGGATACAAAGTCAAAGAAGGCTCTCCCACCGGTCCCCGCCGTACCCATAGCTGAGGATCCGCCGCGCGAACCTGCCCTTTTCTCGGACAATGATGTTACACCATTACCTGTCCCCCCTTCGCCCCAGCTCAGCCAACTCACGTCGTCTTTGAACTTGATGTCATTACCTGGCCCTCTATCGAAACAACTACCAACGCCTTGCGCTCCCCCGGCACCACCTCCAAAGGACTTGAAGCAGAAGAACGTGGCACGACTTACAGAAGACCGTGGAGCAGATAAGGCTTGGTCTCTACTGCAGAAACCGCAGATACTGTATGACTCTGGGACGGGTCCCCGAGTCCGCGATGTGCGCGCGTTCATGTCGTCTTCGTTTGCCCAACCGCCTTGGCTCGCCGATCCCTTATGCGCGGAGTTCGCGATGCCGGAGGTGCTGCAAATGCTTCAGACGGTGCTACCACCGGATACTGCTATGGTATGTCACCCACCCAGATGATATATGAATAGGAGACTTAAAGACGCGCAGATACTTTGGTACAACAAGAGTAGAAAAACGAGCCGCGTGTGCCCTGCGTGCCAGCGCGTCTACTCTCTCGGCGATACGCTCAAGAGCCCCGTGGGTCGCGACGGCCAGAAAGCACCGGAAGCCGATAAGGACAAGCCGATCTCACCTCAGCTTCTCCAAGAGCAGATACTCAGCGGCCTCTGTACGTCTCACGATGCTGTCAGTAACATAACCTCACTTACGCTTCGTCCAGGCTCACCCATATGCTTTCTCATGGCTTCATTTCATCATCCAGACGCCATACAGACAGTATGGGGTCGAATGGCGGAGACGATCGATGATAAGACATGGGCGGCTCTGGACGCTATACCGCCATCGACGAACAACAACGGGCATGGGTTGGCGATGTTGCTCAAGATGACGCGTTTGGAGGATCTCGGGCTTTCGCAGTTGCTTGAGCCTGATGTTCTTCCGGAAGAATACATTGACCAACTACCGCCGCCTGAGGAGAAGGACGGGGAGTTTGGGACGAGACTCACGCGGGTCCACACTGTCAAGAGCTAGCATCCCGCACGCTACCTCTCTATCGCTGGACATTTTTGAACTGGCCTTCATGAGTTGCCTGCTGATGTACCTCACTGCAGTCTGATTCACCTTGGCTTCTTCTATATATCGAGGTTCACGTTGTTGGCATACCCACAGCTATTTGTACGGACGCTAGTTGAATATCCACATCCACACAAACGCTGGCTTCCTTTCGCATATCGCATAGTTTTCTCTTGCTCTATCATGTTGTGCTTAGCATCACTCCCGTATCCATCCTCTCGCACGCGTATGAACGTCAATTTCACTGCTCGGTACTACCAAGCTCAAGCTCAAGCTACCTACTTGAAATATGACAATGTCAAGGTACTTGTGCGCATCATCTTTACAGACTGTTTAGTGTAGTCTTCGGCAGGCCTGAACAAATATGCGCCGAACGTACTGATATAGGACTATTTGCAGATACGACTGGTTCTGGAACTTCGAAGGGCAAAAATGACCAAAACAGAAGGTACTCGCGAGGAGTTAAGCCCAAAGATTGTCATGGCAGCTTTGAAGTGAAGGTGATACACGGAACGCCCTAGTAAAAGGCGAGGGCGTTGTTTATTTGTATCACCCTCAGCTGCATAAGAACTTCACAGAAAGACGGGCATCAAAACTCATGAATGCGAATCGTGTCCGCCGCAGGTTCGGGGCTGATGCATGATGCCGCCAACAAGCCCACAATCAGAGCCTTATCCATCAAAGAACCCTTCCCTTGACCAAATTGGCAGTGCTCGGGCTGAGCAGCGAGCAGCCCATTCCATTGTGTCTAGGGAGGCCTCACGACGCCACCTTACCACAATGCTACACACTCGTATAACAGCCAGCATGTCGCGCCCGCCGGGGCGGGGTCTCCGCGGACATCATTCTACACGACATGTATAGTAGACCCTCGAGCTCTACCGGATTTTCATATCTTTTGGCGTATGGATCGGACGAAGCCGAGTCCATCGTGCCGGAAAATGCAGTGCGTGATACATTTGGAACATGCCGATTGACTTGTGGGCCGACTGGTTTCGGGCAGAACGACGACGTCGACGCGTTTCAGTGTGGATCTAGAAATCCATACCCTATTCCTACTGCATGTGCTGAACGCATCGCCTTCGACGGTACCACGCGCGAAAACGACGAAGCTACGATAGCGGGCGATGAAGGCCCGTGTTCTGGGGTATGTCACAGAACGACTAGGCTAGGCTTCTGCCAAGGCACTACAGTCTTTTGACTCGGTTTAGGTCCCTGGAGTAGACGGACAGAACGATGGCATTCCAGACGCCAGTAACGGCGCCGGCGATCCATCTCATGGGCCTCTGCCGCGAAGAGACCAAAGCGCCTCGTTGCAGTCTGTTCGCTCAGAAGCGAGCCTGCCGTTGGTTCTAGGCGGCTTAATTGGCGCACGTACCAATACTCTACGAAGCACTTACCTAGCAGCGGATGGATCTCCGCCAGACGCTGAACGCATTCTCTGCGCGGAGCGCCGGCAAAAAGCGGACTCTCAGAAAGTTGCATGTGCATGGAAGCATCTACACTCTGCCCCTGTACCGGCACTAGTCCAAGCTGGAACGGCGACGGGTATGACGGACTTCTACATCCGCAGAACGGATATCGATCCGTTATCCTGTGAACTGTCCCCGCAGGCCGGGTCGCGGGAGGAGACTCCTCTGACGCCGACATCAGAAGGCGCACCGAAGCTCGATAGAGTGGATTCATGGGTCTCGCAGAGCTCTTCGTCATCAGACTCTGTACCTCTGGCGCTGTCAACGCCGCGAGTTGCCTCTCATGCTATGGCAAATGGACCTGCTGGGAGTGTGCGGAGCTTGAAGTCGGCGGTGGGGGCTAGCCGCAAGCGAAGTACGCATATGGCGTCTCTCAAGCAAGACGCACGGCCGGTTAAGCGCCGCAAACGCACAGATAGCGATGACGAGTACGTAGCCAGCACGACCAACGAAGAGGATGACGATGTGCAATCGTCCTCAAGCAGTCAAAGCACCGAGAACGATTGTTCGCGGACACGTTCGATGCGTGTACAGACGAGACGCTTAAGTTGGCAGGCGCAGAGCTATCGGAGTGACAGGCCGCGCCGACTCAACGCCCGGTACAATGCCTGATGTGAGCATCGTATAGCGCGGGCATTATGCGGCATGAGCTACAGGTGTATAACCAATAAGAATGTGATGATATTGTGTGAGCATCCAAGATGATATTGATTTCCATGATGCCTGAAGGGTAGTACAGGAAAACTTAAGCGCGACGTTTCGTTCTCGGTTTGGGGAATGTCAATGGTGTGGTGAGGACCGCGCGTTTTGACGCCGCACTGGAGGGAAGACCGAGACGCTTCATCTCCGCGACGGGCAGCTCCCTCACTGTACAGCCTGCGAGAATGTCAGTGAATCTCGTTTCAGGTACTGGTATTGAGTCGTGGACGTACCTAAGCTCTTGAATTGGCTATTGACCCTACACTACACGTCAGACACTTTCCGAAAACAACCATGTAGTCAAGCTTACTTGGTAGTCGCAACCTTCAGGTCAGACGCTATTGTGGCGGTGTCTGTCGCGAAGTGGTCGATCTTGAGGCATAAGGCGAACGCATGCGCAAGGAGCAGAGCTTCCATGCTGCTTGTCATGGACCGTCTGCAGATAGGTTATTAGATAAAACGCGGAGAAGGCAGGAGGTAACTCCTACGATGTCGAGCCTCGTGCATTCTCCGTGAATCGAGACAAGAGCGCGTCAACGACCGTTTCAGGGACAGGTGCCATTTTTTCTAGGAGCTTTTCTCGCTCCGGTACACGTTTCCCAGCGACGCCCCGGAATGTCAAGAGCGTCGCCACATATACCAGCATCTTCAACATAGAAGACTTAGGCTTAGCATCGCCATGATATGCTTGTTTCATGTGCATGCCGATCCACGAGCTGCGTGTGTACGGTAGACATTTCAGGCGCGCTACGTGTTCATCGGCTGCCTTGATACTAGACACAATGCCATCGAGAGCATTCCACTCTGATTCTGGAATGATACCGTGCAGTGGGTACGCATCCTCAGGAGTGGACGCATTGACATTGTAGGGTGGAATTAGACGCGAAGCGTCTGCCTGCTCTTGCGCCTCCTCTACGAGTGAATCAGCAGTCGTCCGCTGCGGTGTTATGACCGGTCACATTACCTTGAGATGGCAGATTCTCTGTACCAAGATCAATACGATCTTGTAGTGCCCCCGCGACGTTCTCCAAGGCACCTACGTCGACCTTATTCCGTTCGTACGCGCGAATATTTGCTTTGGCTTTCTTGGTGCCAAACGCTTCTCCGAGGGCATTGCGCGCGGCGATACGTTCGCTGGCACTGGGAGCACTGGAGCGGAAACTCTTAAGGGCCTTGACGTCGCGCGCGACAGCATAGACGGGCGCCGACTGTAGTTTGACCCTCTTCGTTCCTCGGAAATAGGCGGCAATCGCATATCTACGGAGTATATCAGAAGACACGAACCAAGAACCGCGCACACCCACATACTCGCAACCATGATCGCCATCTTTACCAGAGGACTCTCCGGTGAACTCGATGGTTTCATTCTCAGCGATGATATACGACCGTTGTGCCGGGAACGTCTCAGCCATGTCGTCTCTGTGCGCATTGACCTCAAATCCAGTACTACGAGGTGGCTTGACAGTTGGAAAGACAGCTGTGCCATCATATCAGAAGCAGGCAGCGTTGAATGTGGACTAGTCACGCACCAATTGCGGGACCCGGACGAGATGTCGACGCTCGCAACTCCAACTTCACCTCCCCGTCTTCTGCATCTATAGAGTTTGCGCGTTTGCGCTTTTGTCCGGTGACTTTAGACGCTGTCATTGGCAGAAGCGGCACAGAATGGTATACGGTCTCCGACTTGGTGGTGGTTCGCGATCTACAGCCAAATTTGTTGATGGACGCGAGAAACACGGTCACATGAGATCTCAGGCGGGAGGATTTGGGATGAACCAAGCTTAAACAAACATCAGCGCGATCGTCTCCGGTACACGATACGTTGGGTACAAAAATCCGATAGATAATCGTACTTTATTTTGAGTCGAACGCTCTGCATGCGTCCAGTCGCAATCACAGGCCCAAACGAGTACCTGATTGAGGGCGCAGTGAATGCCGGAGGGCTCGTCATGTCTGAGATATATGCATGGGCCACAGCAGAGAACGCATCGAGTCAGCCACACCCCCACTGTTGGATCCTCGGAGAGTGGGCGGCATTGTTACGCAGCAGAGGATGCTGAGATGTACAGACTCCAGAGTCGATTGGATAACGAATCGGGCAACAGGTTCCGAGGCGGACTGCCACGTTTCTGCAGATCCCGAGGCGCCGATCTTCATCTCAAAGCTTGATCCTAGCAAGGAAGAAACACGTTTGAGTTGTCCGTATCATGAGGTCATCCGTTCATTTCAGAAAACGTATCGTGATTAGATACCCTCAACAGTAGCTTACAGCGTCAGGCGTTCGTAAGAGGCGCACTGACCAGGACATAGTACAAGCGAAACCGTGCGCGTCGTGACGGAAAGCAGTGCGAGAACAAATGAAAGTGCAAAGCAAGCGAGAAAGGCAGCCTCGACGGGCGCAACCCCCCACGCCCGGCGGCAAACTATACACAACAGGTGGACTCCCATCCCTACGCCGGGCGCGCCGCCCTCAGGGCATGCGCGATAGACCCATCCGCCACTGTGAGCAAACATCTCGGCGGGGTCATATGCAATCTAGAACGTTGAGAACATCTGATGAGCGAGCGTCTCCATGGGAAGTATGACATACGTACAAGATAGACGACTCTGGGACGCCAGTGAAGGCGGTCCAGATCGCTGAATGCACGACGGGCTTATGCCCGCAGCACTTTCAGAAGGACGGGTGTGTGTACAATCTGTGCCAATGCGAGCCACCCCTAGATAGCAACTTAGCAACGGGAGATGAATGAGGGAAAGCGGAGACGTACGTTGTAGTAAAGGTAAGAGCGTTTGTCGGCCTCCACATCACGATATACGTAGAAGCGGGTCCCGACAAATACCGCGAGGATGCAAAACGCCAACGAACATGCTACGTTGATCTCACACGCAACGGATAGGCCGACCGACCATGCTGTCATCAGCGCGAGGATCGCGATGCGGCTGAACTCAGGCCATACGATGGGCAGTGTTTGGCGTCCGAGCATCCTGTCGCCAATCTCGTCGCGGAAATCCTGGGCATGAATGGTAGTGAAGATGATGAGGGCGTTGCAGCCGAAGGACAGGATAGTCCGTGCATCAAGCATGTGCCCAGGGACTGTAAGAGCGGACGACATTTAGCAAGGTTGCCGCGGCTCGGGTCTAAGGTACGTACCAGCCGATGCAATTGCTATCGCGCCCGCGTTGAACGAGGCGTAGCCCCAAGAGTTGCAGAGGTTCCGGATAACCCAATGTGAGCCGAGGTCAAACTCGTTATGTGCGAGGAATGCAATAGCGAGTGACAGGCCCTGCCATGGAACGCCATACACGACAGACTGAATCAGGCAGACGGGCAACAGTAGCCAGCGTAGTGTGCGCGCCGCCTCCAGACTGATCTTCCGCGCGGGGATGGGCCGCCATGGCTTGTTATTCGCGTCCTCCTCCGGATCCATGGTCTGGTTGGACACGCAAAACTGGAGGAGATGTAACCATGTCCACCACATGGCGGGGACGAGACGTTCAATCCGAATCTCAGGTGCAGAGAGTACTGCGAAGAGGGTCTGCGAGGATGGAGTTAGCATACATTGATGAGATGTACCAGTGCATATGTTGCAGGGCGCAGTCAATGTATCAAACGTACCACGGGGATGAGGATGGTCTTGAAATCGCTCTTGGTGAAGAGGTAGAGGACCTCGGGGAAGTTGTCGATGGTCTGAGGCAGCAGCGTTGCGGAGAGCAAACGGGGGGTGATGGAGACCGAAGGCAAGAGCCCTGGCGTGGGCAGTTGGACCTTGGAAGACATTGGAAAGATTGAGCAAGGGGGAGGGAGTACCCGATCAGCAAGCGGTCCGGCGCCGCTTATAGATGATTTCGTTGTTCAGCGCGAAGCCGCAAACCGCCCTAGCTGCGTTGCGTGCACAGTCCGATGGGATCTCAAGGCACGCCGAGGGTTATGAACCTCTAGATACAATTCTTCCGGCCGATCCGGAGAAAACTGGATGCCTTGCGATCAAGAAGCCGTGTGATGCCCTTTGATGATGTACGTAGGCTCGGCAGTTAGCATAAGATGAACCGTCTTTAGCATCGCACGCGCGCTAAGCACGCCAGAAGCGACTGGACGTCCGTTCGGACGTCGTTCATCCTCTTCGCAGGATAACAAATGCGCCTCTGAACACGTAGAAAGGGACAGTGTTACGGCAAGGGTCGGATCAGGGAGGATATTCGCGATTCAGGCCTGTCGAGATACCTCGCTTTGTGCCTCGAGCCTTCACGCGCCGGGGAGCCGTGCCCAGCACGCTTCACCATGAACCCGGACACCACGTCGCCAAAGCGCTGGTGGAGATAGCGTGCTTAGGGGGCACGTGCACATCTATCGGCTAGTCAACGTCCACTGCCCGATTCCGGTCATCCAAGCCCTCCCTTGTTCTAAGCTGAATCGACCTCATATGAGTTCGAGCACCGCTGTTACAGTAGGATGTAGTGGGCCTAGCAGGGACGTTGAGAGCACAGGCTTGACTGAGCACTGTGGAAGTGAGGCATCACAAGACTCACGGCTTCTCTGCCTTCTTTTCGTCGATGAACACGTCAGCGCGCCGAAGTATGGGTCGGGTCCTTTCAAAGACGTACATACGCACGGGCAGGTTGCGTGGCGGACACATTAAGGATAAACGTGAGGTGTAGTGCCACAAGCGTGAGCAATGGGAACGCGATTGAGAGATGACCGTAGATAGCAAGAAGTATTACGACAGTGCCTTTGGAGTACCCAAACTCTGGCAACCTTTCTCCCGTGAAGAGTAGTTGACCGATCCAAGTGGTGGTCCTGCATTATCTGATGAGCTCATTATCTCACGTAGGTGCGCAGTAACGGATTTGAGAGCAGAGTGGACGTCGTAATCCCGACTCGGTTGTACCCAGGGTAGTAACAAACAGCGGGGAACGAGAAGTCTGCAGAAGGGAAGAACGAGTACATGAGAAGGCCTGAATAGCCTTCTTAGGCGTTAAGCTGGGCCATAGCGTCCATCTGCACGAGAAACCGCTGAAAAAACTGTGTTCGCGTGCGCATGACCTGGATATCGGTAGTTTGCCGCAGTGTGCTTGGATATGGATACTGTTTGCGCAAACCTCAGCGATCGTAAATATGTGTCAAGGTCCAAGTAGGAGGGGCTTCACGAGGGTCCAGAAGCGCATGCACACCACAAGAAGCATAAAGGGCTGGGTTTAGCGTTTGTATGCCGCGATAGCTGTGGAGATGGTCTCCTCGACCACCGTGACCACAGGCTGGTTGTATATCAACCGCGTGGAACCGGCATAACCAGGAGCCGACTGGGAAGAGTCCGACGTTATGGTCGCAAGGAGCGTGCGATGCGGGGTCCCGGCGCGCACGATACAGGACTCCAGAACATCGATGACAGCAAGCCCGATATCGCCATCCTTCGCGCGGTTTCAGCACGACGAGGAGGGTCGTCGGTCGGTAGACTGCTAATCGGGACCTGCGTGGGTGCGTGGTCAAGAGAAGGTCGTTGGCTTGCGTAGAATGAGTGAAAAGAAGCCGGCGGAGGCTGGCTCAAACAAGGTCTTCGGACGGCTCGGAGCGCCCACGCGTCGTGTCAGGTTCAGCTGACGAACGTGAATGGGACGGAAATGTTCTCCGAAAGCGACGGAGAGGTTGGGACCATCTTGACCTCAGGAAAGCTAGAAGATAGTCGATCGATATAATTCGGGGTCCGCGTCGCTTTGTCTCCCATGCTGAGGTGTATAATCGACGCTGTCCCATTTTGGAACAAGGACAAGGTTCAATCTGGCATACGAGCCAGATCAGGCTTGAACTCTGTTTGTGCGCCATGGCACAGAGCTGAGGGCGGCGAGAACTCTCTGTGGGTCATCTCCCGAACTCTTCGAGGGTCATCATGGTGGTCGTTGTAGACAATGATGCGAAACGCCCGAGAGAGGCCGGGGTTGCTAGGTAGCACGTGCCTATCAGTTGGTTTCTTCCTTTTTCGGCGCGGCATGCCTTGTTCCCAGGGAACGGCGAGCTGCGGACTCGGTTCCCGACCTGTCAATACCTTGATCATGGTCAAACCGGCAGGTTGCTTCAGCTGTAGTTGCTGTAGTCGTTGACATGAATGCTAAGGGTGTTCGAGAAGTGATCCATCTTTCTAGCCTCGGAGGTTGATACGCCGCACCGCTGTGTGCGGGTGATGAGAGAACTATCACAAGTAGTGGCGAACCTCCGAGCACGGCCCCAGTGCCTCAGACCCTTCAGGTACTTGACCAGAGAGACACTAACCCAAATCTGTCTCGATCCAGAATCACACGGGTGTCCATAGCACGACCTCTACATCGTCTGCAATCAATGCCCAGCGAGTCCGCCATCCAGCCACGGCCTGCGCGATCAACAGTATACAAATAGTTACTCGAGACCTCTGAGCCTGCAAGACACGTATGACGTCCTTTGAATGACTGATGTGTGCTGATATGTTCAAGGGTGGGCGCCTAGGCGCAAGAGCGAGTGTCGGAAATCTGATTTAGGTCGGGCATCTCGTAGTGTTCATGAAGCCTTGTGCTGGGGGAAGGGCCGTTATCCGTCAGTGTGTGATATCCTACGCCGCGAAGAAAGTCGGGACACGCGCCGAATGGAATCCGAGATCACGATTTAAGGTGTAACAAGAGCTACTTAGAGTTGCATGGCTTGACTGCAAGTGCTGGACCAATAACGAGAGCTTGCCACTTTACCGAAGCAACGCAAGGCAAACGACTCGGCTGTGGCGTGCCAGAGAGATTTGGCCCTATACCAGTGTGGAATCTATCCGACTCGACACGAGAAGCCGGGATAGGTTCTCTCTGACATGCTCAACCTGTGCTTAGGGTGGCACATCGCGCCTATGGGGGTGTTCGGAAGCCGGACTTGGTGTGCAGGAAGCCACAGAAGCATGCCTATGGAGACGGGATCTGTCAGGCCACAGGAAGCACGAAGATCGTCTGTCGTGGCAGTGGGCGTGCATCGTGCCGCTCACGGCTTGGGCTTCTCGGGCGCCTCTCTTGTGTAGTCTTCAGCCGAAGATCGTCGCGTCGATGAGCTCCATGAGCTGGGTGAAACAAGACGCGTGCCATTGTCGACTGGCGTCCTCCGTCATCGTATGTAAGTATTGCGTACTTGATACAGTTGGGGAGCCGGATCGAAAGAGATCTCCCTGTGTGAATATCACAACACGAGGCCAGCTTTCTGCGCCGTAAGATTCTATCCAGAAGAGTGTTGCGCTGGGGGTGACCAAAACGCCCCAGCATCTCTGAGATGAAGAGTTTGCGACTGGGCATTTGACCTGAAGGAGTTGCCCGTCAATGAAAGGACCACGTAAAGCGTTGTTAGAGGCTAAGTACCGAAGATCAGTTGTTGTAGTTTCAGTCCCTGGACCCGACAAGCGGCAAGAGACTCCAGGTGCAATGGGGCCACGAGGCGGGTTAGTGGAAAGAACTTGAGGTAAGTAGCAGCTTGCTCAGCGAGCCCGAGGTTCGTCGGTACCGTTGAAGGGGTCTTCTCGGCGCAATCCAGCGGGCAATAGCAGCCGGGCGATAGGTGCAGACATTGATCCAGGATAGACGTCAATGGATGCCCGCAGCTAAGCCCGGTTTACTCAGATACACAGGTACCGGAGAGCAGAACGAGGCAGGATACATTATCCAGTCGGCCCGCCTTGCAACGCGTCCAGCTAGTCCAACACGTTGTATTTAGGTTGGATTGTCCACGTCCGATTTGACAGGCGCTAGGACGCGCGATAATCGATAAGACGCCACACCTCGTTCGTGTCTTTGTGCCCGTTCAGTAGATCGAGACAACTAAGGTACGTGCCAGAAAGAGTCCTGAAAATTGCCTGGCACCAGGTCGAGGCGGGGGATGGACACACGGACTATGACGGCTATGGCGGCCGCGGCGGGCAGCTCGTACCTTACACGAGGCCAACACTGTGCCCGACATCATGAAGGGCGGCACGGAGCTCGTCGCAGGGCATCCGAGGGCGATGGCCAGCGCAGTCGAGGGCATTTTTGGAGGACTCCGAACCGGAAGAGTGGGCCTCGTGTACGGGTACGGCCGTAGAGCGAAGTCGCCACTCGCAGACGCTCGTCAATTCTGAGCCCGACGAAAGACAAGGCCTCGACTATTTCTGAGCGATGCTCGTGCTAGGCATCGTAAGTCGAGCGTCCCACGAAACGATGCATTGGCGACGCGGCTGGACGCGATCGGGCCAGGAGATTGGCAGACTCCGCCATCGCCGTCGCTACATTTTGCATACTTCTTCGCCGCTTGCTTGATAGTCGTGGGAGAGAGAACATCGCTGAGCCATTCAACTAGGACGGAGAGGCCTCTCGAGGGGGCGAAGAAATCATTCAAGACGGTGGACATGTTGACATTTGCCTGCCGCGCGTCGTGGTGGTACGATGCAAGACAATAGAGCTCTGCGCTCGCCGCGAGTGCCGGACATTTCCGGCGACAACGTGGTTCGCACACAGCGAACGCGTCGCGTGCTGAACGCGTTCTTTCTTCCTGCCACCATCCTCGCTTGCTCGGGATGACGATGTTCAAAAGTATAGATGCAATGATATCTGCTTTGATTACAACAACCGGCGTGCACTTTCATTTCGGCCGCACAAGCTCCTACACTCCTCCGCGAATCTCATAGGATGTGCAGCAGTCTCGGTGGACGTTGATGAGCCATGCGTCCACACCGAGCAGATACATCATAATCCTCTCCTGCGTTCACGCTAGTCCGCCGGCTGCAGCCGTCTCCCTATGGAAACATCTATGAAAACCCCAAATATGCGCTGGTACTGCGTCACGGTTCATCTCCCAGCTGCGGTCAGAATGGCTTCCTTGTCTCTAGTTGCCATTGCGATGCTCTATCAGCTGGACCTCGTGCGCCGGGTCTAGCCCTAGCATTACCTGAAGCCTGTCTGGGTAATCTACGAGGAGCTTTCTCTGTACCCGACCATGCACTCCGAACCGTCCACATCCAACATTACGGGGAAGGCGTGCAGATCCGGCTACCGCAGCTCGCTTCGTTCTATACGCATTTGTCTTCAAAACACTCTCCGACAATAAAGCAGTAGCCGAGGCTGCCTCATCCTCCGGCAATCTTGGATCTGCTCTGATGTCAAACGCGTCAAGAATGAGTTGTTTCGGCCATTCACGAACAGGAGAATCCCGAGAGCCTCGTTGCATACATGTGGCTTTCTGAACTCCGCCAGGAAGCGACGCAGCACGCGATTTCCACATGCATCGAGATTGCGAGCAAATATCTCTGGTGGGTCTTGGTAGTCGCATGTACTGGGCTGATGTCTGGTGCGCTGTGCTGCTCTCGGGAAACATTCACCCATATAGCTCTTGCCACATGTAGAGCAGAACGGCCGCCGCAACCGGCTCAGGAGATCTTGGATGTGATGTGACTGGGCGCTCTCTTGTCCTTCACATTCCCAAGTTTAGAGCCTGCGTACGGTGCGTACTTCACCTAGAGTTGTCATCTGTTTGTCACGAATCCAAGTAGGCTGACTCGCGATTGCCGTGAATAGCCAACGAAGGGATGTTGCCTGAGAGGAGGACGCAGCTGCGTGCTCCTGTTGAGATGGGCATCCCACACTCTCCTCGGGCGTGGACGTGTCGCACCTGTATCGCTATACCAACTGTCGCGCCCATGGAGCAAGCAAGGCCTCCCACTGTAGGGCGTGTTTGCTTTGCAACTCTCAAGGCACCAGGCCTTTCATACACCCATGCGCAGTAATCAGAGTCGCGACCGGCTTTCTGCTTTTTCGTATCACACCCCTCATCGTCACCCGCTCCGGTATGACCATCTGAATGCAAGCCAGTCAGCCCAACAACACCGCCGCTCTGTGCTCGTCAGATTGTGTGGACCCCAACGAGTGCTGGTCGGCGATGCGATGAACCCGGTCGCGGGGTGCGTCTGTTCGTTTCTTGGGCCTCCCGAGGCATTCGTAGCTGACGAACTCCGTTGGATGGGACTATGCGCGTTTAGAACACGCAGGCAGCTAGTCGTGGCGGTCAAAGCCGACGTCTGACTGAAATGCGGTATGTACCACCTTCCAACGAGCTTAAAGGAGTCTTTTCTGACAGAGATTCTTGTGAAATAGAGGCGCATACACACTACATGAACGACAGCGAGAGATGTCTCCAGGACCAGGCTTCCACCGACCATGCGACCTCATGCGATCACTTATGGCTAGACTCAACTCTCCACCAGGACAACGTCCACTCTTTACGCCCTGTAACTTGGCCTCAGGGTCGTGCCCAAGCAGAGACGTCAAGGCTATACACCCATTGCTCATACCTACATCATACCCTACTCACAAGATACAAGTACCTATCTCGGTACCAGCACGGTATCATTGGCAAATACCAACGACGAGCGATGCGGCGCAGCCAACGACATCACCAACCTCAAGCTAGCAGGTCCATCCGCGTGATATCGCACTGCTTGACCCACATCCTCGATCTCGACTCTCGACCTTCACCGCCAACCATAGACTAAAATCCCAATATCTCATGCTAGCAAGCCTGCGCCGCGGTACCAAGGTACCGACCATGTCTATCCCGCGCCACTCGACTCAGCATCGCCACTAGTTCCGCGCGGGTTCTCGGGCTCTTATCCCCACGTCTGATATGCTACCCTGGCTCAGCTGGTCCTGGTCCACGAGTGCGTGAGTCCGGCCTCAGCCATATCCACTTACACATTCGCGGGCACACGGCCGCGCACGGCTTCCGACGCATAAGCCGCATACATGTACGCTTTACGCAACGCATGTCCGGCGCCTCCACCTCCGGACTTCTGCGAGCGTCGAGGGTTCTGGATGGGCTGGTCATTGGACCTTTGAACGAGGGTGCTTGCCATATCACTGTGTGTACTTGGAAAGCGCTCAGTGCTCGACTGGTGATCTCCGAATTAAGTGGGCGCTCGGTGTACGTTATCCTCTCAAGGTTAACAGCGAAGACGTACAGAGGGATCCAGGCTGGCTTCCTGCGTTGATGTGGCCGGCGTACACGGTCCGTGTGTATACAGTCTTTCGCGTGTTCTTCGGTTGCTGATGGTTGCATTCAGTGCGGTCAACGACGACTGAATTGGACGTTGACGCTAGCTGTCTTAACTCCGAGCTGGTTAGATGCACTAGAGCGGCGAGGTTGGTTCGCCTGTATGCATTCCGTCTACGTCGGATTATGCTTGGTCGGGTTCGGCGGGATACTAGAGGATGCAGTTGTGGCTTTGCTCAAATTCGGTCGGTCCGTGTTCAGATATACGATTCAACGTGAGCCTGTAGTCTTTGTGTAGTCTGAATGAATCGTCCCATGTAGGATATCCAGCAGTACAGTATCGCATGAACTCGACATCGCAACATGTACACTTGGTGCTTCCAGTCATTCCGCGTACGTCCCGACGGTGCGCGCAGCCGGACATGCCCTGCTCGGTTCTGAGAGCATGTCCGCGCCACAGCTCACGACGCGCGCGTCCGACCACGTCGGCCTTATCGGCCACCCCGCATGCTTATCCACCTCACCTCTTACTCCCGTACCACTCACTCCCCTCCAGTTCCATATTCCTTCTCTATGACTGACTCACTACTATACATCTAGGCTCTTCCGTTTTTCTTCTCTACTGACCCATTTCCTGATTTTTGTACACATACAGTACCCTGAGCCTCGCGATGCCCCCGAATAATCCCTTCAGGTTCCCACCCTTTCTCGAGGCACTCATGCAGGCCACTCAGACCGACGGTGAGCTTGTCACCAGTCATCTATGCCATGCTGAAGAGTATATTTGACGGCCCACCAAGTGATACATTGGATTCATCTCGCCGCGTACCTCAGTGCCATGCACCTAATACCCCGGCAAAGTGTACCAACAGCTCGCCGCGTCTACCGCCCCTTTACCGCAGGGCGCCCAATACACGTACCTTTTCCTAGTACGCTCAGGACCCGGCGCTGGCAGATCCAGCTGTCAGATGTACCAACACTGAATGCACGTCACTTTACCGATCTTTGTTGCGATGATGGCTGCACCTGCCGTCCCTGCAGGCATCGTACTTCACGCTCGATCCACTCCCAGTCTACGTTCATCTACATCTGGCCAAGAGTTACCTTCCCCGAGTTCGCCAGCGGACGAGGACCGTCAAGCCGAACGCGCCGACGCCGAACCTGATCCCGCCGAACATCTGCCTATATGCGCTCCGACGACGCTGTCGATCTTTGTTGTGCCGTATAAGCGCCGATGCTCGTACAGCCCCGAGCGCATACAAGGTTCGACGGGATTGACAGACGTCGATCCACTGCGGCGGCCCTGGCCGCTGAGCTGGGATGTATGCTGATAGACGCCCGTTTGGACACGGCGATGTCTGGATTCGGCGAGTCGATCTCGTCGGAGGAGCGCTCGGCGAGTGTGCGGTGCTCGCATCGGGGCAAGAATCCTGTATAGCGAGTACTGCATCTAGCACTCGTGGGCATTGTGGGATATATATCGTATACGGAACCGACTTGATAAGAAAAAATGACACTCTCTGAAACTTCAGTAGCAGCACTTGGTTTCGATCCAAGGACCTCGGGGTTATGAGCCCCGCGCGCTATACCAGCTGCGCCATGCTGCTGCTTGTGTTGACAGCCAATAGAGGATATGATGTTTTACCCATCTTGCCCAGCTCACGACTCGCCTGCTAAACCCTCACATCTCGGATAGAGACAGTCCATTCCAAGCGCGTCGCCCGAGACTCGAGTCCGAACGGATACCGAGCTTAGACGCCCGCTGTAATAGGAATGACAGCAACGAGGCCGGGATATATGGGCGGTCAGAAACACGATCGAGCAACGGTGGCTGATGCGCCCGCACAGCCCGCGGCGTTGACGACGGGCGCAGAGGTTAAAGTACTCGAGGCTGGGCCTCTTTTAATTTAGGACGACGATCCGTATACCTCCCTCTCTCCTCGTAGTGCCAACGTTGTATCTTCAGCGCGATGCCCACGTTCGAGGTCGCGCAGCCGGCCGCGCGCCGCAGGTACGTCGGGGAGTTGAACTGGACTATTTGAATTTGATCGACCTGTTGCTTTGTCTCGCTCCTCTCGCTCCGCTGGCCGAAAAGTCACACGCCCAAGCTTCGTCTTCGACCGCTTCCTCAAGCTCCCTCGCCGTCCGAGCCCACGCCCTCGCCGCTCGTATTCAGCTCGCCGACATCATTCACGACGATGAGCAATACGTCTTCGCCCATCGACAGGGTCCTGAAACCGCAACGGAGTAACCTATCAATATCGCATATTCAGCAGCAAGCCGGGATATCGGCCGATCGCTCGTTGACGCCTCCAATACACCCCCACTCGCCGCCTGCACCGCGTAGCGCAACAGGCGCGTACTTTGCGCAGGGACCGACGCCGCCACCGAAAGGAGTGATTGGAACGAGTGCGAGTTCGCGGGGATTGCCGCGTGTGCCGAGCTCGAGGCGCGCGCCGAGTGATGGCGGAGGCGATGTGCTGAGGAGAGGAGGGAACCACGCGTCGAATGCGTCTATCGGGCAGAGTCACCGAGACGCGGGGAGCAGCACGGCCGGGTCGCCCAGCCAGAGCACCGCGACGCTCGTCTCCACGCCCGGCGCGCCACATACAGGCTCGCCGCACGTGCCTGCGAAGATACCCAAGGAGAAGGATAGCGCGAGGGAGGGCAGGGAGAACCGGCCCGAGCCGAGGGAGAAGGAGAGGATACGGCACACGCCGCATCTGCCGCATGCGAAGGACGCGCCAAGTGCACCGGCTGCGGCGATGTATTGGAGTCGTGCACCGGTGTGGGGGACGTTGCCGACGCATGCTATGAGGGCGCATAGTGTGACGCTGGTCGATAATATCGCGTGGTTGTTTGGCGGATGCGACGAGAAGGGCTGTTGGAAGGATGTGTGGTGTTTCAACACTGGTACGCGTCGGTCTCAGCTCGTTAATACCTTGAAAGCTGATCAATATGGTGCATACAGAAACGATGCAGTGGACGCACCCAGAGTGTCAAGGCGCTTTACCACCACCATGCCGTGCACATACCGCAACGCTCGTCGACAACCGCCGGCTCGTTATATTTGGCGGCGGCGAAGGACCCGTCTACTACAACTCCGTCTACGTCCTCGATCTACCCCATCGTCGATGGACCGCACCCCAACCCATACCGAACGCGCCCATCCCCCCACCGCGCCGCGCACACACCTCAGTGCACTACAAAGGCCGCATATGGGTATTCGGCGGTGGAAACGGAATGACGGCGCTGAACGACGTCTGGGCGTTGGATCTGAACGCACAAGGGGAAGCCGTATGGGAGGAGATCAAGACGAGCAGGCGAAGGCCCAGCCCGAGAGGTTATCATACAGCGAACCTCATCGGAAACGTCATGGTCGTCGTAGGAGGGAGCGACGGAAGGGACTGTTTCTCGGACGTGTGGGCCCTTGACCTCGGTGAGGATCTCCGCTATATTTCTTGTCTCGATCGATCTTTCCCTTTCATCCTTTTCTCCTACTTTTGGCCCTTTCACGCTCTTTCACGCTCGGTCCTTCATGTATCGATCGGCAGTGGTGCTGATGCATTTGGGCTGTACAGATACGGCTACTTGGACACAGATCAAGCCGGATGCGCAACACCGCCGTTTATCGCATGCATCTACGCAAGTCGGGAGCTACCTCTTCATTACTGGCGGCCACGACGGGACTGAGTACCTCAGCGACCTACTGCTCTTCAACCTCGGTATGACCTCGATCATCCTCTACATCTACTTGAAGGCTGACTCCTGTGTACCACAACTATAGTGTCCCTCCAATTCGAGTCTCGACCCATAGCAGGCCGCCCACCCGCCGCGCGCGGGTATCACGCCAGCATCCTCGCCGACTCGCGTCTATTCATATTCGGCGGGTTCAGCGGACACGACGTCTTTGACGACGTGCATGTGTTAGATCTGGCCGCCGCGGCGTATCTCCCGCAGGTTACGAGCTTTAGGGTTGAGGTGTAATGTCGATTTGCCGGGGGTGAGGTAGCTGAGGATGGGCGATGAGGGCGAAGACGGATGGTAGGACGAGACGTTGATTGTATTTGTTCTTGTTATGACGGGATGTGGGTACTGTACCGCTTTAATTGCATGTGTATTACCACGTATACCGTATTGCGAACCGCTGTCAAAGAGAGGTGGCGACAGGACTGGCAAGGTCGGGTATTGGGATAGATCATGCAGCTATCAAAGCCACTTTGCTGCCAGCAGCATGGCGCAGCTGGTATAGCGCGCGGGGCTCATAACCCCGAGGTCCTTGGATCGAAACCAAGTGCTGCTATAAATCTTCATCCCATTCTTTTGTCCGATCTTTGTCCATATGTTGTACAGCGAGCTCCGATACCTATCGTAGTGTATGACCTAGTTTAAGACGAATTCCCGCAGAGAAGTCGGCGGTGAGGTGTATGCATTGGTGCGCCGCTCGATTCATAAATAGGGGCATCCGCCACTCAGTGCACTGCGCGCTCGAGTCTGGACCACTGGTGTTTATTTGACCGGCTACCCCCATCTCTGATGAAGGACGCGGTAAAGATCGTATACATCCTCAAAACCATTGCTTTGCATAAACATATACCACTACCGTTACTTGAACCTCCTAGGCTGCAGAGATGGTTTTGCTGGTTCTTGCATTGTCCTCCGACCTCGAACTTGGCCGCTCTACTTACCGACTGTAACGGCGGTCTGACGCAGTGACGCTGGACGCGTTGACTAGTGCCTGCCCTTCAGTCTTCATATTTACTGAACCTTTCATCCCGTATGAATGCAAAGCCTGGTACATAGTACAAGAGTACAGAACCATCCGCCGCGGCGAGTCTATCGTGCTCGACTCCACGCTGCAGTTCCTCTATCGCAGCCCACCTCTTGCTCTGATGTCGACATACCTCACACCGCCGCCCGGTACCCTCCCCTCCATCCTCCCGGTCATACCCTCCGCATAGACCTCCGCAGCTCTGCGGGTCCTGCCCCCGCACGAACGCGCGAATTTATCAAGTTATCATCGCTCTAGTCTAGCGCGCTATCATATCATCAACGCCCCCGCTGCCATCATCGACCCGACTCCGCCTGCGAGCGCGAGTGCCATACCGGGATAGATTGCGCTGCCTCGCAATCTCGCCTGGATCATAGTGCGCCCATGCCCGACCAGCGCGGGCGGGGCCGGGGACGGATGGGGAAAGTGTCCGTGGCCGTCGTCGTCGCGGCGCGCGCTTCCAAGTTCTGTTCGCTCGCGCCGGGCCCTTTCCACCTGCACCTCCCCTGCATATTGCATAATTGCCTTGGATACGTGCGCGTTGCCATGCTCGGGTGTACTCAATTGTGCTTTATGAGCGCAGTTTCTGAGGGCGACGAGGAGCACGACGACGTGCTCGATCGTTTCGTTGGCGGCCGGTTGAAGTTGAGGTCATCCCGTCCATGGCCGCCTCTTACCATATGCGGCTCCGCGATTCGGCCCCGCCCCCCGCGCGAAATCGTGCGGAGGCCGGCATCTTCCTGCCGTCATCGCGTTGTCATATCGCGCGGCGCAGATCCCCAGGCTCCCTTCCATTCACCACCTTCTTCCTCCACCACCTGCAGCGCACTTTTTACTGTTCATTGTTGGGCCACAGCTCACGCGAAGAGAAGGCGTACAACGTTATTTTACCTCACCGACCGACCATTGCTTCTGGACTCGAACCTTGCCCTCATGTTGAGCAGTGCTGCTACCAGAGAAGGCGACAACGCAGGTTGTTCTTGATTTCGTGATCCCTCGCCTGCGCCGGCAACTTGATTCGTACGGCCGGTAAATTCGGTGTCTTCTTCTGCTTCTGCGCCCTGCGCGAGGGGGGGTTGGCTGATGGAGGTCCATATGCATATCTCGCGCAACGTCATGCGTGCGTCCTTCTCTTCTGCGCACTGCTACCGGCGGCATCTCTTGAGTCCTGAGTCCATTACGGCGCCTGTTGTGTCTATGTATCTCAGTGCGAAGTTCGCCGCTCGCCGCTCTGCGCTCTGAGCTAAGCTGTGGTCGCCGTCTGGATGCTCATATGTTCTCGGGACTACGCCCGCCGCAGAGTAAGGGATCGCGTTGGCCGGTGACACCGCGTCCCTCTCTGAACCCGCCTTTTCTGATCGAGGCTTGCGTAACATGGAGCTGGGTCGCAAGCCGAGTATACCGGGTTTGTATGCTACGAGATTAGCATCTGGAGGCGGTGTAGGCGTACTGTATTGCCAGCCAGGTCTGGTGAGTCCCGCATCACTTCGGTCGGAGATTGTGGCTGGATTCGTGTATGCTGACGCATACGATAGGTCGTGTGCGCGCTCGTCTAGACCGCCGTAACATGCTACTCCCTGTTCGTTGGCAGCTCAACCGTCAGCGCCGAGCGGTGAACTCGCAGTGGCGGCGGCCGTAATGCAGGCGCTCTGGTTGAAGAGACTAGTTGGAGTATGTATGGCACATGCTCTGTATTTGCTCGACGCTGACTGGCTGGAGATAGATTCTGACAAATGAATACGCGAGCTAGCTGTATCTGTACTCGTACAGGACGTACACTGCGATCGTCGGGCTTCCTGTAAGCTATCAACTATAGCACCCTTCGAACCGCCCAGTCTGATGCGTATCTCTGCTACTAGACTCTCATGTCGTGAACGACCACACGCCCCTGCACCGGCGCGCGCCGCGCAGCTTAGGTTCTGAACGCTATCACGCTTTTCGTCCGCCGCGACGCGCGGGCGACTCCGCGGCGCGAGATCGTCGTGCGCCCGGTTCTGCGCATGGTGCGCCGGGTCCTGGCGCGCGTTCTCCTCCCACACGGCGTCGATAACCTTGCGACGTACGGCAGCGATGGGCTTATCGAAGTATGCACCATATCGGAACACGTACAGAGGTCTCCCGGCGTGTGTACAGGCCGATCAGTGACGAGAGGGAGTGTGTCCTTGACAGCGTCGATCCCTTTCGATCGCATGGGCATGAGGTTTTCATGTCGATCTTTTCGATGCAGAAGGAGTTGGGCGGACGTGAAGTGGACGTGTAAAGAGTTTCGATGTAGGCGGAAGCTCAGTTGAGATCTATCCTCCCAGGCAAAGGAGGTCGAAGAGGAGGAGAGAGCCGGTTTCTCCGATACATAGTAGTACTCGGTTGATGGTGGTATTATAGAAGGAGTTTCCTGCTTCCCGCGGACCCCGAGCAGACGCAATATATACTACCTCTACATTTCTGATAGGGAATGCTAAAGTCAGAGTGGGACTGATTTAGCGAATGTATGAAACGTACGAGGTGATAGTTGTAAGTGGTTAGGGTTAGGGTCGAGACGACGCGAGCCGCGTGCCGCGGCGCGCCTCTTGCGTTCGAACCATCACTAGGCCGCACAATCATATCATCCAACACTACGCAACCTTCAATGCCTGCTACGCCATCTGGCTATGCTCTTGTGTCAAGCTAAAGCCGGAGTGAGATCGGTGAGACAGAAGCGAGTCCCCAAGCGAATCGTCGGCCCGCATCTGCGCGCATTCTGGTAAGATCACCCTCCCAGTCCGGGATTTAGGGAGACGCGCTCCTTGTTCAAGGGTATCTGTCACCGGAAGCGGCCTAGATGGGGGTAACGCAAGATTTGCTGAAGTTCTCACTCTTTTGGGCTGGCCCCATGTCCTCCGTACAACCCTTCTAAACGGCAGTTGAGAGCTTTCTGAGTCAACGGCGCATGCGTTACCGCAAAGCGCTCGGCTACCTTCACAGAGTACGCGCTTCCCACTCTGCATAGAGAAGGATTGAAGACTAACTAGGACCGCGACTCCGCAGATCGTAGGCGTGGCGACCACCTTATCATCCGACGCGTCTCTCTGAGATGGCGTAGAAAGACAGTTCTAGACGAAGCCGAACTGAGAGCTTGACGGTCAATTTCATAGGATTGTCTCATCTGCGCTAGGTACTACAATGAACGAATAGTATGCATATACACCCATCGACCCGTCACTAGCAAACCATACGGTACAGTGGACGTTATCACTGCACTGACATCGGTCGTGACTCGATGCCGAGCCGTGGTAGTTTTACTGATAAAGCTATCCCAGTTCCCCGCTCACGCAGCTGTTCAATGCCATCTCAAGCATTGCAGTGCCGTGTGTGGTCATATTGTCCATGCAGGTGGCCATCATTCGGACCGGTGCAAGCAGCGGCGCTCGCGCAGCGTACCCTAATGCCTTGAACGGTCTTTCACGGACGCCTTCATGGGTACCGTAGGCGTTCCGAGCTCGCTCTTGCTCACGACAGACTCTTGCTCAGCTTGCAGATGTAAGTCTACCGACCTCCCTATTCGTTACATATGAACGGATCTCACTGATGTATTGCCATTCGAAGCTTCGTTCGAGAATAACTTTTGTCACAGTCGCGTCGGAGAAGTCAGCGAGGACGTGTACCATGGCGAGAAGGTGTTCTCTTTGGGCCTGCACTCTCATGGGTCAATCGCAACGGTACGGTCATCTGACAAACGCACATGAACATAGCATTGATTTAACTAGCCCATTGCTCATCAAGACGAAGAGGTCGACCCTTACCTGCGCCTAGTCTCTTCAGTCGTTGTACTTACTTTGACACAAGCACGATGAATAACCCATCGCCTGGTCAGTCCTCGCGCCTAATCAGAGACTCATGTGCATGTACTCACCATTATTGCCTAGATAACGACCTCGACCCGCTGAATCGGTTCTGGTCATTGTACCTGAAGCAGGCCGATATGAAAGACAGAGAACGTTCCGAGAGATGGAAAGGAGATACCGAAGGAATATTGATCTTCGTGCGTGATATGTCTGTCATCTCCGGCAGTGTTCAGGCGATGACGAGGCGACAGACAGGTCTCTTTGCCTCTACTGTCGCGAGTTTTGTCATAGCGAGCTATCCCGCGCTGTCACCTGATTCTGGAGAGGAGACTGTAGCCCTCCTCAGACAGCTCGTCACACTCATGAACGCGACTCATCCTACCGACGTTCCTGCCCCACATAGTGCACCTGCTTTCTCCGCATCTACCACCGACGTTTGGGTCAACGCTCTTTGGTTTGTGTCACTCATAGTCTCCATATCGTGCGCCCTTCTTGCCATCATGATTCAACAATGGATTCGCCAATACTCTCTGGACACGCATCGGGGCATAACTCCAAGCGCCCGAGGGCCGATACAGTCTCTATTGTGCACCGGGACCCAAAGATTCAAGATGGAGGACGCTCTTGAGCTAGTGACGTTGTTTGTGCATGTCTCGGTGGCGCTTTTCTTCGCTGGTCTCATCGTGCAACTGAAATCTCTCAATGGCGTTATCGGCACTGCAGCTACAACCCTTGCATCCTTCATTGCGGCCGCATACATTGCTCTTTCAATCCTGCCGCTTATTTACCTCGAATGCCCGTACCGCACGCCTCTCACAGCCATTACTGACTTGGCAATTGTTCTATCCATCACCTTTTGCACGAACGTGGCGAGTGGTGTCGATGCCCTTATACCCTTCATAGTTGCTAAACCCAAGCATCTCAATGTGAACCCCAGGCTTGCTACTTACTGGAAGGGAAGACTAGAGATATGTAGACGTGACCGCGCGGAACTACTCAAAGCGAGGGCCGTTCATCTCCCTTTCAAAGTCTGGTTCTATGTCATCGGATGCATGTGGAAGTGCATCGATAACGTGGACGAGATGGGCCAATTCTTCATCATGGTTGCGCCAATGATCGAGCCTCGTCTATACGAGGACCAGGATAACGAGCAGCTTGCTGATGTGCAGAAATATGAGATTTGCTCCTTGCTGTTTCATGATACAGACATACTCGTGAAGGCGGCTGTCCTTATGAGACTATGCGATTTCCGGTCATGTCATCCCTCCGAGCTTCCGGACCGCTACGATCTATTAGCAAAGTCCTGTCTTTTTATTCGTGCGTTCGTCCTCAGAGTCATATCAGGCAACACCGCCATGCCGCGCAACACTGGGTCATTGGCCGATCCGGCCAATGGCGACGAGTGTCTACAGGTTACCAAGGCGTATCAGCCAATCAATCAGCTCATTCACGAGATCATAGATCATCCGATGGCACAAAACACTGGGTGTCGAGCAGTGCTTCATTCTCTGTCGACGTATATCGTGGCATATGTTGTTCAATCAGCGATGCTGGGCATCACACATGCCGTGGACGATAGTAGGATTACATCCCAGCCTCTCCCAGAGCACCACTGCGCCCCTTTCAACACTCATCGTACCAATGGCCCTGGGGCGGACTGCACGATGTCTTTCGCGGGGCTTAGCCAGAGACTCGCCATCATGATCTACCACATCCCTGACCAGGGAGATTGCACGAGGTGCCGCCTATTGTATCTGGTCGCGTTCCTCTTGAGCATTGCGTCCAATGGCGCCGACTCGGAGGCGTATTTTACGCTCAATGAGTTGTCTATGATATGGCAGCCATTCCTAGGACTTCTGCATGTAGAAGGGCGTGAAGGATTCAACCCTGTCCATACGCTTAGCGGAGCAGTCCGCCATCCTCCCGTCGATTTCGTCAGAACCATCATCTCCCACGTATTCGATCACAGTGAGATTCACCGTCTTCGACGTGATCCAGGGCCTTCCAACGCGCCAACCGTCGGGGGGTTTCCTCGCACTATCAGGTCCGAATACGTCGACGTCATGAACAACCATCCCATTCTTCTCGACGTGTTGAAGGACCTGGCGTTGTGGTCTGGAATCTACCATGATGATTGCACACAGACGTCATGAAGTACTAGACACCCCTTTCGTCACGCGCTTCTTGGAATTGAGTGAAAGAAGCGGCCGCTTAGATTCAGAAGAGATTTACATGTACTCGTATATGGGTGTATAAATGCCGTTCTGTACCCATGGGGCAGGAACCATATCAGCGAACGTTTCAAAGGGAGGCGCAGTGAGTGTCCATACGAGTCCATAAACAGAAACGCTCCCAAGGCTTCACTAGTAATACAATATCGGAAAGACTTCTTCGCTTTTCAACTATGAAGGGACGCCTGAGTGAGCAGTCTATGCAAGCAGGGTTCATGTAAAGTCGAGTTACCATTCTTACAACAGCGCTATTGCCTGCATTGCGCTATATTGGCCGCGCTAAGCGGGCCTAGCCCAGCCAGCGAGCGTTACAGAATTGGTACGCGCGAGGTTGTCTGTAAGATGACTTGGAGACCCGACATGCGTCGTGCTGTGAGCGAGTGTATACACCAAGTCGCGGCGCTGCACATGGCCTGGGACGCCACCAGTTGCACGAGCTTCACTACGGCTGCGTTGAGACCCCGCGACGTTCTTTTCGATCTCTTGCTCGATGAACTTGAAAGTCTTCGTCACGTTGATGCGATAGGTGGTGTCCTTATCCGCGTGGTATTCGATGAATATATCTGCACCAGCGCTGTCTTTGCGACCTGCCCTGGGTACGAAGCGCAGAGTGAAGCATCTGACCTGCTCGACGTTACGGATGAAAGCGCGTAGTCAGTGATGTTTTCGACGGACCGTGTAAGCCCGGAACATGAATAGAGAACTGACCTGACGATTGTAATACTCAGCATGAGGTGGCGCTGGCATGAGGTATATCACGCCGTCTCTCGCACGAGATGGGGTCTCGTCCACAATCATAGGGTAGACGCTGGCTTCAGAGGTAGCCGTCGAGCGGACCATCGATGGGCCGATAGCCGGTTGGGTCTGGTAGGGAGAAGCAGACCCAGGCGACGAAAGGGTCGACGTTCGGAACGCTGCGTTGGACTGGAAGTGATTGGCTGGCATTGAAGATTGAAGAGATGAGGTGTTGTTCTATGTTTTCTTTGAAGACCGCTCTTAAGTATCGCTGGGCCAGGCCCCCTTGCTCGTGTTAAATGCGTCGCACTTAAAGGCGATGTCATCCGCAGAGAGGGACCGTTCGTGCACAATAGAGTTTGACGGGCCACATCGCGTGTTGGCAGCTATGCATTGGCGTCTTGTCCGCCGAGCATGACAGGGTCGTCAAAATTGTGGAAGTTGACAGCGAGAAGCGCGGCATATGTGGTTCGCGAGCATGAGTCTCCCAAATGCGTTTGAGTGGGCAGACGTCAACGATAACGATCTGGAGCCACCCGGGTGGGCTGTAGGCTATGCCGTTTTGAGCTCGTATAGCACAAGCTGCAAGGGCTGCTGTTGAATGCGACATTCAGAAGAATGGCAATCGTGATACGAGAACGAAGTAGGCGCAAGCGCTACAGCCTTCCTCAAGCGATCCGCGCCGACGGTGAAGTTCAGGATCATCGATAATCGATAATGTACGAGTACGTGGACAGTGGTACCGTTGTTTGGGCCAGTCGACAACATCGGTAGAGCCATACGTCCGAGTGGATAATGACGATGTTGGTGGATGCTCCTTCACGGGGGCGCGGAGCTCCGACGAACGACGGAATGGGGTGGCATGCCTGAGCTGGACGACGGGACGCTAAGCGTCGATGATGAGCGGTCAAACTTTTCCTCCCGGCGATTGGTAGCACGAGGCTAGCAAGGCAGTCCGACGCTTGATATCCTGCTATATACGTTCGTTATGCGATATCTATAGGGACATACAGACCAACGCACTTTTCTTCCTCTACACAAAGCTTTTAGAATCAGTCGCCTACAGTCGGGTCGCATCCGAATTGCAGTGACTTCACCGTTGCCGAGTTGCCGACCAAAGCCCCGATGCGCCCGTATCTTCGCGCTCCCTGCTTATTTGGAGCACGTGGTAACAGCCTATCAGCGTTGCGTCAGTAATTTTAAGCTCTGGCACCGGCAGCATCGGACGTACAGTCTGCAATGTTCAGATCGCGGGCACTTGACAAGCATCTAGAAGGATTGTCCTACACACGTCCAAAACTCAACCGGGAGCTCGTGAGCTTCTCTAGTTTGCTTCGCCCGACGATTGCACGACTCTGGTAGTACTCGTAGCAAGTCTGGTGCAACCGGTAGCCGCCGGTGGAGGGCCTCCGACTGAGGACTACACATCAAGTCGGTTGGCTCTCCTCGGATTTCGGCCCGCGCTCGGATGTTCAACCCGCGAAGTTGCACTTTCCGTAGGCAGCTAACTTCTTTCAGATCTCAGAAGAAGGTAGAGAAGGATATGTCTTCTTTTGCATATCGGAGTGTTGAATATCGGGGGCAATGGGAGGTACTGTTCCAGTTGTTGTCTAGACGCCGTACGCGCGGCTATTGAGCACTTAGTCGCGTCCCATCATCCAATAGCGTGAGCTGCAGGGGCGGCAAAACGCGAGGACGTGCATGTATTCATAAGACATGTCATAAGCTGGAGCGTAGAGGTGAACATCGCCACGTAGTGATTATTTCGAATGGTGGTGGTGTGTTGTCAAACCCGTCGACGCGTCGACGCGGGATGTGGGCCGTTTTTACCGCGCGCGTTGCCGCGCCGCAATACGCCCTCTAGAAGACGTTGGACAAGGCGAATGGTTCCCTCCGAGTCCGTCATCCTATGGCGGATGCTCACTGAAAGGAATCAAAGCAGTCCAACGCTGTCTGACGAGGATAAACAGTCGAAACAATGGCAGCCGCCGGAGACGCGCTTCAGTCAGAGATCATGATGTCGTCTCCGGAATCCGGATCAACAGACAAGCGTACGACCTGAAACTCCTCCATACACCCTCATAGTCATCCTGTGTCTCTCTACGAAGTTCGCCTGATCTGAAATGAGCAGAGGTCGCTGTTTGGTTGCTTATATGTGCTCGGGGCGCTCGTACACGTTCAGACATCTGCCCCGTCGCGCGTTGACGGCGTCAGCGTCCCTCTGACCCCACGTCTTTCGCTCGCGCTACATGGCTCGCGCTACGGCAACGTTGACACTAGCAAAGAAGTGCTGTGTGATACAAATGCTGGAGGCGGCATGAGTGTTTCGTTGAGACCCATGACGAACAGCAGCAACCTCCAAATCGGATGCGCGGGCCGAGGGAGAGTGTGGCTAAAACCCCTATCTCCCACGTGGAAACGCGCAACAAGTTTTCCGACGCGTTCTGTTCTCGTTTCTCATCTTCTGTATGAGCAGCAGTCTCGCCGCGCAACTCGCGCAGAGCGCGTCGCTCAACAGCGCGCAACTACTAGAGCGCACCCGCAAAAAGCCGACCGAGTCGTACCTGTTCAGCGGCCGGGACGCGAACCAGCACGACCTCGAATCTTTACAAGCTCTCGCGTCTTCTGCATTCTCCCAGCTCAAGGCTCTCAACCCGTCTCTGTCCGCATACGAGGATGCGCTGCTGTCAGATGCGTCGAGGCTGACGGACCGCACGTTGCTGCCGACGGAGGCACGCGAGGAGTTGGACGGCCAGCTGAGGGAGTTTCTGCCTAGGCTGGGCAAGCACTTGATGGAGGTCCCTACTGGCCGAGTAGTCGAGTGGCTCGTGCGACGATTCAGAGTGCACGAGTTCAATGTGCAAGACGTTCTGGCACTATTCCTGCCATACCATGACTCGCCACACTTCACCAAGATGTGTTCCATACTCCACGTCCAGAGCTCCGTCTGGGCCTTTCTGTCGAGCTATGGCCAGGCGAATGTCACGTTGAGGAGAGGCGCGCTCGTTGAACAGATGCGGAAGAACCCGGACGTGGCTAGATTTGTCGTGGGATTGTTGCCAAAGGCGCTGCAGGGAGGATATGCGCATAGGACCCTTGTGGGATTCCATACTGGAGTGTTGTTCGAGTACCTGGAAGGAAGCAAGACTATGGACGCAAACTCTACCGCTATCGTTTTGCCACCCATCGTAGACTGTATCAAAGCCGTCAGCAACAGCAAGGACGCTCTTGCCAAGGACGTCGTAGTGAGTACTTCTACTCGCCACATGCATTACCTCGTGCTAAAGAACCCTACAGTTGTCCAGCTACCTCCTACTCTCATCCTTCTCCTCTAAATCCCATCTCACACCTCAAGCCATATCCGCTCTTCTCAACTCTCTCACATCCGGAGCAAACCGCGTAACATCCCAACAATACGTCGCCGCCCTTCTCTCCGTCCTCGTCCCGCAAGACATCCAACCCACTCTACCTCCATCCGTCATCAAGAAGCTCGCAGGACTGGACGACGCGCCAGAAGTACTCGTCCAGATACTGGGCTACGCCAACTCTGAAAAGTTGATCTTCCCGCTCGCGACGCATCTTGTGGAAAGTCAGACGGACGAGCAGAGTCATGCGATACTCAAGGCGGTAGTGTCTGCACCTGAAGTACCGGCGACAATCGTCGTTCATATTGCCACTCTGCTGCTCAAAAGGGCGATAGATGGCAGTGGCAACTTAGACCTGCTCCGGGATATCAGGCAGCGACACGGTGACGCGCTCGAGCGCGCTGCGCGCGATGTCGAAGGGGATGAGGAGGATGTTCAGGCGCTGTTGCTGTCGCTCGCACAGGTGATTATCTTGAGGCCCCCCTTACGATGCACGATATACTGATACCCGGCTCAGACGAACGGTCAGGACGCGACTCTTGCGACTATGGATACGCAGGATACAGTACGTGCAGCGGCTGTTGCGGACATCTACAAGCGTCTGGACAAGGCCAGCGCAGAGGATACGGTAAGTCTTGTACATATCTACTTGTATCGTGCGGAAGCTGACCGAACACATACAGCCCACCTTGCACAACGCGCTCCTCTCCCGCCTCACAGACCCCTCACCCGAAGTCCTCCGGGCGCTCTACTCAACCCCTCAAAAGCTCGCGCTGATAGTCCTCTCAGACCTTCCGAAGTACATCTCGAGCCTGGCCGAGCTCTTTCCAAACGCCGACCCTGACACGCTTAAACTTCATCTCGGCTTCCTGTTCTCCCACGTCGGACCCGGGTGCACAGAGGACGCAGCTCAAGACATCTTTGGCCGTCTTTTCTTCCCTCTCTTGCTCTTCAGCCGCGATAGGCGTAAAGCCGATATCGCATGGGACGCCATCTCCTCTGCTTCCGAGTCCGGCACTGGTTTACTAGCCCATCCGATGCTTGCGGGGTGCGTCGAGGTGCTGGAGGAGGTCAAGGCGCCGCTGTTCGCGAGAACGAAGAAGCAGAAGAATAAGCCGTTGGAGAAGGGCGAAGTAGCTCCTATGGGCGCGGTGGATGTCGCGCTTGCTTCGCGTATGGCCGGTAAGTCTCGTTCACTCTACATCTTCATTCATGATCCCGTACTGAGAAAGGATTAACAGACAATCTGATGCTGCTCAACGATGCTTCTCCGCATGTCTCCTTCCTCCTGGAAACGCTCTCATCCTCAAGCCCACACGCCCGCGCCCTCTCCTCACTCGTTCTACGAGCCTACATTGGACGTCTCTCCGGCGCCTCCCAAATCGCAATGGCTCACCGCACAATCGATGCACTCTCTCCCGGTTTCTCGCTCACAGCGCTGGACGAGTTCGCCGATGTGAATGCGATGCTGAACGATGAGGGATTGGGAGGGATCGTCAGTGCGAAGGTCAAGAGTGATGTGGCGAGGGCGTGGTTGGGCGCTAGTCTATTAGCTACTTGTGCTGCAGTGCTCAGGCCCGCGGGCGCGATCTCGTTCATTGGATCTTCTGTAAGCGTATGCTCTTACTGTTACTGTCACCCCGCAATATTATCGCTGACTTGGGGTTGTACAGAACGCCTACGCATCCCTCGCACTTTCAACCTACACCCTCCTCAACACCTCACGAGCACCACCAACCGTATCATCCCACATCCTCCGCACGCTTTTCGCGCGCCTAGGAGCCGATGCGCTCGCCCTCCTAGCCGGTGTCTGGCTCAGCAGCACCGACTCCAAACTCCAACACACAGCCTTAGCGCACGCCTACGCCTACCTCATCGCGCACGCGCCGCCCTCATCCGACTCTGATGTCAACACAAGCGCAAGCGTAATCGACTTCCAAACCATCCTGCCCTCCCTCCTCATTGTCCTCTCATCGCCACACAAACCCGTCCGCCTCGCCGCATCGCACAGCCTCGCTGCGCTCAACGCCATCTGCGCGCCCTCAACCTCCGCTTCGGGCGTGTATGCGTTCGATAGCGTGTATGGGGAGAGGAGCGACGAGCTGCAGTATTTGGATTGGGCGGATGTGAAGGCGTTGGTGGGGAGCCTTTGTGAGGAGAGGGTGAAGTTTGGGGAGGATGGGGAGGGGGTTAGGAGGTTTCTGGGTGAGGTGTGCGGGGGGAGGGAGGGGAGGGTTAAGAAGAAGCTTGAGTACGTCCGCCTTCTCTCCAAGTTGCATATGATGTCTGAACTGACACGGCGTGCAGCTATAAGCAAAAAGTCCTTGTATACCTCCTCTCGCACGCCGTCGCGTGCCCTTCCGCATCCGCGAGGCTCACGCTCTTGAGGCTTACTCAGCCTGTGAGGAGCGTGTTGAAGGCGCGGACGTTGAAGGGACTGCTGGAAGAGATCGCGGAGGGCAAGGAGCGTGATGAGAAGGTTATGACGCTCGCTGTGGATTGCCTCGATGCGAGCTGCGTGGGCGATCTCGAGGAGGATGAGATGTGGAGTGTGCTCGCGAAGTTATTGAAGGCGTTCGTACGCGAAGGTAACTTTCATGCTCTAACTCTCACTCGACATGTGACTGACTGTGGAATACGATCTAGACGCAGCAAAAGAACCTCGCGACGTCCTCCTCGCCAACCTCCAATCCTTCGCCCCGTCCCTTTCGGCCGACCGCCGCTTCGACCTCTCCCGCACCCTCCTCACCCTCGGCTCAACCGAATCCGAACTATCCCTCCTCCGACCCGTCCTCGAAACGCTCTTCACCGACGCCCGCCTCGTCATCCGCCTCCTCTCAACCCTCCAGCCACCCATCCCCGAGACCGTCACCCGCGCTTCGAAGCGTGCGAAAGTTGATGCCGCACAAGCGCCGGTGGGAGGAGAGGTCGAAGGGGAGATGGCAGAGCTCAGCGCGTTCGCGGACGTTCTGGGCAACGCGCCGCTCGCCGGATCCACAGAGCTCCTCAGCGCACTCCTCGAGACCCTCGGCCGCATCGTCAAATCTGACCTCTCCAAATCCGGTCTAAGCCGCTCCGACGCCGTATACATGCAACAGCGCCTAATGTCCGCTCTCGAGCGCTCCGCCTCGTCCATATCCGGCCCCGTGTCCGTATCCGCGAGCGCGCTGAGGGTCGATGTGCTGGTGGATATCATACGGTCGTCGGATGCGCCGCAGACGTCTCATCAAGCCTTGTTGCTGCTGGGGGGGTTGGCGCGGTTGGCGCCGGAGAGTGTGTTGGTGAATGTTATGCCTGTGTTCACGTTTATGGGGAGTAATGTGCTGGGGAGGGACGACTCGTATAGCTTTAGGGTTATCCAGAAGGTATGCTTCCCGCCCATGCATCACCAGAAGGGTGGTGGCGCTGACGATAAACTGTATAGACCGTGGACAGCATTGTACCAGTCATGGTTGAGGACCTCAAGGCGAAGTATACGGGGAAGCTGGACCTCGCGATTGGTGCAAGGGACTTCGTGAGGGTATTCACGGACGCGGCGAATCATATCCCTCGGCACAGACGGACGCAGTGCGTACTCTCGCCTCCCTTGCTCTTCTTGCATAGATACTCACCAGTGCGTTGTAGGTTCTTCATGCACCTCACGGATGTCCTTGGACCGTCCGACTTCCTCGGACTCGTCTGTATGCTCTTCATCTCGAAAACAGCGAACAAGGTCGTCCGTCAAAATTCGGACGATCTGCTCGCTACGCTGGCGCTTCCACTGGCGTTGGTTGATCACTACGATGCGGAGACGCAAAGAGCAGTACTGAAGGATGTGCTCGAGGAAGCGAGTAGACTGGTGCAAGCTGCGGTACAGCCTGAGGGCGAACACCGTGTTGTACTGGACACGACGCACGACGACGAACAGAACTCGCAGTCCGCCACTCTTCTTCGCAAGCGCGCACAGGCTTTGCTCGTCTTCGTCGGATGCGCCGTCGAACGCTCTTCGTCGCTCTACACGGACGACGCAGCATCGACGGACGCCGTCAACGAGCTCTTGTCGTCATTGCTCGATCTGGCGCAGAGCAGCGGGAAGGAGGACGGACTGAAGGCGATCCGCGCGGCTGCTCAGACCGCCATCGGTCAAGCTCTGCGCGTCGTACCCGCAACATCATTCATCGCTGCGGTTGGCACCATCCTTGATGTTCCCAAACCGCGCGTGCAGCTCGAGGCGCTCAGTCTGCTCACGGAGCGTATCAGCCTTGTCGCGGACGAAGCGCGCAAGGCGGCGAAGGAGGATCTCGAGAAAATCGTGGGACACCTCAAAGTCATGCTGGCGGAGGAAGTGCAAGGGAAGAAGGCGAAGGAGCTGGTTCCGGCTGCGCTCGGCAGTTTGAGGGCCGTTGCTGCGAGCGCGATACCGGGCGAGGAGAACGCGCTCGTGGAGGCTGTCCCGCTCGTCATCAACCAGGCGAAGGAGCGCGATCATGTTGGCGAGGCCGTCGCGGCGCTCGTGCCGCTTTGCTCGACGCTAGGTCCCAGGATCATACCTCACTTCCGCGATGTAGTACGCGAGTGCCTTGCGCTTCTTCGTTCCGACGAGCTCGAAGGAAGCGTTCACGGCGATGCATTGGCGGTGCTGCGCGCGCTGTTCGGCTCGATACCGAGCTTCTGGTCCGGCTCGCAACTCACGGCGCTCTTCGCGCTCTACATCGACCGGTCTGAGCTCGACGGTCTCCGCGCCTTCGTCCGGCAGATCGCAAGCAAAGCTCAAGCATCCGTTCTCTTCCCCGCTCTGTTCGACGTCTGGTCACAACTCAGCAAGGAGGACGAAGGTCAAGACGCGGAGCAGTGCGCGACATACTTCGAGCTGGCGAAACGCGTGTTCCGCGCTGCGCAGAGGCCGGCTGTGCTCGAACATCTCAGGGCCGCTTTCGGAGTGTTGCTTGCCGGTCTTGATCTGAGGGGCAAGTTGGGCGAGGAGGATGTGGATGAGGTCGAGGATGCTGTTGTGGGCGCATTCGTCGAGCTCACTACGAAGTTGAACGAGACGGCGTTCAGGCCGCTGTTCAGGCGGTTATTCGACTGGGCGTTCGGCGGTACGTCTCAACATGATCATCGACTGACTGATTACTAACGCGAGAATGATAGACGATGGCTCATCAAACCGCAAGGTCGCCTTCCTCCACGCCTACTCGGCGCTGCTCGACAACTTCAAAGCCCTCATGACGCCCTACCTCTCCATCGTCCTTGAACCTCTCCTCTCGGTCCTCGACGCTTTCATTGGCGAAAGCGAGGATGAAGAGGAGGACGGCTCGCTCTGGGCCGCGGCGCTCGATGTACTCGCCAAGAGTCTCACCGTCGATGAGGGCGCGTTCTGGCGCGCTGATAAGCTTGCGAAGACGCTTCCGCGCGTGGTTGCGCAGACGCCTGTCGCTGCTGAGCTTGGGGAAGACGGAGAGGCTGCGCTCGCTGCCGCTCTATCTGCGCTGTGCGGTGCACTAGCGGATGATGCGCAGGTCAAGTCGCTCAACCTCTCTTTGCTCATGCACACGCGCGACGAAGAGGCCCGTGTCCGCCTCTGCGCGTTGAGGGTCGCGGCCGGTCTTTGGTCTGAGCACGGGGACCAACTCATGGGCTTCACGAGCGAGACTGCGACATTCGTTGAGGAGTGCGCGGAGGATGAGAATGATGAGGTCGTCAGGGGTGCGAGGAAGTTAAAGGAGGTTGTCGAGAGGGCGACTGGGGAGAAGATGGATGTGTGATGGTCAGCTGATGCTTGTGCTCATATCGCTCTGTTGTATGTTTGAATGCTTTCATGGTGCAGCCACAGATGAAAGCTGCAAATCGGATACCAGTACTTAGTCAGCTCATGGAGGCCGAGTCGGCGAGAATGGACGTTGTAGTCGGGTTTTCTGAAGTACGGATAGATGTTGTTCCATTAGATCATCCATGGTAAGACGGTTAAGATGCGCCAGAAATATCGAGGCTATATACTATGCTGGTATGGTAGGGATGCGGGTAGTTGAAACCGGTGGTAGTACAATGTGATAGAGTTGAGCATGCGTGAGTGTAGATCGTACGTATAGATCGTGGAAGAGCGTGAAATCCGTTGTCCGTGAAAGTGTCTAGCATCAACTCAAACCTTTTCATTCTCCCTCTCTTCTGGGCTGTCGCTTGGCGGACCATTGGGCATAGTCGGCGAGAACTTGCTTTTCGCGCGAAGTGTTGGCCCATACTTGATGAGGAGGAAGGGGATAGGCACCATGAGGAGGGCGAAGCAGCCGAGGAGGGTCGAAGCCCATCTGGGGTTCAACGCTGCAAGGCTGGTAAGCACGCCGTATACCTGATATATAAAGAGCATTTGCTTACCTGTGAACATCTGCGACGCAAATAGAGGGAACGAGGCTCCGAATATTGATCGGACTACGGTGTTGGCTGCGAGGGCAGTGGCGGCGACCATCAGGTACATGTCGACGATGTAGTTCATCAGCGAGAGGAAGACGAGCAGGATGCTGAATCCCATAAGCCCTCCAGCCACCAAAGGGGCCCAGTAGCTGATGCTAGGGAAGCTCGTCCATCCAAAGAAGAAGAAGCTGACATAGCCGCTAAGAAAGAGAGGAAGATAGCGAGCAACGTGGGAACACACCTGATGGCGAATAGAGGTGCCGCAATCAACGTGGATTCGAGGCGCTTCTCGGGAGGCACGGGCGCGGGCGCGTACTCTTGCATAAACTTGAAGTATCGCGGATCGAAGAAGATGAGGTACACGGCGCATCCAACCGCGCCACCCAGTGATATCGGCAAGAACATCAAGCCCGTGACGCCCGCGTTGAAGCCATGTCCTTCGGTGAAGACGATCGGATAGGCCTCAAAAAGTAGATAGAGGCAACCATACATGAACTGCAATGAATCGGTCAGTCATATGTCTGGCCAGTACGACGAAAGAAACGGAACGTACACTCATGTAGACCGTCAAAGCAATCAGGACAGGCTCCTGGAAGAACACCTTGAATGGCATAAGCAGAATCTTCTCTGCACGTTGTCCGATGGACTCCTTGTGCGTCTCTAGTGGCGCATAAAACCTCTCGTCGCCGGTGTCCTTGCGGATCTTCTGCGCCTTCTGCCTCAAGAGAACCGGCTTGTATGTTTCGGGCAGCGTGAAGATCGTTACCGTGAGACACACCCCAGAGAAGATCGTGAGAATCCAAAAGAGCCATCGCCATGATACACCGGCAACAGCAAGCCAGCCAGCGACCGTTGGACCGACGGCGGGGCCGGCAAACGGGGCCACGGCAAAGACCGTCAGACCTCTCCCTCGTGTTCTCGCCGTGAAGACGTCGCTGATGACGCCACCCGAGTTGGTGAGTGGGGCAGCGGCGAAAATACCAGACAGAAGTCGGAAGATGAGGATGCTCGCGGTATTCGGGCTGAGCGCACATCCGACCTGGAAACCAGTGTAAAAGAGGAAGGAGAGGAGGAAGACGGGCCGCCGCCCAACCTCCTCGCTCAGTGGCCCCCACAGAATCGGGCCAACGCAATAGCTGGATGCGCGATGAGACAGTTATATCGGCGAGAAGATGTCTATTAACGTACCCGGCAACAAATATGGAAACAGTGAGGGAGCCAACCTCTGAGCCGAAGCCGAACTGCTCTGCCATTTGAGGGATCACACCCGACGGGGCAGCGCTTGCGAATGTCCTAAATGATGGGAGATCGGTGAATGCGAGTAATAAGAAAAATTAAGACGAGCACGTACGCATTGAGGACCAGCATTCCCGCGAGAAATGTTAAGTACCAGCGCTTGGTCATGGACCAGTTGAGCGGGTTCATCGGGTCTCCCTCATCAAAGGCATCGACCAAAAATGGATCTTTCCCATCTGCGGAAACCGGTACGGCGCCTCCACCCTCCACTTCCTTCTTCTCCGGGCCGTCATAGACGGTCGGCGTACGGCTCTCGCGGTCGGTGGAGTGCACAGAATGCACTGACTGAGCGTCGGGTCGTAACTCGCGGCGTGACATGGCGAGGACGGGGGGACAGGACGGTGTGAACGAGTGCTTGTTCGGATGTATCCATCTCCTTTATAGCAGCAGGCGGCTCACAGCCGTTATTGACGTGTTGACGGACGGCCCGTGAGCACACCAGATTGTGTTCACAGGAGGCAATCCTACGTCAGCCCCTGGTTGAAGGTGTCTCTCCTTTACATGAAGCGCTTGCAGTCAGCACACTCCTGCAGTCCGGTAAGCGCCCACGCGCAGGGCAGGCAATACCTCGGGATTTGCACCGTAGATTTGGCGGGTGAATGGCCGCATCGAACACATTGCTGTACAGCGACACAAAGACATAATGGGCATACTTAACGGTTACGTTCGAATGCATGAAGGCGCAAGTTCAAGTTCAACTTGTCGATACTCGTCGATCGAGATCCGTCGCCTCGGGTGTTGATCCGAGATGATCTTGATCTTATCACGGCTTACCCACGCGGCACACAAGTGAGTACCCACGTCTGTCGCACTGCGTGGGTCTGGTGTGGGGTTTGAGTCAAATGCATGCCACTTGAAGTGCGCTCATGCAGTGTATGGCCCACGGTACAACCGATTGCCATGCGCATCTACAGTCTGTAGGACAATGACATTCTCACAAGCGTGAAGGTAACGCGGCGCCAACAAGTACGCTATGTACTTCACCGTGACGATCTTTACGGCGGGGTATAACGCACCACTGCGCCACTGATTCGCATCACCGTGTACTAAGA